ATAACATAATGAACTTAGCCTAATTTGAGATTAGATTGTTTATAGGCTGTGTGCATGTCTTCCTGATAGAGCTAAATTAAATTCAAGAAGCTCTGAAGAAAATTTCCTGTTTGCATATTGACTTGTCAAGAAAGCCACCATCCTTGACGAAAATGTCATTGCTGTATCTGCATTTGAAAAAGACAACAAAATCTTTGACTTACAGTTTAGCTTGTTAGCTATATACATCTGTCTTCATGTTGGTCTCCTTAATTAAATGATGGCTACTATATTTCTTATACTGGTGCTTTTCTTTTAACAGGAAACAGCATTCTGGAGAAGGATATTAAATTTTTGCAACAAGTCATTGAAGTTATTACATAAAACTGTAAGATGGTGTTTTGAATGTAACAATAGATTTCCCCCTCTGATGGAATTCTTATGCCTTGTTCTTTTCAGTGTATTTTACATAAAGACATTTACTTTGGGCTTTCCTTCTTAAATTGTTTAGTGTGAGTGTTTGATTTTTGTTCATATATATCTCGTCACTATTCTTTCATTAATGTTGGTGGTGAAAAATCTTACATTCTTCATGTTATATTTTATCAGAAAATTAGATTTATTATTGAAATAATTTTCCTTGTAAGAAGTTATTGAATAATATATAAGGGTTGGCCTGACATGTTGACCGAATTACATTCATGTTCAATTAGCTTGGATTATTCAGGACCAGGAGCTTACCATTCTCATTAACATTACTGCAATATGCAATAGCCAATATGTATTCACTTATTCCTTTGATCATTGTGGTAAGATCGAGGCATCTAGTTGCTCTTTAATTGCTGGCATCAGCCATTTTCCTCTTCTTAATACCACATCGTGTGTCTTTAAGCCTTCTTCTCTTATTAATAAAATCCATTGCATTACCAGAATGGAGCTTAAGATCCCTAATCAATATATATCCCTTGGATTGAAAATATTTGTATTTGCATTTGTAGATGACAACGTCTTTTTATAAGTCATTCATTTCTTTACAGCTTTCAATGGTTCTTTTCTATTTTTTTTAAACTGTTTGCATCCAGGTTTTATGTATGTCATGAGTTGGCGGTGAGACTCAATGACAGTAGGCAAGGTCATTTTGGGGACAAATCTAGGCAGTCAGTTTTCCAAATGTTTTGCCTCTGTAAGTAACTGGGGTAAATGGCTTTATTGGATTTCATCTGCAATTCCAGTCATATTATATACCCTAGATTGATAAATCATATGTATGAAGGTTGAGATGTCATTGACTTTTATTTCAATGGCTGACATTATACTTAATACAGAGCTTGCCTTGTTGTCAAGCTACCCATAAACCATATAGGTATATTCACTCAACAGATAAAAAGTTGTTATCTGTGCAAAAGGCATTTGTAGATGGTTGATTTACTTGAGATTTGATTATATACCAAATATTTCATTCTGTTTTTGGTGAATACATGTTCAACCCCGATTTCCCACAGGCTGAAGGGCAGGGTCAGAGATCCATTGTTAAGAAGAGGTGTAATAGGCATCAAAATGTGGGGAACTTGATATTTTTGTGACTTCAAAGTAATATATTCATGATGAGTTTTCTCTGTGATTTAAAGTAAAGCATATGTCTCATCTTTTATCTGTGATTATAAATTGGGAAATGAGAGAAAATTGTGAACATTTTTAGTAATAGGTTGCCTCTACCCAGTCAGTATAAGACACACTTAGAAATATCACCTGCAGACCACATTTTAATGATATCATTAAGATCATTTAAACTTTATTTAAATTAACAAGCAATTAAATTGGCTTTTTACATACAAATTAATATTGATTAAACCTTTGGTGAATTGGTTGCCTGCTTATTACTTGATTATGAACATTACTGAGGTGTCTGGTGGCACCCACATAAGAAGTTCAAAATTAAAATGAATTCAGATACTCAATGTCTTGTTTTACTGTATCCTGTTATCGTTGTCAATTTTTTTGTATGTTGTATTTATGAGTGGCCATTTGAAAAAGTCATTGGTTGTAAAGCAGTGTGATTTTTTTTTTATAAATATGTAAGTAGCATTGAAGTTAAAATCTTAAACATGTCAGTTTAAGGCTTGAACATTCATATATCAAACACAAGGGCAGTATAATAATGTACAAAAGTGTATCTGAATAGAAATGTCTCATTATTCGAGGTTTCATAGCTGTTCACTGATTTCATGTGATCTCATTTAGATAATGTAGTTTTAACTCAAAATCAAAATTGACCTTTTGTGTCGTTTGTTAACTTTGTTGAGATTCTTGGCTTTTTCTTTCTCATAATAGACCAGCTGGAACAGAGAATAGTAAATGTGGATGTGAGATTTATGTTAAAGTAATACAAAGAAAAGAAAATATTATTGGTATCTCCATATACCTATTGTTTCATATATAACACGGTGAACCCTCATTAAGTGGGACATCAATGAATTCACTATGTCTACTCCAAAGCAAACATCCATTACAACTACATTCAACCATCTCTATATCTTGTACTAACTTCAATAGTGTCAGTTAGTTCTTCTGGTACATTTTAAAAGATAAACCTCGATTACAGTAGAATGGTATAGCTCATTTGAACTATGAACCATTAATAAGCTGCATTATCATTATTACTGAGATAACAATGCTTAACAAAGCCTGGTGTCCACGTGCTAGTGATATAACTCTAGTACTCAATGATGGCCTCTGACATATTTCTCAATCATAAGATGTTCAACTTGACATGCTCTTGTGTGATATGCAACCAGCTGATTTTTAGTGCTACTAACTTAGCTCAGAGGTAATATATTGTACCTTCATCAGTGTCATCAGAAGTAAGAACCCATGTAATAGTAAGGAATGGGTAGTCCTGCATCTTGTCCCTGAAACTCATCAGATGTTTCTGTTTCATTTGCAACATTATCTCATGACAAAAGAAATGAGATAATTAGATTCCATTAGATTGATGTCCGGCTTATAGTTTAAATCTAGGAAAGGTTTTGTGATCAATTCAGGCAAGATTTTTGTGGAAGGTTGTATGGAAAACTCTCGCGGGGTTTAGCTAGCTATCTGTGACTTTCAAAGGCATATATACTGAATGTACATAGATAAATTTGAGCCAAGCCTTACAGGAGATCAAACAATATAAAAGCACTTGGATGAAACTGGTTTATGAGAGCCAATTGATCTTAAATGAGGCTTGGCTTGGTTTTTTTGTCTGTTAACAAGATACGTTTTTTGCATGTAATGTCTGTTTGGTTTATAAGGCATCTATATACCCAATAACCTTTAACTATAGGACTAAATTCAGAACCAATATGAAAATTGATAAAGAAATAATATCAATAATGAAAGAAAGCTCCATCCATTAATCTTGTCAATAGATAATCTTGTTTTCCTATTGGACTGATGAATAGACACTTTGTATGGTGCCTTACCTTCAAGACCAGATCCATAACTTTCAGGATAAATTCAAGGTTTTCTTACATTAATTAAGCAAGGAAACGTTAGATTAGAAACCGATATAGCAGTTTTAATCAAATGTCAGAGAAATTATAAGAGTATTAGCAGTATATTGTTTAGTCATTGAAAGGGTCATATGCAGTTATACAGTTCAGTCAACCTGTACTTACCTATACTGCCATTAAGGCCTATTTACCAGTATATTAGCTTTAATTACAGAATCAACTGTAGAGCTTTAAGATTAAATAAGATTAAGGATAAGTGGAGTTATATTATATGTTCTATTGTTAACCCATTTCTTTCAGAATCAAGTATGTCCTATCAGTATATATACTTCTCACTTGAAAATTAGACCTTAGTCAAATTTCCAATATGTAATATGTTGTATGAACAATACTAGAAACCATTAATATTGAATGAGACATTTGCATGTCACCTTTTAAGATAGATTTTATTCTAAGTAATATGATCTACTAAATATATTACAGTATTTTTTCATATGTTGGTTTCCTTGAATTTGTAATATTGCAAGGTTAGAGATGTTTTCTCCGTGGAGATTCAGACTCCGATAGACCACAACACTTTGTATTCTTTCTCTTCCTATGGTCAGTACATAGATTTGGTTCATCTTGTAGAATTAAGATTATCCTGTAACCTTTATTATGTGTACTATATTTAATATTTGTTGAGAGGAATCAGCTATTACTGAGATTGATTTCTGTACTTATCTCTGTGCTTGGTTAGCTTGTATTCCTGTCAGTGAACAGTCTGTATGTTCATACGTCATTTGGAAAGTAGAGAACTGTAAGGATGAACTTGCAAGGAATAAGACTACCAACGTTCAGCTTGTATTCTCTACATGTTGTAGTTATGTCACAAAGTAAGAGATTTTGATGAAATAATTAGCGAAAAACAAAGCTGGTTGTAGAATTATGTTTAGGCTGAACAACAAAGTGTGCTTGTATTATTAGCATTAGCTATGTAGTAGTCATGAATCTTGCATAGATATTAGATTGATCAATGTCTCTCGATGTTGCCCTTAGACATGTTAGAATGATTGCAATGTTGTTGGAGAATCAGCTAATTGAGTTTTGGACATGTTTACTGAGTGTAAATTGGGAGGGGGGAAATCATGTTAGAAGCATCAGTTTATTATTATAGTATTACTTACACCATGCAAAAATTGTAAATTGGGAGGGGGGAAATCATGTTAGAAGCATCAGTTTATTATTATAGTATTACTTACACCATGCAAAGATTAAGACCTAATCTTCCCAAGCAGGGTCAACTTGACAACATTTTCATGTATGCTTAGTTTCACTTTACACTTTGATTAATGCGTCAATTATCCTACAGTTGGTTAAATGTTGCTCTAAGAAAAATATAATTTGTATATATGAGTATGGTAGGCTTTGGTAAAATTAAATGTCAAGTTTCGCAGGTTATAGCGACACTCCATTTATAGTTCATCTTCAATTGCCATTTGCCTGTTTTCCTTACTTTTAAATATTTCATTATTTCTGTTCTTACAGAAGGAACCCCGCGGGGACAGTTATCGGTATGCCGTTACCCCTCAGGTGCCCGATGATGGGCTTACAGCTGATGGCCAGCCCAAGAAGGGTATGTTTGGAAAGAAAAAGAAGAAGAGCAAGAAGGAAGAATTGGACAATCTCAAACAAGAGTTGGAGATGGTAAGTTTTAAAAAAAAGATTGGTCATGGGATAAACCTAATATCTGATCGTTTCTGTGATATCAGTTTATCCCCTCATATCAGATATCAGCATTCATTCTCTGCTCACTCATTGATATCAACTCAGCTGAAATATGACTCAAAATAATCTGATAGTCTATCTTTCTAGTTTATCTAATGATAATGATGTTCTCACTCTAAGAGATAGTAAAGTCTGTGTAATATGTATGTCACATTCGGATTTTCCTATCGACTTGGAAGTGGGGCATAGGCTAGTGATTGGGAATTATTAGCAAGGTGACCTCATTTCTAAATCTTAAGTTACAAGAACATTTAATGCTAAACAGTTAGATCAATTTGTACTACATTTTTATATCGTTAACCAGAAAGAGGTTTCTTTTTTCTTTTTAAACATTGATTTTTCCTGTTAATGGTGATCTGTCAAATTATGCCTTGTCTGTATGATTAGCTACAAGGAAAAGTCTTTTCCAAGTATTCAATTATCATAGGCTTGTTACTCTTTGAATCTTTCTTTCAAGTACTCTTCTTTATGCTAGATAGACATGTAAGCATAATCTTATTGCATTGAGCATTGAACTGGAACTTGGGGCTATTATTTGTTTGAATTGAATTTCCTATTTACATTCTACTTCAAATGAAATAATCTTGATACTCATCATCACTGTTCCACAACTATTTTGTTACTTTGATGGAACGTCAATGTAACAAAATAGATGAACTTCCTGGATACATGTTTTTTTTGTTTTCTCAATTTAGGCTTACATATAAGTTATGTTGTGGATTATCATTTGGCACAAAGTAAGACAATATAGTCTAGCTTTTAGAAATAATCTCGGTTTGGAATTTGATCTTTAAATAAAGCTGAAATTTATGCAATTAGACCATAGCTTTAGTTATATTGACGTAAGTCATCAAAGTAACATACATTGGTAATATAATGGGCTTTCGTCAATGTAACAAAAGTGAGGGACTAAATATATGAATTGCAACTTCATTAACAAGAAATTCCAAATCAAAGAAACGTATTAAAGCTAAACTATATTTTCTAGCTTTGTGCCAAATTATAATCTGCAACTTAACCTATATTAGGTTTAAAATCAAGAAAACAGAAACCAGGAAGTTCATCCATTTTGTTACATTGACGTTCAGTCAAAGTAACTAGTTATGGAACAGTGATCATCAGCTAGGATAGAATTTGAGTTTTTTTTGAGGACAGTGTATTTTGATATTTCTGAAATGACCTCTAATTTTGTCTTGCATAAAGTATCTATCACCCACCACATCTCTATTTCTCCTGAGAGAATTGTGAAGCACATGGACTAGTGTTATCCTACATGATGCAATGAAGGATGTTTTGTCTAATATGCTCTCCAATCAACTCCCTGTCAAACCTCTTGAGTAAACCTATGCAGAAAGTATCATACACCTCTATTTCCTCGAGAAATATTAGTAGACGTTGGTAGTCAGTTTATGTTATGTAGTCTCACAAAATGCACGTTGATAAGTTGCTGAACTAACTGAGGTCAGTTGAGAAATATTCTGCTTGAGATATCACATTTTATTAGAGATAAGTTTTAGCCAGGATCTTCCTCATTCATTTTCTAACAACATGCAAATTAACATCTCTGTGTTGTAATGGCAACCTGATTGGCATTTAGGTTAATTGAGAAAAGTAGAAAATGTGTTATTTCTGTAGAAAAGAGCTATATTCTATTGTACAAAGTGACGGCATTTTCATGAATTGACCTTTAAAATTAACTCGGGGGTTTGGATACAAGACATGATATCTCGACTGAATTGTGCAAAAATGCAAGAAATGAAATACATGTACTCAGATTTCATATAGTGAATTGGTAGATGGTCCTATTCAGAGTGTGTGCAATGTAGAGACATCAAAGGTTACTTAAGGAATAAATAATGATAGGCCATTCAATATGGTGAAATTCAGCACGAGTTGGACAGAATGTTGTACAAAGCACGAACCGAAGGTGAGTGCATTTGTACTAACATTCTGTCCAACGAGTGCTGAATTTCACCATATTGAATGGCCTATCATTATTTATTCCGATTCAAACATAAAAATTAGTAAAAGCCGTGTCTGTGGAACGGGCATGAAGGAAGAATACGCATGCTGTCAAGATTCTGAAGTCGGCCTGAAAATGTTTTGAATTTGTTTGGGCTGTTCTATTTTACTCCCCGTTTTAGATTTTATACAGTGTATGCAAACATGGGGTGTTGATAAAATAAAAATAAATAGGGAGTAAAAAAGAACAGCTATCCCCGGACAGAGCCCCAGATGTGCAGCTGAGATGTGACGTCACTCAAAACAATGCAAATTGCAGATTGAATAGAGCATGGTCGTGCATCTATGGAGAATTAGAGAACGTTCTATATTGGCTATGCTGCATTCTGATTGGTTGAGAAATTCGAATAGAGCACGGTCATGTTTGAATTGTTTATAATGAATGGATTTCCTAATTAAATGCCATGTTATACTCCAGTTCAATTACAATACATTTAGTAGCCATCCAACAACTAATGTTGATCATTGCATCTTTCATCGGAAGTCTGTGAATAGGTTTAAGGTGTCATGACATTCTTATAAATATGTTTCTGTTTCATTGTTTTGTGATGTTGTTTCTTTTCTTTTATAGGATGAACACAAAATTCCAATTGAAGACTTATATCAAAGATTGGGAACAGACCCTAATATTGTAAGTATCCTTCAAGAAATGCCAGAAAAGGTTGTTGTAGATTCTAGGTATAGAATTTCTTTCATAAACCTCAACACCCATTTAGTAAAACTTCCATTTCCTGATTCCATCAACCTGGATGCCTCTGAAGAACAAAAATAAGATGAAGTCATTTAACTTGCAGAAATATCGTGTGCAGTCTCAACTGCTGTAATGATTACGAAAACTGTGAAGTATTTAACATTGTGGCCCATATGCTGTTACATCAGCATATAGATCACAATTACTTATTGACAAGTTAGATTGAATATGAATGACAATGATCAGTGTCAAATGTTTTATATTTTTGATGGTGATGCTTTCATGGCCTTATAAATCATAATATTCAGTACATATCCTGGTGTTTCCCTCATCTAATATCTCATTAAGTATGGCAGCACTGAGTATGTTCTTTAGTTGAAAGAGGTATCAAAGGTATTAAATGAGGAAATATCTCAATATTTTTCTTGATTATTTCTCCCTCTCGGGTATTATCCATCTGATGGCTTCAGTTAGCAAGATTCAAATCAGAATAAAGAATATCATATTTGCCTCAATGAAATATCATATTCTGTATGTATGAAGTAATGTGCATTACATATATTACTCAACCCATTTATCCCTTTCACTGGTAGGTAATAATCTTGCATTATAATCTAAAAAATGTAAAAGTTCTTAGAGTGTATATAAATATTAAGAGAAAGATCAAATAATCATTATTACTTGATAGTGATGCTTTCCACTGCGTGAAGCGTAACATTAAAGCCTCTTGAAGCAAATCAATGCAGAAATGAAACTTTCATATATGTCTTTTACAATATGATGTTTGACTGATCTTTTTTCTCATATCACAAAATACATAGATTTATCATTGTGATATCTTCAAAAGACATCAATATATATGCTTGTTTGATTGCTCTGCTCTTGGCATCTTCATAACACTTATTCTAAGTAAGCGTGCCTGGTGTGCCTGCCATGCTGTCATGCCACTCTTCAACCAAGATTATTTCAACATACCTGTATATAAATATAGTATATACGCATGTAGTACCATATTGTACTTGTAATGCTGTTTATGATTCATCAATAAGTACTCTACCATTGTTTTAAGTACAGCTCGTAAAGTTCATGTTCAACAATGTTTTTGTGATATCTTAACATAGTTCTTTATCAAAGTACTAGATTTGATTCCTGCACTTTTGTGGAATTCAAAGCTTGAGTGAAACTAAGGAATATACTTACATGAACATGGAATGTTTAGCATGTATTACATTCAAATATTACCAAAATGACCTTTACCCTAATAGATAAATAATCTCATATGTCTGTGGAACTAATCTCATGAAGTTACAAAACATATTGAGTGTAGTTGTACGAGTTTGGGAGCTGGCCTTTTTCTATCTGTTTGTATAAAAATAGACGCTGTTATTATTGATTAGCAGCCAGATATTATCAATATCCATAAACTATCACGGGGATCATATTTTCCCTGAAAAGGTCAATACATGTTTAATAAATTGGTGAGATGTCGAATTGGAAGTGTGAACCTCATTTGGAATGACTTGAAATGGAGTCTGTCATACTTAAGCTGTGATTAGTCATTGGAACATGTGATATTTGCGATATATCATTTTGCCACACAACTCTTAAATTACAATTACAGTATACAGAGCATGGCTGAATCAGAGTAGGAATTAGGAAATGAGAATGTGGTGTGTTTGTGATAATCCTCGACTTAATGGAACTACCAATAAACTGTTGTGTCTGTAACAATATTCTGGTAGATTTATTTTTGTACTGACTAATATGTTATGCCATGACATCTAAAGAGTCGATAAAATATATATATTGAGTCTATGATCAATGTACAATATTGTAATGGTTTAAATAAGTGGGCAATTCCTTGAATAACAATTCATTTTCAAGCAATTGCAACTCTTCATCATAGTCTGTCTGTACTTAGGAGCTTCAGCCTCATTGTGAAAACTGGGATTATTTCATTACATGATTTCAGTAACCTGATTAGGTTGAGGCATTTGGCCTTGTGCCTCCTTAAATGTTGGGTTACGTCATGAATTCCTTCAAACCAATGCACCAAATGAATAGATGAGTTCATCAGACTGTGGCTTCAAGCTCCTAAGCTCAAGGCCAGTAATATCGAATCTCTAGTTTGCAATGTAGATTGAATTATCTTACAGTTTCTGTGTTTTACTATGGGTAAACTAATGAAATATGGTTGCCAGTTATTTGTAACTAAATAACCTATTTGTGTGATCATGATATGAATATGAGATCATGTATGATATCTATTTGAGATGATATATCACATGCAAAATGCCAAGACCTTGATTTTCTTCAAAATTAGCCAGAATTTTTGAATAATAGGCCTTTTTGCAAATGAGCCCAAATGTTTTTCTGTGATATACTTGGATGGTTTACCATCACATTCAGTATTGGGTTCCCTCACAAAGGATGCCCAGGTTCATTCATGTTGAGGTCATGTTAGCCGGTGTGCTATTTATCACAGTACAACAAAATACATTCTTACTTTTCATATGAATTTGTCAGACTTACTTTACATACTCCTTGAATTTCATATTGCTGTTTTCATCAAATGTATTCTTGCATGATACTGAGACCACACAGCTGTTGATGGTTTACATAACCTTGGCTTAATCAGTCTTATCTTTAAGATAGTAAAATTCAATGATATTTCTCTGGTATATTTCATTTATGTCAGTTTTACAGTAAGTTTTCATGTGCATGGTGCATGCATCTTGTGATTTATGAATAGATTCAAGCTCCAGGGGGCTAAAGTGAATTAACCTTAAAGAGGGAAACTTCAGTTAATTGCTACACCCGGGTGTCTTATGTAACATGTGAAATGCCTATTAGATAGCAAACAGCCAATCAGCTGTCAGCAGAGGATGTGGCTTAGCAGTAGTAGGGTCATTTATAAACACAAGCACAAGGCATTTTGCTGCTATGTTTACATGTTTTAACCTTTGACCTGAGAGCATTGCAGACTATTGGTCAATTTGAAATTAAATCCACATCCAACTGCTCATATTTAATGAGACCTTTAAAATATTTATTTTCAAGTTTGCTTGAAATATACTGAATAATACTTGAATATGATTTCATATTTGTATTCATTATGGTTTCATACATGACTGTAGCAATTTTGGGTCTTTGATACTTCCTAGAATTCATGATATTGGCAAAATCAAAATAAATTTACTGGTTTCAGTGATTCAAACATTTTCAACTGACATAATTGACTGTAATTGGCTGTTCTATCTTCCTTTTATACCCGGTTTTCCCCTTTAAACATGTTATTTTGGGACACTGGTGTCTGTTTTAAACTGTGGACCAGTTTTATTGCAGTTTATCAGCTGTTCACTTCTTAAAACTTGATGTTAGTTGTAAACGAGTACTTTTTTTTCTTGTTGGCTAAGGGTGACTATATCTTAAAATTGAGAAAAAGCATGACATCAATCTCAGAACTAAAATGAATATTTTTTGGGAGTAATATCTTGGTTTCTCAAATATAGTAAAATTGGCATCTATGTGTGACGCTAACTACATGTATTGAAACACCTAGAAAACAAGAGTTCTATTACCTAGTACATTTCTTTGTCAAGTAACACTTAAAATCTGAAATGTAGCTTTAAAGATGTATTTACTTAACCTGTTTGATCAAAGTTTAAATAGTAATGTGTTTGAATAATAGCAATAGCAGTATGCTGTAAAATGGTGTTATAAAGACGTTACAAATCCTTTAATCTTAATCCCTCCTTACTTCATAAGATTAGGATTAAGATTTATTTTGATTCATCCAATTTAGGGTATTAGAGTTTCAACTTTTTGTATAATTACATCAATATGAATTACAAAGAATAGAACAAACATCTATACAGTGAAAAGAATCCATTGAATCTGTTGTAATAAAGTTCAGATTCAAACTAACCTAAATTCTACCAACCTTTATGCTCTATTTTTGGCTTTTGCTCTATAGCACTGACTTGATTAACGAACCATTGTAGAAATAAGTCTCCCTTGATGTGGTGTAATGTGGGACATATTTATGTCAAAGACCATGTGTTCTCTTATTGGTATATTGGTCAAGTACATCCACATTCTATTGACAATTATATTCAATCATGTTTCCCCATTTACACATATATGCTACCATGTTGTTCACTCATACAGCTTTTTCCCTACTCATCCAGTGTTATATATCTTGTGTATTTTCATGTGTTCTACCATTGCAGGGTCTAACAGTACAACGGGCAAAGGAAATTTTACTTAGAGATGGTCCTAACTGTTTATCACCCCCTAAAACTACGCCAGAATGGGTGAAATTTTGCAAGCAGCTTTTTGGCGGTTTCTCAACTCTGCTCTGGATAGGAGCTATTCTATGTTTTGTGGCCTACTCAATCCAAGCATCCACATATGAAGAACCACCAGGCGATAATGTATGTATAGCACACAATAAACAACTTCAATTCTCCAGAATATTTCTATCATAGGTTTAAATTTAAGTTTGTAATATAAATAAATTGATACAGCAAATTGAAGTCAAGTTTTTCAAACATTAAGGCCAATAAACTTCCTTAATTTCAGTTTGATTACTGGCCATTATATCCTATTTTGTCATCATACGTTAGAGCCAACATTTCGACATTATAATCTGATAACACATATTTGATGTGATAAGTGTAATCTATCTATATATTGCATATAAATAATTGATTGATCTGTACATTGTATTAATGCATGTATTTTTGTTCATTAGGGAAATGCTATTTTAAGAGATACCCAACCAGTTTTTGAATGGGGTCATTAAAAACCAAAAATAGAAATAGTAAAGTTTAAATCATCACATTTTATCTCAAGTATTTAAAATATGACTTATAGTAAGTACAGTTTGTTGCCCCTTCAAATTTACACATATGGCCTTACAGGCCTTATCTCAATGATACACAGTCATTATAATCAAATAAATCTAGTCTTTCATTTACGTCATCACTCTAATACTTATATTGTCATTTGACGTTAATGTTGATAAAAATAGAAAGTCCAAAGTGAAAGTGGTAGATAAAGAGAAGTCTAAATTAAGATTACTTTTACTCTCATTCGAATTGTAACCTCAATTTTGGGTATTAGGCCTTTTAAAAAGAACTTTGATTGAGAGATTTATTGATTTGTTGATGATTGCATTTAGATTTAAAATGATAATAAGTCTAGAAGAACAAATATCACCCCAAATTTGATATTAATGTTAAAATCAGAGTATATGGTTAAAATCTCTTCTTGTAACCTTTGGTACACATCAGAACATAATTGTTTCTATATTTAGTGTATTGGTTAGAACATGTTTTTGTAGAATTCCTCTGCTTACAAAAAATGATCATTGAATATCATAATACTGATAATATTTGGCAACTAGTATGTGATTACATTACATCATCATAATATTCATGCTGATATTTTGCATCAGTTTCAGTAAATTCACTTATGGAAAATTCCTTTGCCAGAAATTATATGCACTCAAGCCAAGCCAAAGTTTGGGGTAACACTCATAATTCAAGTATATAGTAAATGTTTTATTTTGTGTCAATTAAGAAAAAAATCAAATTGAAAGGCAGTAACCAGTACTGGTTGAGAAACCTCTTGAAAATATCAAGTAATTGTTTGCTTGAATCACTTAAGACAACCTGCAAGTGAAGATTGTGAAATTTTAAGACTTAAACATCCTCCAGTTTGTATGTTTTGACACTATGTCCTTAACATTAACATATCACTAACTGATTCAGTCAAATCAGTTTGGGTTTATGTGTCCAACAAGATATTTTGTGACAAAAATTGTACGGGGATTATTAGAAAGTTTTGCCAACTCATTTCTGTTTTCTGTATTTTCATTATATTTGGTCATTTGTAAATAGAAGTAATACAAGTAGCATTTCCCTAAGAGCAATGTATATTTGTTGAGTTATTAATTACAGATTCTCATTTATCATATAGCCATAATCATATGTTTGTATGTTATCTGAGTAATTGTAACTTGCACAGGAATTTCTAATTATGAAAAGTACTAAATGTCCTGTTATGTTTCATAAACCTGATTGAATGAACATATATGTGTGTATAGCATGTTTGCACTTTTTCTAGATGAACTTATATTTTTCCATTGTACTTAGTTGTACTTAGGTATCGTGCTCACTGCTGTCGTCCTCGTCACTGGAGTATTTGCTTATTATCAAGAAGCCAAAAGCTCCAAAATTATGGAGTCTTTTAAAGATATGGTCCCTCAGGTTTGTGATGATGCAGTGTGAATTCTGAGTGGTCTTCTTCATCTCTAGGTTATCTCCATGGAGATCCTGCCTTTAGACTCTCTTTTAGAGTTTTAGATAATATCTTATTTTCCAGGTCTTATAGCTTAAAGCTTCATAGACAGATGTTCAAAATCTTCTTGTGCCTCAGTTAAGGTGTCTGTTCTCATTTGTAACTGAATATCTATATTTTTGTCATACAGACATATTTTTAAAATGTTGAACAGACATTTAACGCAGAGGCTATCTGTTACATATCTAAACTGTTTCTTTCTTGACTTGTGATAAATTACACTCAACTTGAGTACTAATATAATATAATGAAATATAACAAATTTCTGTTTTATGTGATTAATATTAATTAAGATCTTTTTCAGATTGATTTTCCACGCACAAATTATGTGTTATATTTTTTATACTCCAATGGAGACATACTAATTCATAATAGATTTATCTACAGTTACAGAGTGATCTACTTTTCTGCACCAACAAACTACTTTAGTTGCTGTAGATATCTACATAGTGTTTCCAAAGTATTGAAATCTGTTTGTAGTGCTTCCTCAATCTGAGAGTTCTATTCTTAGACTTTAAAAAAATAGACTAACTATTTATTTTTTGAGATTTTCTCCAACTTCAGCTCTACCTAGGAATAGTCTTGACTGGGGTCGTCGTAGTTACGGGTGTATTTTCATACTATCAAGAAGCTAAAAGTTCCAAAATTATGGAATCTTTTAAAGATATGGTTCCCCAGGTTTGTTTAGCGGGCTCCATGGAATGGGAATTTGATGTTTGGTAGCAAGAGACTTTTAATTGGATGGATAGAATAGGTTTCATTTCTGGATTTTGGGAGGGTTTAATTTATGGATTAACAGGCTTTATTTACGTCATCATTACTTAAAAAGTATCCATCATAGATTATCAGTCATTCGTTTGGAAATTTTTTCGGACAGAAGAAGATATTTCCAACATTGCTAGCAATATATTGAATTGTAGCATGTCATCGAGAGTAACTAAAATGCATAGTGTGTAGATATACTGAAATGTTCTCATGGAACACAAGCTGTCTCAACAATCTTAGTAGTCAACAAGACTTAGCATTATTGGAATGAATCTGATTAAAGATTGAGCATGTAGTGGGTCAAGCCAAACTATCAATTTTTTTTTTGAATTCTGTATATTGCCTCCAATCACATAAATCCCCAAATTTTTGATATTTTGGCATTACCCATTATAATATTGTGATTGCCTCAGTTTGACAGCTATGTTTCCATGTAATAACCCTTTTCGCTGTCACAACTATGACATCATCAGTATAATTTCCAGACATGGAAGGGTTAATGTATCCCTGTGTCGCCTATCGTCTGTTGATATGATATTTTCCAATTGGATATGTTTTGTCCATGTTTGGCTTATATCCTAGTTTGGGAGACAGTTCACTAAAATACAATAACAAGTGGCTTTGGAGGCTTTTTATGTCAGTCCTACATCTAAGGTTTAATTATTATTTCATACCAGATCTCAGAGTGCGATGTAATATTGTTTTGAATTGAAGAAGTACTGAACCTTAGAATGTTTGACTTAACCATTATATGGTTTATGAGCCTAACCTCTTACAATATCTTCATGGTGCAAATGGTGGTCCATGTTGCTTATACAAAAGGCATAGCTAACATTGAATGCTTTCTAACAGAATTATTATAGCAATATTTGTTAATCATAGACGGTCGAGTCAAGAGAGTGATATATATATATGACCATCAGTATTACGACTATGTGCCATCTGCCTAGTGTGGGAGTGGGCCCTTACTTGGGTAGTGGGCCCTTACTTGGGCACAATGGTGGATTTCCTCTTAAATAACTTAACGACTGATTGGTTTAACTCTTGTGCCATTTCTTTATTTGTAATATGTCATTTATGTTCTTATGGATTCTGCATTTACTTCCTCTTTCACAATGCTGTATACTATTTGACGTTTTACTTCCAACTGTGGTGGACTTCTGAGTTGAAAGCCCCCAGGAAGTTAAATGTGTTTGAATTCACTCCTCTGGGTTAGCACAACCTGTTAAATGGTGAGATGTTAAGTGATTGATTCTAGGCTGAGTAAACTGATTGAAGTAGTCCTAGACTACAGGGTGAAGTAACCATGACAATGCTTGATAGATTGCACTTCAGCTAACAATACCAATGTGCCTGGGATAAAACGGTGTTGTAGGGCATTCTTTCACATCATATGACACATCTAGTATAGAAGGAAGAAATTCACAAGTATTGATCCAAAAACCCGAAAAACTTAATTTCAGAAAAGTTCAAAAAGTTACTCCTCATTCATTATCTTGAAAGGGCTAGGATAGTCAGTATCATTTTACAACCGTCATTTGTGTATTTGTCAAATCTTTACCTGACTGTACAATGTTGAGAGACTGAGCATTATAAAAAGGCATTTCCTTCGATATGTCTATGTTGCTCTCATTTCCCATGGGCTTGTGATCCAGTTTCAATTATTCTAGATTACAGGTCATCACGTCTGTGACTAAAATAATTGCCTTCATGGTCTGTCAGTCAATAACGTTTACATGGTGAAAAGTTCAAGATGTTGTGTAAGAGTAAATGTAAGATTCTTGATTATCTTTTGCATTAGCTATTTCAGAATGGATTTTAACATTGTAAATTGTTGTTTTTCTAAATATATTATATGTTTCAAATGTTGCCTTTTGTATTTTGATTTTCTGTTGTCATGTGTGGATGGTCTTTCTAGAACATCAAAAATATGTTCCTTCTAGAACATTGTGGTGAATATTTTTCGATTTGATAATTCAAATATTTTGTTGTTTCTAGAATATTTCCTTGACTTGTTTGTTTTTGACCCCAATGCAGCTGTGGCTAGGTGTGGTGTTAACTACAGTAGTTGTCATAACTGGAGTGTTCTCCTACTATCAGGAGGCAAAGAGTTCTAAAATTATGGAATCATTCAAAGATATGGTCCCTCAGGTTTGTCATTATACCACCAAGTGCAACTGTGGTCATGCTTCTTCCCAATAAAGAATATCAGACACCTAGGCTAAAACAAATGCTAGGATGTCAGCGTTTTCACTAGTATTGGGTACAAGTGGTAGATTTGGCTCTACATGTGATCAAATTTGCCACCTGCCAGTTCAGATGTAAGGACTGGAAGAGGAAGGATGACCACAGTAATATTCTTTTCTTCTTACACTTGGAAGGTTGATCCATATTGGATAGTTCCATTTATCTGATGCACCTTCATATTTGCCATTGTCATTTCAAGAACATATGTGGGTTATCTTCTACAACATTTTATGATGCTCATATCCTTCTGTACAATGGGAACTCAAAAACTGAGTTCATTGTTCACTAGGAACTTGAATCCAGATTCTATTTTTGTTGTTCTTTTAAATTTTGATTTGTCTATTCATAATTGCTATTTTCTACAAGACACCAAAATTATTGGTGCATTTATTCAAGACTTTTATTCTGCATGATCTTTAGACATAAATATATATTCCCATTGGGATCACATTGATGCCTGGTCTACATTAGGCAGTTTCTTTGGATCTATCACAACAATTCTATATCATGCATCGGCCAGTTTTCTCTACATAAAGGACAAACAACAGCTCAACATCGTACCAGTAGGAAGATAATGATGATTTCATTGTTTACAACCAAGATAAAACAAAGGACAGCAGCTTTTTATTATTAAGAACAACAAAGGCAGCATATCTCTTTACAAGGAGGAGAAAATGGTGTCTTGTCATCAACGTGGAAGGAGTATGCTGAGAAAAATGATCTTGTTTTCCATGCAGCGAGAGTGTTGTATTTTACTAATAACTCAATATTTCTTCCTTTTAACAATTAATCTGAAATTATGTTTAAATGCTATATTTTCTAAGCCAGCTTTATTGTCTTTATTTCACAGCTTTATTTGGGAATAGTATTAACTGCAGTGGTAATAGTAACAGGCGTGTTCTCATATTATCAAGAAGCGAAAAGTTCAAAAATTATGGATTCTTTCAAAGATATGGTTCCTCAGGTAATGTTAGGTCTTACTTAATGTGGCTTGTAATGGGAGAGAAGTGTGACCATTTGCCACATATTCATTATAGACTCTAGATGTTTATGTACAGTATGGTTTAGAGTCCTCCACATTCTCATTTACCTCCTTTGCACGCCCAAATGAACAAAATCTGCTATGGCCAACACCCAACAGATGCCTCTGTTATTACTATTATATTGGACCAGATCAGCTTTTGTTCTAACTAGCTCTTTATATTTGATATATCCCAGTTTCTCACTTTCTTCATTAGGTATTGATCCCTTCTCTGAATCCTGCTTTATTTATTACCTTTTCTATGCTATATTTTAAATAAAATTCTGATATTGGGTGATAATATAAGGGTTACACTAGAAAATTGAGACATGTGTGGAATTACACTTCCTCAGATGTTCCTTAGATATTTTTTCAATGATGTCATTTCAATCTGTAGCTCTATCCACTACTCGCACTCTTAAGAAATATGGATTTTAGTAGATTTTTAGCTCGTAGATAAGAAGTATTTAAAAAATAAGTGAATCATTCAATAATCGGTATATCAGGTTTATATGGGTGAGTTAAGTTTCAGATGAGTTGCCATGCATATAATGGGTATTGCATGCCTAACATTTACTCACTATTGTATTGCTCACCTTCCATTTAATACAACAGTGATACCTTTTACTATACTAGAACATGTACAGGGATTCAAGTATATCTGAAATTGACAAAATCTCAGTAAGATTAGGCTTTACTCCCTGTATATGTCAAGCTCATTGTCATTGCACTAAAACTCACATTTACATTGTAAAGGTGGCTTCAGTTATACAATGAACCAATGTTTCAATTGTGCTTGTTTTTTGATTAAAAAGATGATATGTTATTTTCAAATTTGTTGAAGTCTTATGATTGAAGGTCTTGTATAATTGGAAGCCATTTGATGCAATGTGATTGTGTATTTTGCTTGTATATTTGGGTGTACTCTTACAAATGATATATGCTTTTATATATTTGCCCCTTTATTTACTAATATGGTGAATATTTTAGATACTTCATCCATAGACCTGGTAGTTGGATGTTTAGTTACAATTAATGCAACTTTTGAACTTTACCAATTTGGTATAAGGTCAGATGACATATGTCTTCCTGATTTACAAGTACAGTTTTATTATGGTAGCTTTACCTTGGAATTGTACTGACCGCAGTGGTCCTAGTAACAGGGATTTTCTCCTACTATCAAGAAGCCAAGAGCAATAGAATAATGGAATCATTCAAAAATTTGGTTCCACAGGTTAGCTTTAATGTTCCCTAGCTCAGCTATCAGCTAGCTGTCAATGTTTTGGGACATGTGGATCAATGTGCATCTCTATGGCATAGTTGCTACAGTGGTGTCATGCTCAGCTGTTCCAAATGCCTTGCAAATCTGGCTTACTGGAGTTGAGAGACAAGATACTTCTAGCATGTCATGCTAGATCAATATAAATCAAATGGGGTTCAAACTGGCACAAAATCAATTTTTAAGCTTGGCTGAAAGTTAAAGATCTTGCTTTAAAGCCTTTAGGCTTCGTGCCTGTCCTAATTACAAATGTATGTGTCAATGTGTTTAGCCTTTTTTGGCTTTTCTTTAAGGGAAAATGGAATTATCTTTCAAATTTGTCAGGATTTTGCTTAAAATAACCCTAGCTTTATATTTCATGTTCTGTCATGTTTCAACATGCATTAAGTATGTTTAAATGACTTGAGATTCAGCCAAGCTCTGTGGGAATATCTTGGATCATTGGTGAGCTTGCTTTATTTTGTTTTAGCTCTCGAATGGCTCGTCATGTGAAGAGAAAATGCTTTGAGTCTCTGTCCCTCTGTCTGTTCTATTTACTATTTCTCTTTATCATGAAAGGTTCTCTAGTGGATTTCTGAGTTGAATATTTATGCTTACAAATGTGCAATTACATGTCTGATGAATATGTGTTTGCTCAATAGCTTTGCTTCATTCTTAGTTAAGATCATCTTTTTCTGTGATGTGATTATGTCTAACCTGCAATCAGTTTAACCATAGCAACTAACTTAGTGTTTCCCCTTGTCTTGTCCAGCTATATTTGGGCATAACATTAGCAGTCGTGGTAACAATCACAGGCTGTTTCTCATATTATCAAGAGGCAAGCAGTGCCAACATCATGGCCTCATTCGCAAACATGGTCCCCCAGGTATATATTCCTCATAGGTAATCTTCCCTTGTTGCCTTGCATGCCACTCACTGGTTTACATGAAGTTATATGACCAACTTATATATATGGGATAGTCATTGACATGAACTGTTTTGGCTGGTGGAAATCTCAAATTAATTTTTATCAGTTTATTTGAATTATCTGCTATTGTACTTCCAGCCAAATTGTTCTAAAAATGATTATTCTGAATTAAGTTTGTCTGTTTCTACAAATGAAGAAGTTTCACTCCATAAAATTCTAGTTCTGAGAAGGATTAGATACCTCAGTTACAGAAAATCTTAGTAGAGATACTCTAATATTATTGTGTTTATGAAATAGTGAAACATCTTTCATTTGTATGAACGTACAAAGTAGGTTGAGTTTTATATTATAAGTTATGTGTTTGTCATTTAAACTCTTGAATTTTGATGTTTTTGAACATTTAATAAAATTAACATAATTTTATCATTGAAGTAAATATACATTACATCTAAATAAATTGTATTATGATAATTACTACAATTGACTATTGTAATATGAAATTTCTAAACTTAAATCATGAAAAATATAAGAAGTAGAACTGTTTCGTAATATCAAATGGTATATTTTAGGGGAGCATGAAATAATGTAATAATGTTTTCATTGTAGTTTGCTCTGTGTATCCGTGGTGGTGAGAAACTTAACATTCGTGCAGAAGAGTTGGTGGTTGGTGACATTGTTGAGGTGAAGTTTGGAGATCGAGTACCTGCTGACATTCGTGTCATTTCAGCCCATGGGTTTAAGGTAATCTTTAGTTTTCAATTTGTATAAATCAATAAATGTATCTCAATATTCTTGGTATTTGTTCAAAATTTGTTCATATCCTTGTTTTTCAATTTAGCCACAATCCTCAACTGTCCCAGAATTAGATTATGAATATGTGTAGAATTCTTGTATAAAATCAGTCATAATCTCCATATTCGTAACTGGTGGCTGTCCCAGGTAAAGCAATATTCGCCAATAATTACTAATAGATATCCTTTACGTGTTGCAGGTAGATAACTCCTCCCTCACTGGAGAGTCTGAACCTCAGTCACGTAGCGCTGATTTCACCAATGAGAACCCTCTGGAAACTAGAAATTTGGCTTTCTTCTCGACAAATGCTGTGGAAGGTAAATATATTCACCTATTTACAAATAATTTAAATTACTTTTCGCTCCAATTTTGGTTAACATATTGCAAAGAGCACATTTATGGCCATGAAATTATTTATATGGTTTATTTTGTAAATTTAAATTGTACATCTTGCTTGTACTCTATATTGCCTAATGAATGATTTCTAGGAACATGCAAGGGAATTGTTGTACAGTGTGGTGATAACTCTGTCATGGGTCGTATTGCTAACCTTGCCTCTGGTCTAGAAGTAGGAGACACCCCAATCGCTATTGAAATCGGACATTTCATTCATCTCATCACTGGTGTGGCTGTGTTCCTCGGTGTGTCATTCTTCATTGTTGCATTCATCCTGGGATACTTCTGGCTCGATGCTGTCATCTTCTTGATCGGTATCATTGTGGCTAATGTACCTGAGGGACTTCTTGCTACTGTCACAGTAAGTATACAACAGAAATATCACATATTAAATGGTTCACTCTGCCGAGTATATGCTTAATCTCATCAATATTTTAATGTTTTGGGGTGAAATCAGTTAATTGATATCAGTCAAAAAACATGATATGAACCCCTAATTCTCCCTCAAAGTAGAATGTAAACTGTAAATACAGCAAATCAGTGCCATCTAAAACTGAAATGTTTTATTATAGGTATGTCTGACCCTTACTGCCAAGCGTATGGCCTCCAAGAACTGCCTTGTGAAGAACTTGGAAGCTGTAGAGACTCTGGGATCTACATCCACCATCTGCTCCGACAAGACAGGAACACTTACACAGAACAGAATGACTGTCGCTCACATGTGGTTTGACAACCGTATTGTAGAGGCTGACACCACTGATGATCAATCTAGTAAGTAAAAATAAGATAACTAAGATATAAAAGTGTAAAGTGTTCAAACACTGATACCTTGCCTCAATGAATTTTAAAGATTTGTAGTTTCAGAAGACACATGGATTAATACATTTGGAAATTGTTTTCATTCACATGCCCTGTAAAGTAAAACTTGAGTGTGAACTTGTAGTGAACAGCTATTAATATATTAATATTGTATGTTTCTAGGTGCAACCTATGACAAAAATAACCCTACATGGATCAATTTGGCTAGAATTGCTATGTTGTGTAATAGAGCTGAATTCAAAGTCAATCAAGATGATGTTCCAATTCTGAAGAGGTAAACATTAGTTCTATTATAAGATATAGAAGTTGATATTATAAGAAAAAGGTGCTAGGTCATGTTTGATATCAAATCCAGAAGACAGTTATTGGATTGGCTATTGAAATCACCCACTTGTATGTCTGTAAGTCTGTCTTTTAACACATTGATGGCTCATTTGTAATCCTCCACAACAATTGTAATGGTTTTGCTTTTGAAATTTGTCTGTAACATTTTCAATTGCTTTTTTTAGCTCTCATTAGTCTCATTAGCTCACCTCATTTCAAAATGGGGGCTATCTTGATTGCTAAAAAATTGCTATTCCAGAGAGTGTAACGGAGATGCTTCAGAATCTGCTCTCTTGAAATGTGTTGAACTTTCCATCGGACGCGTCACAGAATATCGTGCCAAAAACAATAAAGTCTGTGAAATCCCATTCAACTCCAGCAACAAATATCAGGTAAGAAAAAATCTTTTATTTGCTTCTAACAGATTGATCACTCATATTTGCATTCATTGAAATATAGTCTATAGATATTCACATATCTTCAAACACCACACAACATGTGGTTATTTGTGAGCCTTAAACTTCCATCATCATGACTCCTAAGAAATATGTTGTGACTGATTGATGTGAAACATTTGAATATTTATCAGGTGTCCATTCATGAGACTGATGACCCCAATGACAAGCGTTACGTATTGGTGATGAAGGGAGCTCCAGAGAGAATATTGGATCGTTGTTCCACCATCCTCATAGAAGGCAAAGACATCCCAATGACTGATGAATGGCGTGATAACTTCAACCAGGCCTATCTTGAACTAGGAGGTCTTGGTGAGCGTGTACTTGGATTCTGCGACTATGAACTGCCAGTAGATCAGTTCCCATCTGGTTATCCATTCGATGCCGATGAAGAGAACTTTCCATTGACTGGACTGCGATTTGTTGGTTTGATGTCCTTGATTGACCCCCCACGTGCTGCTGTACCTGATGCTGTCGCTAAATGCCGATCCGCTGGTATCAAAGTTATCATGGTTACTGGTGATCATCCAATCACAGCCAAGGCTATTGCTAAGGGTGTAGGAATTATCTCTGAGGGACAGGAATGTGTAGAGGATATTGCCGCTCGTCTGAACATCCCCGTATCTGAAGTCAACCCCCGTGATGCCCATGCCATTGTTGTTCATGGTGGAGATCTGAGAGACATGACCCCAGCACAGATTGATGACGTCCTAAGGAATCACACAGAGATTGTATTCGCACGTACCTCACCCCAGCAGAAACTGATCATTGTTGAAGGTTGCCAGCGTATGGGAGCTATTGTGGCTGTAACTGGAGATGGTGTCAATGATTCCCCTGCTTTGAAGAAAGCTGATATTGGTATGTATTACTCTATATCTATAATCTTGAAGGGATTTCCAGCATTAACATTCATCACCCACAAGGTGAAAATGTTACAATAATTATTGATCATTAGTCTTTGAGTAGTGAGTACTTCTTCATAATTACGGGTATATTCTTTCATCTCCATTCCATGTCCCCTGGTTCCACTTTTGTTCTCTAGTTTTTGAAGTATTGATTCTACATTGGTGTTATCTCATTGTTACTAATTTGAATGTTTAATAACATTTGCTCAGGTATGTCATTTTATGTTATAATGTTTGTTTACAGGTGTTGCTATGGGTATTGCTGGTAGTGATGTGAGTAAACAGGCAGCTGACATGATCTTGCTGGATGACAACTTTGCCTCCATCGTCACTGGTGTAGAAGAGGGACGTCTTATCTTTGACAACTTGAAAAAATCAATTGCTTACACCCTCACCTCCAACATCCCTGAGATTTCCCCATTCTTGCTGTTCATTGTCGCTGATGTCCCCCTCCCACTTGGAACCATCACCATTCTGTGTATCGATTTAGGTACCGATTTAGTCCCTGCAATCTCATTGGCTTACGAAGAAGCTGAGAGTGACATCATGAAGCGTCAACCTCGTGATCCCGTCAATGACAAGCTTGTCAACCAACGTCTTATCAGTATGGCATATGGGCAGATTGGTATGATTCAGGCCTCTGCTGGATTCTTTGTGTACTTCGTCATCATGGCAGAGAATGGGTTCTGGCCTGTGCGTTTGCTTGGAATCAGAAAGGAGTGGGATTCTAAGGGCATCAATGATCTAGAGGATTCATATGGACAGGAATGGGTAAGTTAACTGGCACATAATTAAGGACACCTTTTGAACCCAATTGTACGTGACGTGAAAGTTAAAATTTGTCTTTGTTGAGTAAAACTTATAACTGAAATCTACCATTTTGATTTTAATCAGAACCATGCTAAACACTGTCAAAATTAATAACTGATTTATGATGTGTTAAACCCAAGAATAAATGAGTTGAGTTTTCCATGTATTAACCTTGTAATATTTAGAGGTTATGTCACTATCGTGGCATATATGCCCGAGGTCTCAGTGATATATGGCCCGACCTTGGGAGGGACATTGATCTCTGAGAACCGAGGGCACATGTGCCACGATAGTGACATAAACGATTTATAACATGCCTATGATGTTGTAGACTGGTCAGAGAGTACCGTTTTCTTATAGAATTGACAAACAAATGGTTTGAAAATGATTGAAATGAGTTTAGAAAAATTGCTCGTGCAGTTTTATCTTCGATTGATTGGTTGACCAATCAGAAAGTTAGCGGGCGCGGGCTTTTCAAAACTTATATTGGCCCGCTGTCTTGTGTTCAATTTGCACTATACATCATCATAGGTATGTTATAATATACTTTTAGACATATGCCCAGCGCAAGATCTTGGAATACACATGCCACACTGCATACTTCACATCAATTGTTATTGTACAATGGGCAGATCTTGTCATCTGTAAGACACGTAGAAACTCTGTACTCCACCAGGGAATGAGGTAAGATATGAAGATTATCTCATACATATGGAGATTATCCTAGTTTTTATTGAAACTAAATGGATGTTCGGTAAAACAAATGACTTGAGGTTGTAAGTTCTGTCCATTTGCTCACTATTATCATGGTATAATGGAGAGAAGTTTTTATCTATTAATAATGAAAAGGTAAGAAAAGTTCATATCTGCATGTTATTTAATAAGGACAGTTAGAGTGCTAATAGTATAATTGTGGCTCATATCATATTGTTGTTTTTCAGAAATAACCAGCTCACATTTGGTCTGTTCTTTGAGACTGGACTTGCAGCTTTCCTGTCGTACTGCCCTGGTCTAGACAAAGGCTTGCGTATGTACCCACTACGGTAAGTTGTCCCTCATATAACTTTTTAATGCAGGAGCTAGTTATGCATTGGTTTAAATATTAAATTTTCTTTTGTTGGTTTTACAAATTCAGAATTGGGTCTTCATCATACAAATAGCTGAACAGATAATGTTTTTATTATATGTTTCTAATTGATTTTAACTGCTAGAGGAACACCTACAATGCCACTGGCAAATAGGTCACTTTATAAACTATTTCTAATAAAATCTGTTGATAAAAAATAGATTGAGTTTTGAATATGATAATATTTGCACTTTCAGATTTGAGTGGTGGATTCCTCCTATTCCCTTTAGCATAGCTATCTTTATCTATGATGAAGTCAGAAAAAGCATACTTAGGAAACATCCAGGCGGCTGGGTCGAAAAGGAAACCTACTATTAACACCAGATCGGTCCTTGGACGTTACGTGGACAAAACAATAGCTATGTGTACATATGTATGAACCTGAACAAATATAGGAATAACTTGTACAGTATTTCAGGTTCAGTATGTTCTACAGAGAGATTTTATGCAACAGTGCGTCTCGTGCTAAGGGCCGTGTAAGGACAATTAGTAAATAACCAATTAGTTGTGAATATTCATGTTAATTATTCAGTAAGATTTCAAGGAACGAGGCTTAATGAAAGATAACCAAGGCAAGCTGGGTAGTTCTCAGTATTAGGCGAATGATAATATCATGCAGTAACATGTTGAAAACAGAACTCTGAAGAAAATAAGACTTTGTTTGGTGTAATTTTTTCACTGTTATATTTTATGTGATATAGTTTACATGATTTGGACTGTTGAGTCCCTATTCTGAATCTGAATGTATGAATTTTATCCAGTTTTGTTCAACATGATGTTCAGTGGGTCCTGATGTATGAAATGACACCTCTACATCATCTCATTGAGGTCATGTGTGTGCATGTCTTTTTAATAACTTTCCTTGTACATTTTTGTTTGAGATTTTACTAGACTAGTGGAGTACATATCGAGGCAAAGATTGCTGGAGTGAAAGAAAGGGCAAGGTTGGGTGGAAAATAAGGAAACAACGGGTCGGAACTCCGTATAGGAGTTGAAGCAATAATTCAAGTTGATGGCTACATTAGTGAACCAAAGTGTGAACCATTGTGTTTTTGGTAACTTGTCTAATCAACCTTGTCCTTTACCAAACCCATGTGACATTCCAGTAACCATAGCGACCTGTATGTTTTAGTATTTCGTATCTCGTGTGTGAATATTACTAAATAAACATAAGTTAAATATGAATAAATGATTATATTGATTAGAGTGTACAAAGTTTTTGGCTTTTTGTGACATGGTTGCTTGGGTTTTATTTTATAATACTATGACTAAAATTGTATAATAATATCTGAATATAACATTTCTCAGTGACGTCTTTGCTTTGAATATGATATAAATAACAAAATGTTGAGCTTTTTGCTAAGCAACTATGTCACTTGAGGTCATGTTGATTACTAGCAAGTTCACAATTTATATATTATACATTTAAGTTTTGATACTTGTCACATAGACTAGCTTATTAATGCAGAAAGCAATATTGCTATAAATCAATTAACAGTGGTTTGCCACTTTCAGTGGGCGTAGCACTTTTGTGTTATGTCAACCAAAAGGTGTAAAGGTCGTTGTTATGCACATAGTAGCATGTAGAAAATATATCAAAATATAGAGGATCTAAACAAATTATATGAACTAGGAATAAAAAAGGGTCCATGACACTGCAAATAGGCAAGTAATACTTGGGGGAGGGCTACTCTGAGATCATCTGGCCTCACGTTGCATCAGTCAGGCCCAATGTTGCTAGATCAAGGCCTGGGGTTTGAATGCAGCCAGGTGACCATACTAAAGCATTCAAACAGCCTAGTGTTGGGACAGAGGGTGATTATACATATTAGGTATGAAATCTCGTGTTCTAACATTGCAGTACCCTCTTGTGTCACACTTCCTTGTTAACCATTGTGTATGATTCCTGGCAAACAGCACCTTCTAAATCAAATGTCTCCTCTGTTTATAACAGAGGACATATCCACCTAACACCCTATTTAAGTAATACACATTATTCCACCATATAAAAGATAATATTCAGGAAATCTAGTACCTATTTTAGAATCCTGTTCTAATAACATTTCATGGGCTCTGGGTTAAGTCAGCTCTTGGAGGATATTGCTGCTATTTGGTCAAATATTATACACTGGTTAATAATATAATCACCCATGTATTATAATGACCCTATAACAACCATGTAAATATATCATAGTCTATTAGATACATATTCAATACTATTAAATCAATATTGTTTTTTTACCAGTCGTATAATAACAGTGTTTAAGTATTCAAAATGTTTCACTCGTAAAAACTGCTCTGTTTTGTGTCACAGCTAAAATGAAATTAATAATTTATTTGTGTAAGGAAATAATAGACACACAGCAGACAAAACATCTATCACTACATATCAAATTACAATCCAAGATGTGTCCAGAATTCTCAACTGCTCTGTACTATTCCTTCTCTACACTGATACATTGATTGGAATTTGGCTGTTTTTAATCACATTTGACTGTTTAGAGGACTTTGGCTGTAATGTATCAATAGATTGAGGAATTATGATTGTAGTGATACCATTAGTGCTGGTTGTTATACCTCAATAAAACTTTTAGGTGTTAAATATTTTAGTTCTGTTCTTATTTGTGATATCCAATTATGTACCATTTCTTAATCTTAATTTTTAATCTGATCTCAAGTATTGGTTATGCTTTCTGAAACTGTGACAGTTTTCAAAATGGCACGGAATTCCGTGACTACTCACATATGACATATGCCTATAAAATACAAATAATTATAGGCCAGTAGTATTTTAATTATTGCCTGGACAGATGGACATACAGAATCATTCAAAACATCGAAATATGAATGCACAACTATATTTTGGATTGCTTGTGGTTTGGCTAACAACTTTGTTGCTTCTTGTGTTTTTATGCTTCCCTGTTGTGTCATATTTCTGTTGGTAACATACAAAGTATTAACAATAAAAATTAAGTCATCCTGCTCATCATGAGCAAGGATAACGGCAAATGTCATTCCCGTATTTGGCGATAAGAGGTTTTGATAAAAATCTGTGTCTCCTTTGTCCCTAGGTATTGGCATATATTTGAACCCAATCCGTCCAATAGTATTGGAGTACATTTTTTACGAAAAATGGTGGCCATTTTGAATTGACCTTTTGCGATCAGAATTCAAGTGTTTTGTTTGTGGATACTGTTGTCATGTATTTTGTCTTATTGCTATGACATCATATTAGACATGATGGAGGGACAAAATGGAGGACACATGGCAGTTTTGAGCTGAAAATATTATTGCTTCTTTTATGAAAGCAATGGGTCGGATATTTACCAGGTATGCCGATTTGACTAGATCATGAGTTTATCTTTATGTGTGTGAAGTTTCGGTGAAATTCATACCAAACATCGATGCCTATAAGCGCCCCCCCATTTTTATCAAAATCGGGGGGCGCTTAACCGCTATATAAATCATGTCCGTAGGATCTAAGACTTGGCATGTGCTAATAATGAATGTTGATCTAGTCAAATCGAACACTTTTGTGAAAATAAATTAATAAAGCACGAAATATAGAAGATAATCTCTCAAAATCAAACATCTAAAGCTGAGTGGCCTAATTGTGATGTCACTACAAGATAGAATCCATCCGTTGATCGCAAATCATCAATTGAGTGGCCATGTCGAAAATTCCTTCTCAATCAGAGGTCCTACACCCATAGGGCATAAGCCTATAAAATTTGAATCGCAGTATTTAAGTTGTTGATCGGACAGACAAACAAACGAATGGCGGCTTGCCTATATCCCGCTTGAAGATCAGCCTAAAGCATAATTGGTACCAAATTATTGGAACTCTATTTGTTATTTTCGAAAAATTATCTTTGCTGGAACTTCCTAAATTTTGTCAAGAGACAACCTGTTTAATGCACATGAAACTAATTCATCTAAAATATATCAAACATTAACACTCCCAGTTTTTTGCAAGTTAAATTGATGAATTCTGTATGTAAAATTAGTGAATTCTGCAAGGGAATAAGGCCAATAGGGATTTCTTAGCATTTTTTGTGAAAATAGGCATATTTCAAGCAAGCTACGGGTGAACAATTGCAATAGGTACATACAATCATTTATGCATGTTTCTAGCAAGAAAAAACAAAATTTTGCCAATTTGTGGGTGATATTAAAAAGGAATTGGGAGTGCAGAAAGTATATAATTGATTATTCAGACTGATTGTTCATCCTTCCAGAAAATATGTTAATTCTGCTGGAGTTGATTATAATTCAAGATTCTTCAACGCCACACCTAAAGGCCAATTTCATTCATGCTCTGCGCAAAGAGGGGGGAAATGTCCAGGGTTCAGAGAAGACATATGCCTATAATGTAAATGTGTATTGAGAAGACAAATGATGTTATTCAATGGCAGTCTCAAAATTTTCTAAAAATGCCTCGAATTATATTATGTTAATATCTGGCGTGTTAATATTCTTCATCAATTGTGATACAAATTGATATTTTTGTAATCTCAGAAGAAGGATAAGATATTGAAGTTTAATAATATGTGTGATTGAGTTGGTTTTTCAGACATTACAATTTTCAATATTTTCTAAGTCGATACCCAGACTCATCATTTGGACAAACTAAAGTGGTAAGCAAAAGATGCAATCATGTCTGTCATCTCTTATATTTGTTCTGGGGTTTTCCCTCTTCTCTGCGCATATAGAATCTTGGGAGCAGTGATTTACACATTTTTCTGTATCATCATTTCACTATGGTCCTTTGTTTGCATACTTTTTAGGTTATAGACTTAAATTTTCACTGCATTACACTTCACTTCAGTTCATATTGGTTGGAATTAACATGTTCTCTTATATAAAGATCATTGTGCATTAACAAATACTAGATATTCCGTTATGAACCCTTTAACCAGATTGGTTAATTAAGATGTGTGACAAAACTATAACTTCTATAAAAAGCAATTTATTACAAATTCATTATTATATCTACCATTATCTCATGTCATCCCCTATTATGATAAATGGTATAGGTGATGATTTGATACAAAATCAATGTATTTGCATAGTCACGCGGTCCTAACTTTGACCGTTAATTTGAATTTTTGACCTACCAGATGCTTGAAAATCAAGGATTGCGAGTCTCATACTGCACCGTTTTTCTTCAAACTTATACCATTAAAAGCAAAACAAAATTGCCCTTCTGTCGGTGCATTACTTTATTGTAAAGAGTCCCTCGTTCTAGCAGCATTTTGGTCCCCAGCTGTTAGAAGGCCTTCTTACAGCTGGGGACCAAAATGCAGCTGGAAGTAGAAACTCTGTTTAAGAGAATAATGTACCATCAGAAAGAGATTTTTGTTATGCTTTGAATGGAACAAGTTTGAAGAAAAACGGTGCAGTATGAAACTCGTAATCCTTGATTTTCAAACATCCGGTAGGTCAAAAATTCAAATTAACGGTCGAAGTTAGGACCGCGTGATAGTGTGGTTACATAACATATTATTCACTACCTTCTAACCTTCTGCTTTACAAATATAGCAATGGTCAGATGGTTAGAATTAGAAAAACTTGCCACACAATACACAGGGTGTCCCAAAATAGTGTACCAAGACAAACACTGAATAACTCTGAGTGATGAAAGAATTTTTTTTTTTTTGAAATTTGGTAATCTCACAGATAATATTTTTATCATGAGCATACAAAAACTTAAACGGTTTTAAAGGAAACTGTTTTAGTACGATCACCCATATTTTAGAGAAGTGTTTTAGAACGATCACCTGTATTTCAATATTGCACAGAAACAAACATGAAATAACTCTGTGAGTGATGAGGGGATATTCTAATAATATAATTTAGACCATGTCATGTTAAATAGAAAAATAAATTTTCTTCATCATGTAAAAAACTTTTTCGATAAAGGAAAGAGCTATTCTAGTCTCATTTGGGTACAACTTTTGGGGAACAAACTGTATGTAAACCTTTTGGTCGAAGACATACATTTGAAAATGCTGCTTTTTGATACTAAAGTATAAACTACCTAATATTATGTTCAAATGTAATTTACAAAAGCATGATACTGAATAAATGTTACGTCAGTATTGATAAGCCATTTTTATGAAATAGTATCTGAAGTAGCAGAAATCCACCTTACACCCTTACCTAATCTTCTGGGATAAGGTCATTTTTATAGCAGTATCTAGAACACCAAATAACACTCCAGTTTTTACTAAAACACATATCTTGTAAATCTCATGTGACATCCCTTCTACATAAATTGTCAAGCAGCCACCCTTGGAATGAATAAATAAATATCTTATTGCATTTTGGAATACCTTATTCAATAACATGATAAAAGTACAGATATTTGAAAGTTTAGCTTAAGCCAACTCCACAGAGTATTGACTCTTCTACAACGTTTGAATTGGCCAGATATACATTTTTGAATACACATCCAAGGCCTTGAATGGACTGTATATAGACGGTGAGAGTGTTAGTCCTTGATAATGAGGAGAATTTAGAATAAAAGAAAGATCAAAGAGGCCATTAAGATGCACCAACTAGGTCCAACTATGCATAAAGACAACAGAAGGGTGGACTTGTATCCGCTATACCATTAGTTTCCAAGTCAACCCACAAGCCTGTCATTCCTGATGAAAGATCAATCGAGACATTCAGCCCCAATTTCAAATTTCCCACCTCAATAGCTGACAAAGTCTTATGAGTCCTATGGATAATAGGACAAAATATTTTAAAGTAAAAAAGTCTGTGTTAGATTAACTTTTATAGAAAAGAAATTGTTTTAAAGTCATTTTTAAATTAAAAACAGAGATTCACAACTTACATCCAGTGTACATTGCAAGAATCTCATATTACTAGTCTTAATTGAATAACAGACCAGTTCCCATGTTATTTTCCTGTGAATGTTGCAATAGTAAAACATCACTTATCACTGACAAACTGGGCAGTGCTTATTCTGTCAGCAGTGTCACTCGTGACCAACAAGTGCAGGAGACGCAAACGTTTCTTATTGAACATGCCATTGACACTTAAATTACAGAAGATCATTTAAAGATTATTGTCATCCCATAAGCAAAGCAGCTTCTGTTTGACGTAATACTGAAACATGCGGCATTTCTGACAAGTCTTAATCCCACACCTATAACTAACAATCTTTCCCGCTGAGTCTTTTCCCTTGCAGTATTTCAGTCCACAGGGGTACCAGCCAATACATATTTCATAGCTGCACAAGCACGATCGCCACAGTTCTGCTGTCTCATTACATTTTGGCACAGTATATGGTTGCAGTTTATGAGTAGCAGATGACAGCTGATAATATTCTCTGTCAGTAGCTGGAAATGGAAAGTACAGTTATGATTATTGAGAGACATTTTTCTGTCACACGAGATTATAAAACTACAATAAACTGAATAGAGGCCCATAGCATAGGGTGAAACTTAATATTAAATTAAGCTTAACCCCTAACTTTCCTTGTAACTTAAGAATTATATTATCCTAAAGATGACATATTTTTTTATCAAATACTAACAAGTAGTTTTCAGTGGTATTGTTTTATAATATGCGCCACAGTTATTCACTTGTCGTTTACATTTGTACTTCAATAGCTACTTCTACAGATAGTAATATAGTAAAGAAAATGACTACTAGTATTAAACAAATGTCTGATTTTGGAAGATGCTCAAGGTTCATATTTTAAATTTAAATTTATTTTTACTGATGCACTTACAATGAGATATTGCTTTCAAATCAGCTTCACTAGTATAGGTGGACTCCTTGGCATCATTACAAATTTTGTTAATATGTGGTGACAGTAGATGAGACCTTTCTGAATTGACTAAGAGGTCTTTCTGATGAGGTTCCCGTCCTTTGTCATCCTCAGGGTGCCGTATAGCACTAGGATTTTTCTGAATTGATTAAATGGTATTAAATATCATTGACCAAAATAAAATGGAATGTTATTTTCAGATCATAATATTAAATATTGGAAAGTTACTTTAAAGAAAATCTTAAAATTTTAATCCAAACCAACACATAAAGTACATTTTTGGATGAATACTAAGTTTGATGTAGTCATTTGACTGAGTGAAGCAAAATAGGTTACAAATAAATTCTAAGAACCCTGTCTTACCTGTCTTAACTTGGACATTGCATCTGATGATATAAATTCGTTGTTGATGAATCGTGTGATGAAGCACATGACTTGGTACTGACTTTGCCCCCTCTCTTCCTCACCCAGGACCAGGCTCTTGAAGATCTGCACACCCTGAATCAAAATAATACCACATAAGTAAAACAAACTAAGTCTAGTAGGTATATAGTAAAGCTTTCTGTCTACCCGTCAGTCTGTCTGGAAAATTACTCAAATACTAATAAACAGGTTTTCTTCATGTTTGTTGAAAAGATGTTTTGTATGACTTAGTCCACGCAAAAAAGATATGTCCCTGTACGGTGGAGGGGTATAACGTTGCCGCCATTTCGTTTCAATTTGGGGTAATCTTGACGTATGAGGTAACTTTGACACCTTGTTATTTATATCATGGGCTTTCAACTAGAAGGGTAGGCAACTTCCCATATTTCATACATTAGCATTGCCTTGGTTTTCAAAATTGGAGAATGTACTAATTCCAAAAAATTCTTATTTTGTACTTTTTATTGATGATTTAAAGAGATAACTCAAAAATAAAAACATGATCATCTACATACATGTTGATAATTTAATAAAAAATGGAATTCATCATAATTATGGCAATAAAGAAAGTGAACATTCTCCCACAAATTATGTTTTTATTGGAATGTGTTCTTGAATAATTACCCACAATGCAATACTCAAAGAGAACATCTTGATACCTCTTATTCTTATTGGTCTTTTTAGTTTACTTTTACATGATATTGAATATATTTTATGCTTAAATCATACTGAAAATTGATTTTTATTAAAACTAATACTAAAACATATACATATTATCTAATACCTTTTGAAATATTACCATAAATGGGAAGCATGTCATTGCTCATTTTGAAGGTCTCGTGTTATTACACAGAGTTGCATACCCTTCTAATTGAAAGCCCATGTTTATATGGTTTAATTTCCGATCTAGAGGAAGCCATGTTTTCCTTCTTGCAAGGATCGAAATCTCATGAGATTCCTATTTCTTTCAATCAAACATGGTGGAAATTAGAAATCCTGATTTCTTACAACTGAGTGTCAAAGTTAACCCATTTCTCATGTCAACATTACCCCATGCACACATCGACGATACAGCCCTTAGGCCGAATAGTACATACGTGCCCTATCATATAATATGTTTAGAAAGAAAATACATAACTCTTAACCTTACCGATTTGAAATCAATGAACTGGCAGATGTAGGTGCCATCAGACTTCTGGAATTCTAATATTATTGTGTCATCAGTGACATTTGCATTGATATTTTCTATTACTATTTCTCCACCCTTATTTTTGACATTCACCACTAACTGTGCGACTGTTCTTTGTGCCAGTATAGTAGCTATATATACTAATAAAAATGTTGATTTGTTAAAAATATCCATATTGCTATATAAGTGTAGATATTAATGAAAATTGAAATAAACTTTGTTGACTTTTTCAATAAATTTCAGCCATCTTGAAAATAGTCTCGACGGATATCAGAAACCGTTTGCCTAAGAAGAAAAGTTTCAATGTATACAAAAGATCAATTTATTCCATTTCAAATCAATAATTTATACCACAAACTTTTTTATGCTAATTTCATAGCAATTTGCCTGGATAAAGTTAACAATTAAAAAAATGTATTGACCTACTTACACCCACGACGAGGCTACACGGAAGTGATCGAAAAGTTAAAAAGTTTTACAGCTCTGATAAAAGAGGTAAATTAACACATTTAGATAGTTCCAGTACTGTCAACCCCCAAAGATTTTCTCGCGGGACAGATTTTTTAGACCCAGTGCCCAAAATTCGCGGGATTTGCGGGACATCTACTAAATTCGCGGGATTTCGCGGGACATTTAAGGGATTTGCGTGATTGTGCTTATAGGCCAATTTTTTTTATCAAATTCGCGGGATTTCGCGGGACCATTCGAGGGACAAACACCCTAATTGCGGTACAGTTAACAGGTTTACCAGCAAAAACTTCATAGAGGGACAGATTTTCTAGAAAAAGTGCCCTAAATTTGCGGGATTTCGCGGGACATCCACCTAAATTTGCAGGATGTCCCTGGACATTCAAGGGATTTGCGTGATTTGGACTAATGTAAAAGCGTGTAAAAGTACTTGAATCAAACTTTCAGATACTGATTAATCAAATATAATGCACCGTTACATTGTAACTTAAATAAACGTCAACATAATTTCACAAAATACGCATAGAAATATTATTAAACTTTATTGTAATTTATCAAAAACAAAAACCATGCTTGATGTGTGAGTATCGTAATCTAACACGAAATTCAAAAATTTGGAACAATACTTTGCACTTCTCTGCTTCTGGCGTCGTGACCAACTACTACCATACTGTAGGCATGGGCTTTCAATTGAAAGCCCATGATATAGGGGTTCGATTAATCTACATCAAATTATAGGGAATGAGGTTACTTTTCTAGATAGGGTTTGTAGAAAAAACCGGGTACCGGGTAGTAAATCCTCCATGCTGGGTTCAAACTTTTTTTTATTCCTTCATTCTTATTTATGTACATGTAAATGTAAATATAAATATGTACATGTAAATGTAATGCAATTAATAATATAAATAAAATTTACGTAGACAAACTTGTTACCCGGTCGAAAAACCGGGTACCCAAAAAACGAAATATACGAATATACAACATAATTAGATCATTAGAAAACGTGTAAGATTTGTTTTGAATTTACAAAAATGTAACTTCCTTCAAAATTGAGCTAGAAGCTTCAAATAAAAAGCATTTTAAGCCTCTTTTCTTCCTCTATCATCATGGTCATATATATTTCCATTGGTAATGAAGGGGGAGGGGGTGCGATCGCACCATCACACACTCTCCTGGCTACGCTAATGACAATTGTAAGACGATTTGAATAACAAGACAAATCAATTTTACTCTATTTTCAATGAGTTCGTATGTTGGTACGTGAACATAACCAATGAAAATATGGTCATGACGATAGAGGAAAAAAGAGCCTTAAAATATGCTTTTTATTTGAAGCTTCTAGCTCAATTTTGAAGGATGTTACATACATTTTTGTAAATTCAAAACAAATCTTACACGTTTTCTGATAATCTAATTATGTTATACTCGTATATTCGTATTTTTCATTTTTTGGGTACCCGTTTTTTGACCGGGTACCGCCGGGTACCAAGTTTGAACCCAGCATGGAGGATTTACTACCCGGTACCCGGTTTTTTCTACAAACCCTTTCTAGATATCAGCGTCCATTTATTGTAACTCGCGTTTGCTAACATTTGCTCAGTTCTGAGATGAAGGCCACACGGATAGTAAAAAGGCCAACGTTGGAACTATTTGTGACCTACATCCCTATTGTCGTAATTAAAATGAAAGTTGAACCCTTCCTCTTTATTTTGATACCAAACAACAGCATGCTAGGTACTTGAAATTAGGTAAACTTTACTCCTCAAAAGTGCAAAAACTTAGCTTCTTATATAAGATAAGATAATCACCATATAGGGGATTGCAACAATTTCGGAAATTCGCGGAGGTCGAAAGCCACATTTGCGGGACTTCGCGGGACATTGCGGGACACGCGAATTAGCCTAATTTTGATCGAATTCGCGGGATAATCCCGCCATTCGCGGGACACTTGACAGCTCTGTAGTTCTAAACCCCTCAATGCTAAGTATATTCATTGTATAAACGAAACGTAATTATTACAGTCATTTGTTATTGATTAGATCATGTACATAATATCAACATGAAAAATAATTTGAAATGTACAGATGGGGACAAAAATAAATGACAGGTCGATTTTCGATCACCATTTCCTAATTATGGTGGTCTGAAAGCCCATAATTTCAAATATTGTCTAGATACATATCCCTTAAAATTTGTATATCTTACATTTTGTATACTGTACGCCCGGTATTATTCGCGAGCTTTAATTTCGCGAATTTTGCTAAAACACGGTTTCGCGGCTATTAAATTTCGCGAATTTCACAAGTTTGAAATTCATTATTCTCGGAATTCTCAAGCTAAATTACTAGTAGATGTACAGTAATTGCACTTACCTGATGTCATAGTTGGATCAGATTTACAATAACTGGGATCTTTATCATCGGCAACCTGCTTATCAACTTCTATTATCGCATCGTTAATTTCGGTCTTATTTTAAAACGAAAAAGCAGTTTGAATTCGTATTTTGTTTACACAAAACGAAATGCATCAGAGCCCCGGGTAATAACACATTCCCGGGGATTTAATTGGCAATTTCGCGACGATAATTTTTCGCGATTTTAACACCATCGTGAAAAGCGCGAAAGTTAATCGCACGCGAATAATACCGGGCGTACAGTAATCTCATCCACTGATTTATGGCCTCTTGTAAATTCTCTTATTTTTAACATGGGAAATCCTCACTTCAGCAAATCCACCTGTCATTTATTTATGTCCCCAACTGTATTTTCATTTCCTTTGACTTGTAAAACTTTTCATTTGATTCAGACTCACTTTCAGTTTGATTTAGGCAAGGCTAAAGCAGCTTGTATTATTCTTTTATTACAAGTTAGGAAGAAGAATAACAAAAACAGGTTTTGATTTGCTTGGCAATTGACAGTGATAAAAGGATAACATGTCAATCTGGTGACTATGAGTCATAATATGCATGCAGTGTTTCTCGTATGTCTAAACAAGATGGTATACCATTGGTATCGGATCAGATAGTAGAGTTCTTCTGAAAATAAAATCCACCCATCACTCTTTCTGTGTACTTTAGTGTACTTTAGTTCACAGAGAGTGGGAGGGGTGCGGATTTTCTTTTCAGTACCACATACTGTCTCTACTGTTCTGATGTTTGACTGCATGTCGGTCAACATGGTGACGAGATCATCGTCGATTTGTTGTCAAACTTTCACTTTGATTGACAAATCAACATTCTGACTAATGATGGCAGGCTTAATTTTCATCCTGATGTCCTAATAGTTAGTGTGTCATCCTCCAGCAGCTTTATTGCGTTAAAATAGCACCTCAGCAATAAGTCAAAAAGTTCACCTTTTTCGCCTTCTACTTCACCACTACCAGTTGCCCTTTTATATGCTAATCTAACTCTATCCACAAATTGGTTAAATTCACTGTCATGTATATACATTGAGTTCCTTTGATTTTTAAAATCCTGCCAAATACACCAAATTGCCATGTTTTAGGTTTTTGGTCACCTCAATTGATACAATGTAGCAAATATTGATATTGATTGACAGGTATCAGATATATGGCCATGGGAAGATTAAATTAGTTCATATATTTGTGAATCAGTTATTAAGATGATGATTCTCGACTTGAACGGTGATTTCATTTGTACCTATTTTAGATCAGAGAAAAAAATGCACATTGTCACTCTCAGAAAACCAAAAATTCCCCTTTACAAATAACTCTAGATTTTACAAACCCATTACCTACCTATAACATAACTTGATATTTTAGATACCCCATACAAAGACTGAGTTATGGCATCGGGTGGTCCCCCACCTCCATACCAACCATCAGCTCCCCCTGCTGGTATATACCAACAACCACCTGCAGGAGCATACCCAAACCAGCCACCACCACCAGGAGCATACCCTGCTCAACCGCCACCAGGGGCATACCCTGCTCAACCACCACCAGGAGTGTACCCACAAAAACATGTTGTCGGGGAGAATGTGACAAATGTGCTTCCTGGTGGTAAAGGTGTGGTAGTGGCAGGTGCCTCACAGACAACTGTCGTGAAGAGTTCTGGCAACACACATACAGTTGTACATCAAAAACCAAAGGTGATTTTTATGTTGTATTCTGTTTCTTTCAAAAATCAAATATGCATGAAAAGTATGTAGAATCTTTGTTTAAAAAATTAAATGAAAACATTGTTACAATCAAGAAGTGTTTCTTTTATCAATCCAATACTTTATAATTTATTGGAATTTGTTTCTTAGAAAGGACTGTTTGGCTCTATTGCGAGTGAGTTTAAAAGTGCTGCTAATACAGTGAGCAAGGAAGCTGATAATCTCTCCAAAACTGTATCAAAATCTATTGATGCTAACTGGAGTAGTAAAGAAACAGTAAGACATTTGAATTTACCCATTTTAAGCGAGAATATGGTCATGCTTCATTCCAATTCAGATCACTCATTTGAACATAATTTAAGAGATATCTTGAACTAAACCTAGTATTAGGCATGAAACCTTCTCATTTGACATTAAATTTGATCTTGATTGAGCTAAGCATGACCATAGTCATAGATAATCTGCATGGGTAATGGTAATATGGCATTAGGACACCTGCCCTTTTTTTATCATTCTTGTACAATGGGGATTTGCCTGGCTTTCTGCATGGCTGTTCATGTGTATATAATATGCACTATGAAAATAAAAATACAGTAGCTTGGAAACCTTTTTGTGTCCATGAACTTACACCTTGCATGCTTGCTTGCACTACAAATAGGTTGGAAACCTTTTATGTACATTACTTACAGCTTTCAACAGAGTTTACTTGTATAAGACTTATTATATACATATGCAAGGGATGTAAGTTCTCGAAATATTAATGTGTTTAACTGGTAATACGCCACATTAACACAACCATTCCTTTAAACCTGTATGGAGAAAGAACTTGAATTGAGCAGCAGTTACGCTATCATAATATTCATATTGGTGATGGGAAATTTAAAATAAATTAAAAGGAAAGACAAAAAAGTATTGCTTTAACATCAAATTACTAATATGCCTAGGAAGTTATAGTCATTTATTTTTTGAATGCTGACTTTCATACCTTTTTCCCTCACAGTCACAAACACTCTTAGTGTTGCCCTTTCCAAAGTATGCATGCTTCCAAATGATAAGGTCAGATTGAGACATTGAGGAGACACCTTTCCAAAGTATGCATGCTTCCAAATGATAAGGTCAGATTGAGACATTGAGGAGACACCTTTCCAAAGTATGCATGCTTCCAAATGATAAGGTCAGATTGAGACATTGAGGAGACACCTTTCCAAAGTATGCATGCTTCCAAATGATAAGGTCAGATTGAGACATTGAGGAGACACCTTTCCAAAGTATGCATGCTTCCAAATGATAAGGTCAGATTGAGACATTGAGGAGACACCTTTCCAAAGTGTGCATGCTTCCAAATGATAAGGTCAGACTGAGACATTGAGGAGACACCTTTCCAAAGTGTGCATGCTTCCAAATGATAAGGTCAGACTGAGACATTGAGGAGACACCTTTCCAAAGTGTGCATGCTTCCAAATGATAAGGTCAGACTGAGACATTGAGGAGACACCTTTCCAAAGTATGCATGCTTCCAAATGATAAGGTCAGACTGAGACATTGAGGAGACACCTTTCCAAAGTATGCATGCTTCCAAATGATAAGGTCAGACTGAGACATTGAGGAGACACCTTTCCAAAGTATGCATGCTTCCAAATGATAAGGTCAGACTGAGACATTGAGGAGACACCTTTCCAAAGTATGCATGCTTCCAAATGATCTGGTCAGACTGAGACATTGAGGAGACACCTTTCCAAAGTATGCATGCTTCCAAATGATAAGGTCAGACTGAGACATTGAGGAGACATTCATACTTGATTTAGTCTATGCTGCTATTGAGTAAATAAGTATGACAAGTGACAAATTACAAGTTATGTTATTTAATTATCTGGATTTTTAGGCTAATGCCATTCCTAGAATTAAACTTAAATCACTTTAAAACCAAATTTTCTTACATGATCAATGATTCATGGTTTACATCCTAACACAACCTGCATGACAAAGACAACCCCAAAAGAATCATGTCTGCATTTTAGAGTGCATGTCTAAAGTTCTGTCTTTGCTTATATTTTCACAATGCTTTGCTTGCTCTTGCATGTTGCATGCTGATGCTGGTGACTGATCATATACAGAGGAGCTTGGCTAGTAGGGTAATGAAGATGATGGACAAAGTCACATTTGATTTGGCTTACTTTGGCGAGAATTCCAAGTTTCAAAGTTTAGTAAGTTTTGCAGTAGAGCATCGTATGTCATTATCTATAATTTTAATTTGTTTTAATTTAGATAGAGCAATTACAAATTCTTAATTAATTGTTCACTATAAATCTTATATTTGGAGACATCTGTGTTTTAAAGACGTTAAACGAATGAAAGTATGAAATGTCTATACATGCCTTTTGATAATACTAGTATATTATTTATTATCTTGCAGAACATGTTCAAAGAAGGCAATGTGGTCCAGCTCATATCTAAGGCCAGTGGGAAATCATTGCAGATTGTTCAGTCACCCAATGGTCAGTTCAGTACTGTCAACCCCTAAAGATTTTCTCGCGGGACAGATTTTTTAGACCCAGTGCCCAAAATTCGCGGGATTTTGCGGGACATCTACTAAATTCGCGGGACATTCAAGGATTTGCGTGATTGGGACTAATGTAAAAGCGTGTAAAAGTACTTAAATCAAACTTCCAGATACTGATTAATCAAATACAATGCACCGTTGCATTGTAACTTCAATAAACGTCAACACAATTTCACAAAATACGTATAGGAATATTATTAAACTTTATTGTAATTTTTCAAAAGCAAAAACCATGCTTCAGGTGTGAGTACCGTAATCTAACACGAAATTCAAAAATTCGGAACAATACTTTGCACTTCTGGCGTCGTGAACAACTATGAAACGCTTACCCCCATAATGTTATATATTAAAATACCTATTCATGGCATTTTCTTTCAATTGAAAGCCCATGATATAGGGGTTCGATTAATCTACATCAAATTATAGGGAATGGGGTTACTTTTCTAGATAGGGTTTGTAGAAAAAAACGGGTACCGGGTAGTTAATCCTCCATGCTGGGTTCAAACTTGGTACCCGGTCGAAAAAACCGGGTACCCAAAAAACAAAATATACGAATATACAACATAATTAGATCATTAGAAAACGTGTAAGATTTGTTTTGAATTTACAAAAATGTATGTAACTTCCTTCAAAATTGAGCTAGAAGCTTCAAATAAAAAGCATTTTAAGGCTCTTTTCGTCCTCTATCATCATATTTCCATTGGTAATGAAAGGGGGAGGGGGGATGCGATCGCACCCCCTCCTGGCTACGCCAATGACATTGTAAGACGATTTGAAAAACAAGACAAATCAATCTTACTCTATTTTCAATAGTTTGTTTTTGTTGGTACGTGAATTGTTTTGATTATGATTTAAATCTGTAAATAGCTATCGTTGCTTTAGCAGGTAGGTGACGTGTTAATTTACATGATTTTGATTATTAATCATAATTTAAGTTATCCCAATTTTCGACAAAATGTCCACTGAATTGTAAATTGTTATGTCTTACAATGTCATAGGCGTAGCCAGGAGATGGTGCGATGGTGCGATCGCACCCCCCCCCCCCCCCCAATAACCGATGAAAATATGGCCATGACGATAGAGGAAGAAAAGAGCCTTAAATATACTTTTCATTTGAAGCTTCTAGCTCAATTTTGAAGGATGTTACATACATTTTTGTGAATTCAAAACAAATCTTACACGTTTTCTCATAATCTAATTATGTTATATATTCGTATTTTTCGTTTTATGGGTACCCGTTTTTTGACCGGGTACCGGGTACCAAGTTTGAACCCAGCATGGAGGATTTACTACCCGGTATTTCTATAATGCACCCTTTCTAGAAAGAGGGGGAGAAACCCCAGGGTTCAAAGATGACATACGCTTATAATGTAAATCTGTATTGAGATGACATCGTCGCTGATTGGTTTAGCGAGTCGATCGTTGATTGGTTTAAAACTAGGTCAATTTGAAAACTTTGAAAACCAAGATGCAGGGTAAGTACTTCCGGGAAAGGAGGTGCGCGAAGGAGGAAATCGTATGTCATCAATTGAATCATGGGGTTTTCCCTCCTCTTCTTTCTAGATATCAGCGTCCATTTATTGTAACTCGCGTTTGCTAACATTTGCTCAGTTCTGAGATGAAGGCCACACGGATAGTAAAAAGCCCAACGTTAGAACTATTTTTGACCTACATCCCTATTTTCGTAATTAAAATGAAAGTTGAACCCTTCCTCTTTATTTTGATACCAAACAACAGCATGCTAGGTACTTAAAATTAGGTAAATTGTACTCCTCAAAAGTGCAAAAACTTAGCTTCTTTTATAAGATAAGATAATCACAATATAGGGGATTGCAACAATTTCGGAAATTCGCGGAGGTCAAAAACCACATTTGCGGGACTTCGCGGGACATTGCGGGACACGCGAATTAGCCTAATTTTGATCAAATTCGCGGGATAATCCCGCCATTCGCGGGACACTTGACAGCTCTGTCAGTTAGTGGTAGATGGGTGTGGTATGGAAGGCCCGTCTGCAGCCAATGGTAAGAAATGAGCCTTGCTTGTGCATACCAGAGACTGGGTCCTCCTTCTTTTATCCAGAATTTTCATATGGGATTTTACTACTAGTAAATGTGTGAGAACTGTCACTATCTTCAAAGGAAAGGGAAGCAGTGGTCAAACGTTGACACAACTTGAATGCAGTCTATCAAAATAATTGTAAAGTATTCAAATCAATGTAACCTTGCATTATCGTTTTGGGGTATATTCCTTATCATATCATATGAAAATGAGGAAAGGCAGTTACTCTACATAATTTATATACATATACACTGTATATGTACTCATGGTCCTCTTAATCAGGTCAAGGTTAAAAGGTATGAAAAGATATGTGTTTTAACTGTAGTTTACTGGTCAAAGATCTGTTTTATCTATAATTCAAATATATACTCTCACTGATTAAAGCAAAGTACTTTGTAAAATTGTAATTGACTTAACCCTTGTCGCCTTAGTGTCTCAAGTGGGCTCTTTAAATGCAAATAGGACATTTAGTGTTTATAGTTGCAGCCAAGGTTGCAGAATCAAACTTTAATTGAATGCCTAATTGATAACTAAACAAGCTAAATTATAAACCTCGTGCTCATGTTAAGTAAAGATTTAGACATCCAGAATGGATTTTTCATTTTGACCTTGATAGCTATACCACTTGCTCAACACCCCTCATTTTTATTATGTCACCACCACATATTGTTATTTGCTTTTGATATGAGACTGTACATGATTACTTTGATTATTATTCAGTAGCATTTCCTCTGATAACCCAAAACCACCTTCAATTCTCTTTTCATCACATAAAAAAGGAAGCAACTTTGTTGTTGATGTATTGTTATGTTATTGTTATGTTATTCTTGGGGAAGGGCCAATTCCCCCCCCCCCCCCCCCTTGGTTGGACCCAGCAAAAAAGATTGGGCTCAACTTTTTTTAATTTTAGGCCAAATTATTGAGAAAAGGACAGTTTTTTCGGACTTGAGATATGCCCCCCCCCCCCTTTGTTAGTTCCCAGATCCGCCCCTGATATTGATTTGTCATTGAGGTGATATTGATGATGTCATGATGTTGTTTCAGCTGTGTGGACAGTAGAAGTTGTAGGAAGTAATATTGTGAAACTACAAAACAACTACAATTACTTGGCTGTCATCAATGGGTGCACTACCCTTATATACTTTGTAAGTACATATTCTATGTTATGTACATATAGAGATTATCCTTTATAAGGTTTAGGATATTGGGATTATCCTGAGGCGGATATATTGGCCGAGTTCAGAAATATTTCAACCATAGGAATTCTTTTAGAATATTCATGTCCAGTTTTGTTTTGTTGGCTCTGGGCACATTTTCATGTTCTTTCAGATATCCATCCACATTCATATTCTTGAATCTTTGATTATTTACAGGGATAAATATGCTTCAGTCCTTGTTTGAGTCATCAAACAGATCACAATTGTTTGTATTTTTCGCCATTGCTAATGTACAATAATTATGCGAAGGGCAAAAAAATGCACCAACATATGAATGAATATCAATTATGATTTAGCAGGCAGATATAATGTATCGGTCTGCTCATCCGAGACGTAAAACCATATCCTGTCCACTGATGAAAATACAACTATGTATCTATTTCAAACCTGCTTTAAGAACCTCAAACACGTCCATGTATGGGATGAAATGCTTTTTTGTAAATGTTTTTGCTGGAGGTATATATTGCATTCATTAGGCCATACGAAGATAACTATATGCTGTGACAAAGGATAAAATCAAATATGGGAGAAGAACAAATCAAACAAATTAAAAAACAAAACCTTTATTAATTGTGTTTTTATAAGAATTTATATTTTTCAATAGTAAAAGTGCCATAACACATCCAAAGAGAGCAATTGATAAAGTGACACAGCTGTTGAGTTCATGTGTCCTCTTATATTGTACATAATAATTATACTCCTCTAATATAATGTTTAAAAGTAGTGAAATGTCTAGAATTTAAGTACATGCATACTTGCATTTCAGCCCCCTCAAAGTGGTTATGCACTGGGCACTGAAACACACTTCCGTTTACAACAAATCTCAAACTTTATTCTGCTAGACTCTTTCAAGGAGTCAGGACATCATGTGGGGATCTTGCCTACTGGGGAGTTGAAATCTGCAGTTGCCACAGGAAAAGAAGATCATGCCCAGTTTGGGGTCAGACTCATTGTACGTATTATTGGAGCTCTCTCTAAATGATTTTTGTTTAATTTTAATTTTTAGTTTATTAATTTAAATTTAAATTTTCTTCAAAAATGTGAGGTTAGATTCCCCATCAGGCTCATGCTATAAAATCATGAAAATTGAAATATCGTATTTCTATTGAACAGATAATACATTTTATATAATTTATTTTACATGAACTGACTCAAAAAAGGCTCGATGAAAATTGATTGACTTATTATTAAATCATTTTAGTTAAGGAGAACTTTTGCATGTTTAATTGCCATGGTTAACGCAGATAAGATAATATCTTATCTGCGCTAACCATCTGGTGGTGAAACAAGTAACTACCTACTGGGTAAGAGACGGTCACTCCATTGTATAATCAAAACTATTTTTCTGTTTCTTCAAATTTTGTTTTTATTTCTTTTAGTACACCCCACATGTAGTTCAACCTGCCCCAAATGTGAAACACTAAGATCTGAAGTGATGGTGCAAGCAGAGATTCTGATTTGATGAACTTCTTTTTTAATGGGAAAGACTCTTCTACAGGAAGCCAAAAACTCTTCTACGCAAATATGGTTTTCTGATTTTTGAGAATTGGACATACTCTCCTACTAAATGTGCAGTAAATCTTTGCATTATTGCAATGATGACTTTGAATTATGAACAATTTCAGCCATCTTTCTTAATTCAATTGAAAACTGATGTGTGAAAGGCATTTTTTAAAGACTTCTGATGCTACTTTTAATGTCACCACCAAAAGGTGGTGACATATTGTTATGGTCGGCGTCTGTAACAAATTCTTACAACTTCCAATACTTTAACAAATACAGTATAGACTGACTTCAATTGTTTTCAAAATCATGTTTTCAGGAGTTCAAATCTGACTTTATATTTAAGATTTGACCTTCAATGACCTTTTCAAGGTCAAAAAAGGTCAAAAAGGTCTTTTATCAACTTGCTTCGAATTGAACAATTTTTTTTCAAAATCATCTATAAGTTATCAGAAGTTCAAATCTGACTTAAGATTTGACCTTCAATGATCTTCTTAACTTGCTTCAATTTTTTTCTTCAAAATCATCTACAAGTTCTCAACAGTTCAAACCTGACTATAGATTTGACCTTCAATAACTTTCTTAAAGGAATATTCCTTGCCAGACCCTTTCTCTCTTGATATGGTAGCTATAATCATATATATATAGTTTCCATATTTAGCAAAACATGGGAAAATGTTTTAATATGGTCAATATTGATCATTTAAAAATCTAGTGCTTATTTCCAGTGAGCTGCCATCTTTTAAGATTTCTTGCAGGAAGTGATGTCATCAACTCTCAACTTCTATAACCTTGCCCATAACAGTATAGGAACGTAGCACAAAATCACTTCTAGACAAGTGATCATTACTTTCTGTGCAAAAATATTTTCAGGGCTTGTCAACTTAGAATAAAAGAAGAGATTTTCAGAAGGATTAAATAAGATACAAAGTTGAAAAAGAATATTAGCTGGTTTTGTAATTCTTAATAGCTCCTCACCTAATGCTATATGCAAAGTTGAGAGTCGATGACATCACTTCCTGTGTGAAATTTTAAAAGATGGCAGCTTACTGGAATTGAGCATCACATTTCTAAGTGATCAAATTTGACCATATCAAAACATTTTTGCGTGTTTGCTAAACATGGCAAGCATATATATAGTTATAGCTACCATATGAGGAGAGAGATGGTTTGGCAAGGAATATTCCTTTAAGGTCAAAATAGATTTGACCTTTAATTACCTCTTCAAGGTCAAAAAGATCTTTTTTATCTTGCTTCAACTGGGTGGTGACATTTTGTCATGTTAATGCCTTGTTCAAAATTTTGTTGAATTCAGTTTTTCTCAATATATGCATCAGTATCTTCTATTCAAAAAGTTGGTTATATATTATGCTCTATATCATGTATATTGCAGAATTGATATTATGCTTAAAATTATAAGATATTATTATACCACATGTTATATATGTATTAGATCTGTAGACTATATATTGCTTTGTGATCTGCTGATTTGCAGAAGAAAAGGGGACTTAAAAACTGGAACTCTCAAAACTCGCTCTATTGTTCAGATAGAAATCACCGAATAACAATTTTTTAAATACACAACAAAACAAAGTTACATAAAAAATAATTGTGTATTTTAAAATTCTGTATACCATTACTTACATACTGCTGAATAATGTTATTTCATTACAATTTCTGCTTGTTAAAAAAATGGGACAGCTGCAATAGCTTAAGCTTGAAATCCCTGGTTCATTACAAATATTCAATCTTTTCACTTTTGTGACTGAATCTATTGTAAAACCACATCAAAATTATAAAAAATTGGTTGTTTATATTTTTAGTGTTGTGAAAGTACATTAAAGTGCTTTTAAACTTTATGCACTTTTAGAATACTGCATATGTTTGCATATGTTCTGTTTGTTCATCTGATTGTTCATAGAACCTATTTCATAGGTTGTTTCTTGTTATGTTATGCACTTTTATACGAGCACATTTTAAGAATGTTGTATTTTATATTTTTGGAGATCTAGTTTTAAGTATCAGTTAAGTCATTGAAAGATTAATTTGTAGATGAACAATTACAGTTTCCTTGCGATATTTACACCGAAATTATTAGAAATGTATGATACAAGGAATTAGAAGAAATTATTTATTTATGTACTCATGCATATGTACTTTATAATTCCATGTGTTTTCGTTACCTACGCACTTCTTGATTTGTGAGCTCTGGAATGCTTGTATAATTCAATACAAAGAATATATGGATTTGGTATCTATTTATTATGTTATTCATTGGTATTAGAAACAATAAAATGAATGAATTATTTGAGAAAATATGAATTGTTGTTGTTTATCTTAAGCTTATAGACACCTGATTCACCTATATCGAGTCCAGGTTAAAACTTGCAATTATGTTTAAAGGTTTTTATGCCCCCATTGGCATTTAGGACATTATCACCAACTAAACCAAATGGAAAGCATAAATGACACACAATTCCTTTGGTGGTAAAGATCAATTCAGAAGTACCCTGTTCAATATCCAAAATACTCTGGTCAATATCCAAAATGCTGATTTTTGAAGAATATAATTGCTGAATCAACAAAAGTTTAAATGGTGGTTTCTATTATGATTACATTGCCAATGACCCACTGGCGGATCCAGGAGGGGGAGCATGGGACCCAGAAAATTTTTTAATGGCCCAAAAAACTTTTGTGGGCCTATGTTGGGCTTAAAGTTTTGTAGGGCCTCAGAAAATGGGTCGTTTTGGGGATTTTTTAAGGCCTTATTTCAATTTTCAAATTTTTTTCCTGAGTCGAAATCCCCCCTTGTTAGCCCTGGAGCCGCCAGTATGACCCTATAGTCAAAGTAAAAAAGGATGACTGGGTCTATAACCATCTAACCATCCATTTAACAGTCATGATAATAGTGTCATATTGTGAGTGTAACTGCACAGTAGATAGATGATCATTTAAAAATGTACTCATGGAGCAAATGGGAATTGTTCAGTTACCATTCCCGGGAATGAAAGAACCATTAATATATATCTGTGTTTCGCTTGGTGTAATATAATACCTTCGCCTTCAGCATGATTAATTGCTCTAAACGTCTCTGCAAACATTCTACCATGTTATATATTAACATAAAATACGCTCAGTTATTGTAAAAATGCCGATTCCATGCCATTTGTTCTATATTTCAATCGTATCGAGGTAGAGTGCATCAAACTATTTTATGTTAGATCCATCCGCAACCCGGAAGTGCATGATTCGGTTATGAAAATTGAAAATCTTGGAATTTTATCCGTTTTCAAGCAAAAGGTAAGATTTCTCTCATTATTTCGATTTTTGGCAAATTTCAAGATTGTATAAGCCTTTCTATGTTTCTCGAGTAATCCAACACAGCGACATTCTAGGCCAGAATGTTAATTTATATCTAGAAATCACTATGAAAAATGACTGGACTTCTCCGGAAAAAACAAAAACATCTGATCATGAAAAATCACATGACATAATGTTGATGAATCATGGTTCAATAAATAGTGATCAACACATTTCAGCAATCTGTATCAACAATATGTTATACCCTGTAAATAGCATCATTGTCACAGGAACTTGTAGCACTATGAGATGCTTATGTCAGATAAGACATTCTTCTTCTTTATCCACTTTACGTGTTAGTGTACAGTTGGGGACATAAACAAATCACAGGTGGATTTGCTGAAGTGAGGATTTCCCATGTTAAAAATAAGAGAATTTACAAGAGGCCATACATCAGTGGATGAGATTATACAAAATGTAAAATATACAAATTTTAAGGGATATATATCTAGACAATATTTGAAATTATGGGCTTTCAGACCACCATAATTAGGAAATGGTGATCGAAAATCGACCTGTCATTTATTTTTGTCCCCAACTGTACTTAACACGATGGCACTTTAATGCTGCCTTTGGTCACTAGATACATTGGTTTCACTTTGTACTATGTTATCACTTGTGCTTTTCACTAATACTTGTTTTGATTTACTTTTTGAGAGTGCGCATTTTACATTCGTTTTCTTCATCTAAAAGAGTCAATTTCTCAGTTATATTAAAAAACTTTTGTTTAGAGTCACTATCTCAGTGTTGTTTTACGTAGTTAAATTCTATTAGTAGATAGTATGAACTGTTGTAGTCGTTCTACTATTTTTATGTTGATTTGCTGGTCTAAGTTCTTGTTAAGACCTGTGATGGTTTGTAAGTCTATGGTTGGGTTCGTGGTTGGCTCCTACTGTAGTAGTACAGTGTCTATAGCTGCTAGCATAACCTCCCTTTGTGTACTGTATTTGCTGCACTGAAACAAGAAATGATGCAAAGTTTCTGGTGAATTACAGTGTTCACAGTTAGGAGAGGGGAGATCAGGGTTGATTTTGTAGTAGTGGCCATTGAGACGGGTGTGCCCAGATATAATTTGATTGACTTTTGTCTGACTGTATCTTTTACCCAACTTTACTGATTGTGATTGTACTTTTACTTGTGGGATAAGGTTTTGAATCAAGTTGACTTTATCAGAGTAGCTATACCCAGTTTGCCATTTATCAATAGACTTATTTTTAATTGATTTGTAAGCCATTGTTTTTGTTGTTTTTGGGGGTGGGAGGGTTGTAGTTGTTTTAGCAGCTTTTTTTGGCTATTTTATCAGCTACCTCATTGCCCTCAATTCCTAGATGCCCAGGTACCCGGAAGATTTCTAAGTTTTTCTTTAGCATGGAAAGTGATTTGCAAGCTTTTCTTATGCTAAAAATTTCAGGTCAAGACATATAAATGACTCAGATCTCATATCATAGTGCTACAAGTTCCTGTGATCATTGCTGTTGTTCCAGAAAATGTTTAGGAGTGTGATCCTCTTGTTTGTTATATGATCACAGACTTTTCTTTCATGTCCGTAAATAACTAGGCCGAGGCACAAAAACAAAACACTTTGTTTAGTCAAAAGAAAAAAATTATAATTGCAAGTAGTCTATAATCTTGGAATTCAGTTGCATATTTACTTCTTGACACTCTAATGATTTGAATTTTCTTTGAGAAGATCATAGATGCCGGCGCTACATGTATCAAATGCAATATTATCAATATCAATACCTATAGGTATTGAGCCTAGCCTACTACTACAGAAGATCTGGCTGGCATCTGTGGAGAAACAATCTCCATTCGGATTGCAATCAATTTTATTAGGCTTGTGTGTTTATAAAACCTAAAAATATGCAATCAAAAGACAACGGTGCAGTGTCATATGGAACAAGATAATCCAATGAAAATTTCAAGAGAAAAATATGAAGGCCATGTGTTGTGTTGAGAAAACTGGTCCACTTTTTATAAAAAGACCACAGAGAAAGACAATGGACAAAACTGAATGCTTGTTTTGTTGTTGGTTAGGTAACATGTTAGTGACAGATTAATAAAGAACCAACATTGATGTGTGACTTTTAGATTATTTGTTTGTTTAGTTACTGATGCAGGCAATCACAATCACATCATATGACGACTCAGTCGGAAGAAAGGTGACTGCCAACCCATTCCATATTACGAATGGCTCTGCCCACTTTGTGGTGTGCCTTTGTAAAAATACAGTCATATTTTACAGGCAAAATGTGTGTGCATCTTGGATTGCTCGTGGTTTGGCTAATAGTATATGCCTTCTCATATTTTGATGCTTCACTGAAATGCAATTTTCCCAAAATTTAAATTAACATGGCTTAAACTTCCTAAATTACAAAAGGCAACAGGTTTATTACACATTTGACTAATTTATCTGAAATATGCAAACATTTTGCATGTTAAGATATACATGTATTTTTGTTCATATGATACTACACTGTGGTCTTTTGAAAGCTTGATTTTTAGATTTTGTTGCCAGACAATTCAATCTATTGAAATGGACTCTATGTTCATTTTTGGTAGTCTTTAAAAATGTATTGGTATTTATTACTTAAATAGGAATGGCTTTTATGATATGGACCCATCTCCCAATGAGCAGAATGTCTTACTAGAGTCAATGGCAAAGAGAGGAGGTGTTCAACAAACTACCAACTACCAGTCCCTGAATGGGCGAACTTCCAACTGTTCTAGCACTAGTAGTGATGAAGATATGATTGACATTGCAGCTGAGACACCTGGGGACTATTCCCACTTGTCTGATCATTCTCAAGGTAAGTAAATGTAGTATCTCATATTTCAGTATATTGAGGTGAATGTGTTGTCTTGTTATTCACTGTTATATTCCTCCTCACTCTTTGATTGTGCAAGTTACAAACAAATGTTATGGTTAATATAGCACTCAATGATCTTTTCAATAAAAAGTCAACTTTGTGGATGCAAATTTGCACTTGTAGCTTTTTTAAATAAATCCCGAATGTTCAAGATAATCTGATACCAGAATAGGGATACAACTCAAATATTCAGGAGGAATGGTTTGTGCTTTGAAAGTTACCATATTCAGGATGCTTTGTAGTATGGAAATCAAAATCTGGTCACTCCAGCTAGAGAAATATATAACATGCCATTGGTGATACTGATGGAGATACTATAAAACAGTCATGGAGGAAAGTGAAATCAATCATATTGGCATTTTTACGTAATAGCCACTTAATAAATTTGATAAAGCTCACATGATTTGAGTCATAAAGATATGATAACTTGTTCAGAAATGACTGTATTCCCAATAGACTTCTAACAGTTACTATGTCTCAATCTAATCAATATGTACAATGATGGCAGGAAAATAATCAGCTTGAGGAAGAAACATTTTCAGTAACAGTTCTATCATGGCAAATCATATTTAATATGTATTTAATACATTTATCATGAATGATATTATACAAATGCTATTGTCAGTGGGGTGAAATCCTGTACATAGGTGATATTCAACGAAATGAAAATAGAATGGAATATTTGTTTTATTATACATGTATTACTATCCTCAATATTATTATGTGTAAATATAGGCCTTATACCAATATATCAAAATTATACATAAATGAAGGAGTACTATAGGGGTATGCCCATACCACACTTGTTACTTTAGACCTCAATCAAATCAATGTACAAAGAGTCTTTAGATAGATGTCACTTAATGATATCAAAATTAACTTTAAAATCCCTTTTGCCCTTTATTATGGTTACAGAGGTATCTAATATTCCATATTTCACCACATAATTTTACATGCAAAATTGAGATACAAATTGTGTAAAGTGTACCATGTTATAGAAAGCAGATCAATCGCAATAGAAAAAGGTTAATCATTCTCTTCAATATTAGATTTGACTAGATTGATCACCAAATCATCAAACTAATACCCCCATCCAAGTCAATCTTATCTGAACCAATTTTGCTATTTAGATTTGTATTAATATATAAATGAGGAGGCTGTATTTTGGGCAGTTTAGATTTTAAAAACTTAATTCATTAAATATTTGTTGCACCTACAAATATAATGGCCAACTTCATAATGAGCAAGATTTTATTCTTTTCCTCATTGGGAATAAAATATTATTCAAGCCAACCCTCTAAAATCCCTCACCAAACAACATTATCACTCGTACTATCCAGACCTGATGATACTGTGAGCAAGCTCAGTGGTATCGTGGCTAAGGCTCGGGGCTTTATGTATTGGAGCTTGGAGATTTGTTCAGCTGAATGTGGACTCTCAAATACTCACTGTATGTTGAGAAATACGTTTGTACCTGTGTTTATGTAGCTACTTGGTTAAAACATATAGCAGTTTGTGATTTGAGTTTAAATAATTTGTAATAACCTGTACTTAAACATCAAAACATAAATCACTTGAAATGAGATAAAAAACAGTCACCTAAAATAAAAGCTTCAAGTATGAAACATGAAGTAAACAATATGATACCCTGCATGCAGAATACCTAAAAATATCCACACTCTAACTCATAGTCAAAATTTATGATATACATTATCTATTTGTTTGACATTGCAATTAAATTATTGATATTTCATTCTTTGAAAGTTTTGGTATTCTAGATTCTAGACCAAACATTTCACAAAAGTTGTTCAATTGCCTCTATGAACAATTTGATTGGTTTAGACAGATCAGAGTGTTTTCTTAAGAGTATGGGAATAGCCTTATACATCTGATAAAGGGTAACATGTAATTTCTGTTAATAAATAATTCTCACAGATAATTTTTGTTAACAGGTTGTCTGATTGTGGCATTGGGTACCATGATATGATTTTGAAATTCTAGTGGTATCATTAAGTAAGATATAAGGACATGCATATTTTATATACTCTTAGGAACAAACAATTAAGGAATGCTTCAGATCTTGAATAGTCACACAAGCAAGCAAGCAAGCAAACAAACAGAAACAAGCAAACCGTGATTTAAAACTCAGAATAACATATTATGCTTAGACTGAAGTGGAAAAAGTAACATATTGACACTGGGCACATCATTGATATTATTTTATATCTTAGTTTTCATAATCTGAAGAAATTGATTTTGAGATCACCCCTTCTTTAAGAAAGACAATAAGAATGGTCAAAGGTTAATGTGTTAGGGGAGGATTCTTGTTTGAACCTCTTAATATGATGCAGTTTTTTTGTTGAATTATTTATTTAAGAATACTTTTAATTGAATTTATGAAGCAAATTAGTGAAAAATAAGCATTTTAGATCTTTTATAATATGTGAAGTTTCATTCAGTTCTGATATATGAGTATATGATATATGATCCATCCCCATATTTCAAGACACCTTGTGAACAGTCTGTGTGAATTCTGTGATATCTTCTACAAGACTTTGACATAAAGGAAGGAACCTGATACAAGTCTTAATTAAAAGCACCATCATAGAGAACTTTTCTTACTCGCAGTAACATAAATACTTGATAATAAGATACAATTAGTATGAGAACTGGATTTGAATGACAACCTTGGATTATACGGAAAATGTCTGCTGAACAAATAGTCATCGTGAATAATGAGAGTCTAAAAACTAGAGGAGGTTCAGTGAACAAGGCCACAAATGAGGAACGATTAAAGGAACAATCAATTGAAATAAAGGGGGAATCAAATGTTTTGGGAAATGAAGTTAAAATGAGAGGAGGGTCAGAAAACTCACATTCGACGACCAGGGAGGAGCATACGAACAATGGGAATGCTGGGAATAATGAAAATACTGTGAACAATGGGGACACTGTGAATAATGGGAGGACTAAAGAAGAAAATAAGATGATGTCTGTGTTCAGTTCGAGGTGGGATCTTGGAGATGGTAGGTACAACACTTTTAACTTGTGAATGGGATTCTGATTCACATGGGTCTTCACAAACTCTCAGCACTCATTCATATGATCTGTCAAACTTGTTCTATTTCCTACATTCAACATTATACAGCTGGGACAAATGGGGGAGGTGGGGAAGTGACACTATTAGAAAAATGAACATAATTTAAGTCTATTAACATTTATTCTAAAAATAAGTGACTAAGAAATTTACTATAAGTTTTCTGGCATAGCAACAAAAACAATAGGGTTCAAGAAGTAAATGTGACAAAGGTGTTCTATAATCCAGAGATTATCTACAGCACCTAGGGGAGGCATTACAGAAATTATTATTAGACTATGTCTTTCATTGCAGTGATCTCCCCAGCATTAAAGCAATGGGGTGCATCAGCCACCTGAGATTTTAAAAACAGGCTTGCAACCACCTGAAAATCCATTTGCATCCACTTGAAAATGAGAAACGGCATGAAAAATAGGCATATTTTGACCAAATTTGGTCTGAATTTTGAAAATGAAAATTTTCTACCCACTTGAGAGAAAATCCTGTGGAGGACACTGCAATGATAAAATTGGTTATTTCATTATACAAATCAACTGCATCTAGACCATGAAAGCTCAAAAAGTAAATACTGGCAGTTGAAACTACAGAGAAAAGCCCACTGTTCACATTAACATGATTAAGATTGCTCTTTTCCCTTTTTCAAATTCAAGTAGTAAAACTCATTACAATTCTGATGGTGAGATAAAGTAGTATTCATTTGTCACTTTTTGTCCAATATGTCACATCATTTAGCCAATATGTCACTTTTTGTCACATCATTTAGCCAATATGTCACTCTTCTAATTCAAACCAATGCTGCTATTAGGCAGCACTGCAGTCGTTGAATTAGTAAGCTCAATGTCTGAAAATACTCTCAAAGGACTTGAGAATGAAAAGTTGCAAAATTTAGAAATACAGGACATATATCAAAGAAGTAGATAACACAAACCAGAATGTTACCATCATCCTGTTCCAAACCATCCTTGAACTTTTTTTATTTAACTGGAGCATGAATAATTAGAAGAATATCAAAAGATGTGGGATTGTCACTTTGTAAAAATTAGAGAAATAATGAAAACAACATTGAAATTGGACATAAGTGGTGTTTTATGCCCAGGTCAAATCTGTCATGAGCCAATAATACCATTCAATAGCAGTAATCTCTACAGCTTTTCTTTAATACAGTAATTGTAAGTTCTACTACAGTTGTAATATAATTTTATGTATAAGAACCAACCATTTCAAGGTCAGGCTACTGAAATGGCAAGTTATAAAACTTTGTGTTATACTTACCTGAAAGCAACATAAAAAGATGGATGCAAAATCTAGAAAAGTGTGAGTGCTTGAAAAGAAATCCATGAAAGTATGGAGATTGGAAGAAAAAAGGCAGAAGTTGCAGATAGAATAATACAATTTGGAAATAATTTAAAGATAAATAAAAGTTATGCAGGTACATTAATTTTGAATAATATTGTGCCAGGGCAAGGGCTTTCAAGAGAAAGCCCATGGCCAGGGAAAGCCTCCACTTTCTGATATACATGTACAATGAGCACTTCCACACTTTCAAATATGGAATTATAATTTCAGTTCTGTTTTATGTTCCTTGTCAATGAATGTAATTTTATATGACATATATATCTATGCTTCTTGATGTGGTTGAGTATAGGTCAAGGAATATATTTACAGTATTAGAAATGAAAATTTAGAGTCTACTGCAAAGTATTACTGTAACATTCAATATTTCTCCCTATAATATTATGTTATTACAGTGTTCTCGCCCAAAAAATTATCAAGTCTCAAAAAATTGATGCTTATAATCTTAATTTTTTATAAGGATGACTATTTTCATTTATACAAGATACCTTATAACCCCTTTAAATAGTTTATTAAACAGTTTAGAAGAATTAACTTTAGTGGCTGAACATGAAGTACAAAACGTAGACACAATGATTCTTTTAAATTGAATAGCGTTTTGTTGGCTTAAAACTTTTCACTAGTATGTTACAAGGTATATTCATGTGACTATAAAATCTGAACATTTAGAGTTAACCATATGTAGCACATATTTGTTTACATGAAGTAATAATGAGGAGTAATGAGATAGGACTTACAACATGATACATCCAGGCTCTAATATGGCTGATAGGATAGAAATGCAACATCATTATGGTACTTAGATTAGGTTTAGAGCTTTCAAAATGTTTTTAAGTGTAGCATAGGGTGAACTTGAATATTTAGAAAAAAAGAATTTCAGGTACCCACATTTTATAGACACAGGATGATCTTCCCCATGGTCTAGAGAAATTATGATCAGTCGTGGATTTTACATTAATCATGTTAAATCATTTTTAGGGTCTACAAATCTTATGGACACACAAGATGATCTTCCCCCAGGTATTGGTCAGTACGATGATTTCCACACAATTGATTGGCTTCGGGACATTGCCAGGGAACGTATGAGACATCGTCAACTCGTGAAGAAGAGTAAAGAAGGTCTATGGCAGAAAATTAAAAGTGCCCATGATGCCTGGTCTGGCTGGCTTTGTGTGGTGTTAGTTGGATGTGCTGCAGGTATGTAACCAGAATGCATTGCATCATTGTATGAGGTTTTAGTTTGATGTGCTGCAGGTATGTTACCAGAATGCATTGCATCATTGTATGAGGTTTTAGTTGGATGTGCTGCAGGTATGTAACCAGAATGCATTGCATCATTGTATGAGGTTTTAGTTTGATGTGCTGCAGGTATGTTACCAGAATGCATTGCATCATTGTATGAGGTTTTAGTTGGATGTGCTGCAGGTATGTAACCAGAATGCATTGCATCATTGTATGAGGTTTTAGTTTGATGTGCTGCAGGTATGTAACCAGAATGCATTGCATCATTGTATGAGGTTTTAGTTTGATGTGCTGCAGGTATGTTACCAGAATGCATTGCATCATTGTATGAGGTTTTAGTTGGATGTGCTGCAGGTATGTAACCAGAATGCATTGCATCATTGTATGAGGTTTTAGTTTGATGTGCTGCAGGTATGTTACCAGAATGCATTGCATCATTGTATGAGGTTTTAGTTGGATGTGCTGCAGGTATGTAACCAGAATGCATTGCATCATTGTATGAGGTTTTAGTTTGATGTGCTGCAGGTATGTAACCAGAACGCATTGCATAATTGTATGAGGTTTTAGTTGGATGTTCTGCAGGTATGTAACCAGAATGCATTGCATCATTGTATGAGGTTTTAGTTGGATGTGCTGCAGGTATGTAACCAGAATGCATTGCATCATCATATGATGTTTTATTCGCGTGCTGTAGTTATGTTTCCATAATGTATCATTACAGTGATGCAGGTCTGGTATACATATCTGTGGTGCTACTCTGGTGTGTTGGAGGTATATATACCCATAATGCATCATGATGCTAGTCAGGTGTGTTGTAGGTATATACCCATAATGCATCATCAATGTTGTGTTAGTTTGGTTTGCTGCAGGTATGTTCCAAAAATGCATCATTACTTTGGTGTTTGTCAGGTGTGTTGGAGGTATATACCCATAATGCATCATCAATGTTGTGTTAGTTTGGTTTGCTGCAGGTATGTTCCAAAAATGCATCATTACTTTGGTGTTTGTCAGGTGTGTTGGAGGTATATACCCATAATGCATCATCAATGTTGTGTTAGTTTGGTTTGCTGCAGGTATGTTCCAAAAATGCATCATTACTTTGGTGTTTGTCAGGTGTGTTGGAGGTATATACCCATAATGCATCATCAATGTTGTGTTAGTTTGGTTTGCTGCAGGTATGTTCCAAAAATGCATCATTACTTTGGTGTTTGTCAGGTGTGTTGGAGGTATATACCCATAATGCATCATCAATGTTGTGTTAGTTTGGTTTGCTGCAGGTATGTTCCAAAAATGCATCATTACTTTGGTGTTTGTCAGGTGTGTTGGAGGTATATACCCATAATGCATCATCAATGTTGTGTTAGTTTGGTTTGCTGCAGGTATGTTCCAAAAATGCATCATTACTTTGGTGTTTGTCAGGTGTGTTGGAGGTATATACCCATAATGCATCATCAATGTTGTGTTAGTTTGGTTTGCTGCAGGTATGTTCCAAAAATGCATCATTACTTTGGTGTTTGTCAGGTGTGTTGGGGGTATATACCCATAATGCATCATCATTGAGGTGATAGTTGGGTTTGCGTACGTGTATTTTCCCATGATGCCTCATTACTTATTATCCTGATATCAGTTTTATTTATCTTCTAGGTGTTAGTGCAGCCATCATAGATGTAGGAGCGACATGGATGTCTGACATTAAGAATGGGATTTGTCTTGGTAGATTCTGGTTTAACAGAGAGCAGTGTTGCTGGGCTGCTAATGATACATTTGTTACTAAGGAAGATGAAGGATGCAAACAGGTTAGTAGAGGTGCATATGTTGCTGTATATTCATGTTCTGAACATATTCAATCATATCATACACATTTATGGAGACAATAAAATCTTCAGAGTGTGATCATTGATGAAAGCTGATTTTTGCCACATGAGGATATGTCACACTAGATTTGTATGTTTGTATAAAAATGTAGTCTTTCTTTTTCAATACTAGTATTTTAGCTCACATGGTGAGCTTTTGCAATCACTCACTTGTCAGTCTGTCTGTGCGTGCGTCCGTCTTCAGTCCTGTTTTAAGTTATTTCTGTTCAACATCAATACAGAAAACTCCCCTGTGACTCCTGGTTCGCCTATTTTTGTCTCACGAAATTCACTTTTGACCCATTTCCTAGCTTTACAAATAATTTCAGGTGTCCTGCATTGTAAAAATCCATGTCAATGTAAAGAGTAGTTGTATGAAATAATTTTGTTACAAAAAATCGGCAAAGAATTATATCCGTTTTTTTTATTTTCAGCCATTTTAGTTAACATTTATTTGTCCATCTGTCTCGCGAAATCCACTTTTGGACCATTTGTGTTAAAACCTCTGTCGATAGGATTCCCGTTTTAAGTTATTTTTGTTCAACATATCCATTTTTGTTCAGTATATCCGTTTTTTTCTTTTTTCTGTCATTTTAGCCATCATTCACGATTGAGCAACACCATGTGAGCCCAGTACCCACTGTACTAATTTTTAAATATGCAAGTGTCAGTTAAACTTTTGATATATAGAATTGTAGGAATGGAACTGAAATTGCACATATGCAATATCTACAATATCTATATACAGTGCTGTATATATTAATGTATGTAATATCTTTACTATGTTTGGATAAAATGCCCATAGATCTAGATTTCCAAATTGACAGTATCATGCCTGTTAACCTCTGAACTTGAATTCCAGTGGTTTACTTGGCCAGAGCTATTTGGTGACTTCAACGAGCCAATGGGAGGCGAGTATGTGATCAGCTACGTCATGTATGTTGTCTGGTCCATGGTGTTTGCAACCCTAGCAGTGATGCTTGTGCGAGTGTTTGCACCATATGCTTGTGGCTCTGGGATTCCTGAGGTAAGCCTCATTTGTATTTTAGTAATTGCTCATTTTTCAAAGAAATACAATAAACATGTATTATAACCTATAGCTTATACTCAGAGGAAGTGTACATTGTCACTCGTTATTTTTGTGACTAAAATTCCCTACAAAATTTCCCTGCTCATCACCCTAATTTCCTGATTTTGAGAGAATATGTATTGAGAAACAAATAGAAGGTCAGTGAGACAAATTAGAAGGTGGTGTCAACTTACTATAGAAGCTGATTTTGAACTGTGAATTGCAGATATGACTTCAAAATCACCAAAAAGTTGAGTGACATTCTACATTTCCCCCAAGCTTAGTATTTTGCAGTTAAATCAGTAATAGGAAAAGAAAGTGTGTTTAGCACCTTCAAATGAAGAAGTATCTTATTTGGTAGTTTCAAATTTTGTTTTCATTTTAGATCAAGACAATACTGAGTGGGTTTATCATCAGGGGTTACCTTGGGAAGTGGACACTGTTGATCAAGTCAGTCACTATGATGTTAGCTGTGTCAGCAGGACTGAGTCTTGGCAAAGAAGGACCTCTTGTCCATGTGGCTGCATGCTGTGGAAATATATTCTCTTATATGTTTCCGAAATATGGACGCAATGAAGCGAAGAAAAGAGAGGTATTGATTTTCCACCATTTATATCCAATACATCTAAGAACTAGATGAAAACTGTGGATTTGAAATCTACAGCACATATAATTATACAAAATAGAATTTGACTTTTCATGAAGAAAGGTTTAGTTTTAGTGATTTTACTGAAATTCAATGTTTTCAGATCCTATCAGCCGCAGCAGCTGCTGGAGTCAGTGTGGCTTTTGGGGCACCAATAGGTGGCGTGTTGTTCAGCTTAGAAGAGGTAATGCAGCACTTTATTAATTTATATTGTCATGTGTTTGAATTATTTTCTTTCGATCATTTCAATTTATTCCAAAACCTTATATGTGATTATTCAATTTATTTTTACTTATTTTTGCTTAAAAGTACAGAATATGTACATTGTTCATTCTTGTGCACATTCTGAGATAACATACAATATATACATACAATGGCGTAGCCAGGATTTGGTGACATACATGCACTTTTACATGACCCTGCTTCAGTTTCAGCATCCTAATTATTTTTCTAGGTCAGCTACTATTTTCCATTAAAAACGCTGTGGCGGTCTTTCTTCTGTGCGCTGGCAGCAGCATTTATCCTTCGCTCCATCAATCCATTCGGCAACGATCATCTGGTGATGTTCTACGTCCAGTACACCAACCCTTGGTACCTCATTGAACTCATTCCTTTCACCCTGCTAGGCATATTAGGGGTAAGTCAAACCATATGTTTAATAGAGCTGATTAGAGTATGTGTTCAAGGGTGCATTTCTTGAACATACTTTCAAGGTTATTAAGTTGATTTTCTTCATGTTACCACCAAGAAAGGGTGACATAATGTTATAACCTCCAGCTTTTTTGCAAGGAGTAAATTGTTACCATTTTTGTAAATATTTTCTATATCATAAGAATTAATGTATCAGTTGACTAAAAATATTTTGATTTTGAACATGTAAAACATGTTATATTTTTCAAAAGTTTTTTTGGCAATATAAATCACCATGACATTAAACTCGAGGATGTGTAACATTTCATGTAACGTAGGACTGTTACACTAAGGAGTAATGAGCTATTAATTGAATAAGTTGATGTAAGATTCATTGACAACCATCCAACGAATGACATGATATATGATATCATGATTTATAAGTAAAGAATATTGAAACACTGACTCCAGTATCCTAAGTGTTGATTCAAGACCAATAACAATTAAATATATCTTCTGTATTTGTTTACTTGCAGGGTGTGTTTGGTGCTCTATTTATAAAGTTTAATATTAAATGGTGTAAGATCAGAAAAAGCACAATTCTAGGAAAATACCCCATAATTGAGGTAGGATATTTAGCATTTAGATTTAGTTTTTCGAAGTAAATTTTCTGAAACTATGAATGAAATTAATATTGTAACTGAAATGTATACAATACATGATGTGTAAATATTATTTATAATTATTATATCACAAACAAGGAAATTTAAATCAACCAATTTTAATCAATATTTTCTATTTTATGTGATTTGCTTATTTCTACATTCTGAAGTTTGGATATACATGTATAGTTGCTTATGTGAAAGCCAGAAATTTTGCAATTAACTTTAAGAAATCACTTAAATTGTGTGTATTTTTGTAGGTATTAGGGGTAACTCTAGTCACAGCTCTGATTGCATATCCTAACCCATATACAAGGTGAGTGTTGATAGATTCACATTTAATACATAGACTCATTTTTGAACATATTGAAGGCTCTCAATTTTATATATCAGTAAGTTTGTAAAAGTTCAACAATTGTTCAGAAACAATCAATGGCCTCACGTATAGTTTGTACATATATACATGTATAATACAACACCTTTGTTATGCTATTGGATTCAGTTGTTGTATTGTCTACATGTGTTATTTCAGGATGAACACTAGTGAGCTGATCAGATTGTTGGTAAGACAATGTGGACATGAGGATGAGAATGATTTATGGTGAGTCTACACACCCATAGGGATGCTCTCCAAAAGTTAATTTCATTTAGGGGGAGGGGTGAATGATGATTTTGTAAATGTTTGATTTGGGTAGACGGTTTCAGATAATGATAATATGCAATCATCTGGAAAGAAGACTTGTTTCCACAATAATTCAAAAGAAACTACATCGTCTGTGTATCATGATTTTAATAAAATGTGTTTTTTTATGAGTATACTCCTCAGACTTCAGAAGTTGTGCCCATTTGACAAATCTTATTCTAAGTAGAAACAGCTAACAGTTATTGTCATTTGTTCCAGTGATTATCAAAGGAATGTGACAAACATAAATGTTGATCTGGAGAGTGTATTTGCTGGGCCAGGAATTAGGACGGCACTTTGGCAGCTCACACTTGCCCTTATATTTAAAATGGTCATTACAGTCTTCACATTTGGAATAAAGGTAATTGATAAATTTTTAAATTTAATCTGATAGCATCACTAAATGCACACAAAGCTTTTTATTTTGGGCTTGGAGGGAGTAAAAGAATATTCATCAGTTTTATTCACTTGATAACATTACTTTGTGGTTGACCATTCAAAATTGAAAATTATTGGATTCAACATGAAAGATTCAAATATACAATACATATGGACTAAAAGGCTTTCAAATGTATATGTGAAATGATGTATGCTTAATGTTGTGTTTTCTGCATTAGGTGCCAGCAGGGCTGTTTATCCCCAGTATGGCAGTTGGTGCCATAGCAGGTAGAATGATAGGAATAGGAGTTGAACAGCTTGTTGTGTAAGTATTGCTATAGAGACACAATGGTCATAACTCCCTCTGTGCACCTACATAAGTGTTTTGCATCCATATCATCTACATTCATACTAATACTGGAAATGCCATATATTCATTCACATGACGTTTGTGTTAAGTGCAAGCTTTTGAAAAAAACTCATGTGCCACTTTGAACTTAAAATGAAAAACAATTAACATATATATTCTCGTATTTATTACAGCACACATAGGCTGGCACCAGTATTCAAGGACATGTGTAAAACTGGGCAAACCTGTGTTACCCCTGGACTGTATGCTATGGTTGGGGCTGCAGCTGCATTAGGTGGCGTCACTAGGATGACAGGTAAACATACATAAATCTGCTTTGAAATTATATTAATTTAAGGAAATAGAATCCTTATTTTGGAATGAAGTTACAATCATTTTATTTATTTACAACCAAAGTTTTCCTTTACAATCTTACAGATAGCATTTAAAACCATCCACATTCTAATGAATAAATATTTATTGATACTAAATATTATTGTAAAAATGTATAAAGACAAGATGAAGAACAGAAACAAATACTTACAAAGTAGATTCGAAGTGAGGTAAAACAAATTTTAAATTGAGACTGTCAAAATAAACTTTTTCTCTGTGTCCATTTAAGTTTTCAGCCATATTCAATTAATATTTTTTTGTATTTTAGTATCACCTTTGTTACATGAACAGTATGTGCTTCAATGAATCCACATATTTGTGCTCCTCTTATTTCAGTGTCACTTGTGGTGATAATGTTTGAGCTGACTGGTGGCCTCCAATATATAGTCCCACTCATGGTGGCAGCCATGGCCAGCAAGTGGATTGGAGATGCTATGGGGAAGAGGGGCATGTATCCTTGCATATAAACCCTTATAAAGCCCTTGGACTTTGAAACACTCTTGACAAACAGGTTTCAGTCTACTTGAAATTAGGAGATTTTGTTCAAACTTTTGGTTGATCAGTTCATATCAAAACTGAAACATATAATCGTCAAATTTTCAACCCATTTATTGTTAATATAGGCCAATATTGGGAAAATCTCTCAACTTTGTTCTTACTTGTCATTTGTCTTTTTGACAAGAGTTGCGATGCTTGATCCAAGGAACCTGTTCCCTATTATTGTTCTTATTGTTCTATCCTGTTCCTTAACTCCACCCAAGCTATGATGCCCATATAGATCTGAATGGGTACCCATTCCTTGACAGCAAGGATGAATTCACTCACACTTCAATAGCTGCAGATGTCATGAGACCAAGGTATGTCGTTACCCAGTGTCCTTGTGAATTTGCACCTAAGTAGTTAGAGCTTATGCTGTGAAACTAGTAAGAAATGAGCTGATATAGCAAACATCTGTGTGAGAATGTCACATTTTATTATTGTAATATCCTGTATAATTTTACGTTCACAAACGCTAACCTGTAATAATGCTGATTTTCTAAAGTGACTATTAATTGTGTTGTAGGCGGAATGACCCTCCATTATGTGTGTTGACACAGGATAGTATGGTAGTTGAAGATGTAGGTAGGTCAATACTTGCAGATATTTGTTCCTTACAAAATTCGAGTAGGAATATAGAGAAGGTGTCTGTCCATTCGTCCATTGTGGATGTAGGACCTTTGCTTGAGAGTGATTTTCCAAGATGGCTTCTCAATTTGAAATGGCTGCCATTTTCTTAAAAAATGTAATTTTGATAACTCAACTACCATTAGACAGATTTGGCTTAAATTATATATGCCTTAGGGACAAGTTTTTCTAATATATGTAACACTGTCCAAAGAGAAATTTTTATTTTGCATTAATCATTGGAGTTTCTCATGAAGGTTATTTTCTCATGTTGTATGTATGTTTCTTGATACAAATAAATGCATGAGTACAATAAACACTATCATATCCATTTCATGATAGAGTACAATAAATGTCATGTTTTTCATTTCATGATAGAGTACAATAAATGTCATGTTGTTCTGTTCATGATATAGTACAATAAACACTATGTTGTCCATTTCATGATAGAGTACAATAAATGCTATATTCTTCATTTCATGATAGAGTACAATAAATGTCATGTTGTTCTATTCATGATATAGTACAATAAATACTATGTTGTCCATTTCATGATAGAGTACAATAAACACCATGTTGTCCATTTCATGATAGAGTACAATAAATACTATGTTGTCCATTTCATGATTGAGTACAATAAATGCTATGTTCTTCATTTCATGATAGAGTACAATAAATGTCATGTTTTTCATTTCATGATAGAGTACAATAAATGTCATGTTGTTCTATTCATGATATAGTACAATAAACACCATGTTGTCCATTTCATGATAGAGTACAATAAATGTCATGTTGTTCTTTTCATGATATAGTACAATAAATACTATGTTGTCCATTTCATGATAGAGAACAATAAATGCTATGTTCTTCATTTCATGAAAGAGTACAATAAATGTCATGTTGTTCTTTTCATGATAGAGTACAATAAATACTATGTTGTCCATTTCATGATAGAGAACAATAAATGCTATGTTCTTCATTTCATGATAGAGTACAATAAATGATATGTTGTGTATTTCATGATAGAGTACAATAAAGGATATGTTCTGCATTTCATGATAGAGTACAATAAATGATTTGTTCTTCATTTCATGATAGAGTACATTAAAAATATCATGTTGTTCTTTTCAGAGGCTATCCTTCGTGATACAGAATACAATTCTTTCCCAGTAGTTGTTTCAAAAGAGTCGCAGTATTTAGTGGGATTGGTCCTCAGAAAAGATTTATCACTAGCACTTGGTAAGTGTTATTACTGCATAGATAGAATACATGTATATACTTTATACCTTATCTCAATGACCCTTCTATGCAGAATAGACGTTATCTTGTTTTTGAGACAATACGATAAAGATGTTCTCATTTGGCAGGTTTCAATGTGTAGATATATCTGCAGGTCATGAAATGAGATATATAAGTAATATAGACTGAGCTGGTCTGAGTGCATGTCACTAAAGCTACAACTCTGAGGATCATGGAATTATCACAGAAGATAATGATTACACTTTGTTGCTTAGTGATATCTTGTTTTCCATTATATTGTGAAGGGAGTAAGATATTACTATTCCCCCTTGATGTTGGCTATAATAGCAAACTAATGAACATGCTTAAACTGGGAAGAATGCTCACAAAGGCCAAACACCAAGTCACATGTGTTATATCTGACAGAATGAGGGAAGATGCTTTGTTTAAATTAGCAGAGCGAGAAACTTTTGATTCCAGCTTTAAAGTGATTAGTTATAAGACACCACCAGTGGATCCAGATGTCATGCAATTAAATACTGAAAACCAGGGCTTTCTTGATGCAATGATAAATAAAGATGTGCCTGAAATTGTGCAGTTTTTCAGTCCAACCTTAACTGAACCTCTGGATTACATGCTACAGGACAAAACTATTGCTCAGTTAGCAACTGAGGAATTTGACCTGATATTTGCTGATGAGATTGTATTTTTTCCAAGAATCATGGCTGCAAAACGAAACATTCCGATAATTTTGTACAGCAATTTTGGCCCCTTGACCGCTGATACTGATATTGTTCCTAGATATAGCCTGGCCTTTGTTAATGGATGTTTTAACAGATTCAGTGACATGATGACATTTTCTCAGCGGATGGAAAATGTTTGGGAATATTTAAGAATGAGATGGGTGATGTCAGATATATACTCGGAGTCAGAAGTGATTTGTAGGAAGCATGGCTATGGGGAATCTTGCGACAATATCAGAGGAATCCATAAAACTGTTAACCTTGTGCTTATGAACAGAAATGATGTTATACATTACCCTGCACCATACATGCCACATATCATTTCTTTAGAGGGGTTTTTCTTGGACAAACCAAAACCCTTAAATTCACCTTACAAAGAAATTGTTCAGAAGTCAGGAAAACATGGTATTATTGTGGTGAGCTTTGGATCAATGTTTAGGAGATTAGGATTGAAACATCGCAACATATTTGCCAAAGCATTTTCCGCAATGCCACAGACGGTGATATGGAGTTATGAAGGTGAAACACCAGAAGGCCTTGGAGAGAATACATTCGTTAACAAATGGATTCCACAAACTGATCTGCTGGCAAACCCTGCAGTTCAACTATTTGTAACACAATGTGGAGCATCGTCATTATTTGAGGCATTGAATTATGGTGTCCCTGTTGTTTGTATTCCTTTCATTGGGGACCAGGAGTATAACTGTCTGAAACTTGTAGAGAGAGTCAAGTCAGCCAAGAATGTCCCATTGAAAGGGATTACAAGTAGACAACTTCAAAGCACCATGGAAGAAGTTATAAACAATATAACTTATAGAGAAAATGCAAAGAAAGCTGCATTAATATATCATGATCAACCCATTGATCCGAGAAAGAAATCTTTGTATTGGATTGAGTATGTTATTCGCCATAAAGGAGCACCACACTTGAGATCAGCTGGGGAAAGTCAACTGAGCTTCTTTCAGTATTATCTTCTTGATATAGCAAGCTTAGTTGGAGTGGTTGTCTTTGCTGCTGTCATCAGTATTGCTTTTGTCATGAAAGCAGCAATTAAAGGCTTACTAAGAACTACAAAATCTAAAGAGGACTGATTTTTCAAAAAATGTCATTCAGTCATTCATCCATATCCTTTAATTTATAAGTGGATGTGATGACACTAAACTGATCATATTCACACGCATGTTTAACATGATCTTGTGAGAATTACACATGTGAATATTTACTGTAGAGGTCAATTGAGCCAAAATCTATCAGTAGTTGTACTATGTCCCATCTCTTCACTTTATAATCTAAACTTGGGCTTTTTGACATGTCATTTAAGGTGACTTTGTGATTTTGAATCAATTAATTACTGAAATTAATAAATTGTTGGCATTTGAATAAATCTCTCTTTGCTTCTTGTGCTTTTAGTTTTAACCATTTGTTGCTTTATTATTTTATAATGCATTTATACAAGTTACACCCCAACATTTGATCTCGGAATCCTACTTTTACTCAGACTTCAGCAAACATGAGGTTTGGGCAAAATAGGTTCAATTCTAATGCCCGGCATGAGATTAGATCTTCTCTTATGCCCGTCATAAGAATTGAGCCTATTTTGCCCAAACCTCATGTTTGCTGAAGTCTGAGTAAAAGTAGGATTCCGAGATCAAATGTCAGGTTGTTTAAGTAAAATACTATATATATAATTCTAATTAAGTTTTGGTGTTTCATCATTATCATATCCAGTGTATTGGTCACATGGTGCCATGTGAGTTTATCAGCTTCAGATATAAATTATTAACATTTGGAAATAAACTCATTATATGTTGAATGGTGTGGTCATTGTCATTTCAGCAGTTATACTGCATAAGTATGTTTTACCATTACTGTTTTGTTATACTGCATTAGTATGTTTTAGACTCAAATGTTTATAGATTATTAGTGAAAACATTGTGCATTCTTGTTTTTTGCAGCAAGTGCTCGTCAAACTCCAGATGGCGTAGTTAGCAACAGTGTGTTATACTTTACAAACAGTGTCCCCGTAACAACCGTTGTAGGAGGCCCTTCACCCCTTAAACTCAGGAAAATACTAGATTTGGTGAGTAGGCTAAAATTAAGACTTCATGTTGAGTAATTGTAATTGTAAAGTGATGAAATAGGCAGTGACAAAACAATACTGAAAAATCATGTGTTGTACAATGCAGATATTAAGAGATAGTAATAGGAATAAATGCCAATTTTGTCAGTCAAATCAATAATCATGACTAGCATTCACCACTAAGAAGTGATGACAAATTGTTACATCCACCATTTTTTATGACCAACATTCAGGCTTGCATTTGGCATCTGTCACAATTGTTACATTTTTGGAATTGCAACCAAATGTTGACATTTAATTTGTTACATTTTTGAAATTGCAACCAAATGTTGACATATTGTTTTCACTGCCTTGTTATTCCTAATAATTTTACATTGTTTCCACATTTCAGGCACCTATCACTATAACTGATCAGACTCCTGTAGAAACTGTTGTAGAAATGTTTAGAAAGTTAGGTCTCCGTCAAACACTTGTTACTCACAATGGGTAAGTGAGAAAACTAGAACAGCTTCACTATATAAATTGCCACCATCTTGTAGTTTACTAAAATATATGCTCTCTTGATTAAAACAACATAAAATAAATGAAAATATTAATGAGTGGGAGTCCCTTGTTGATTCTTCTGTGCTGTACTAAGAGCAATCGCCTTGTAAGCAAGGAGTCATGTGTTCGATCCCCACCAGGGTGGACTTACTTTTTTTTCACATCAGCCCTTCGCACAGGATTTCATTCAGTGTTTACATTAATTAATTGATTATTGATTTTTGTTTTCAGGAGACTCCTTGGCATAATCACGAAAAAAGATATTCTTTTACATTGGAATGAGCTGGACAGTCAAGACTCTGAGAATGTATTTTTTAAGTAATGATAATTACTATGCTTAAAAGGAGCCTATATTTAATATTGCTAGTAAAGATTATTTATATGAGGGATTTCTTAAACAGTATACCCTCCAATTAGGTTGTATGTTTATATGTATTTTGTTATAGTATGTACAGAGATATAATAGGAATTCTAATATGATATATGACGTTACAATAACTAGAACAATTGATTTACTGGTCTATATTGAAGTATGTATGACCGCTAAATGCAAAAAGTTGTGTTTCTTGTCTGTTTATCATATTAGAATCAAAACAAAGACCTTGATTTTATGATTTATGTCAAATATATGACCTCATTGTTAAAAGACTGCGATTTTGGTCTTTTAACAATGAACAGAATAAATTTTTCAGTCATATATTACGTCATAAATCATGAAATCTCGGTCTTTATTCCTTAAGTATATGTTCCAAAGATATCATGAACTGGATATAAATAATACCAAAATAGTATTTGGTAGATGATGGGGATGAGGCAACATATTTGAAATTCTAAGAAACGTGTTTGCAATTTTTGTACAACGGTTTGACACAATTTTAGTTGGTTTAAATCTGTCATTAAGTCTGCAAAATATAATATAAACTAATATGAAGCATTATTTGGGAAAATTACAAAAAACAATACAGTAATTCTTGTTAAGTGTGACATTTTTAATGCCAAGTTTTCTGATATGAATCGTTTGTTTTACATTTAATGTATATGCTTTACTCCTTCTGTTAATGATAATTAATAAGAAAAAATGACAATGATTTGACACACTCAAATTTTGTTGTAATTTAAAGACTGAATGGAGTATGTTTGAATTGATGAGGAGATCCCAATGGGATTAAATGTTTATTTTATTTGATTGATTGAATGCCTGAGAACATATTTTTATAGCGTTCAATTTATATAGTAAGTTATTCATTCCAAATGGATGTCGAGATCTAGAATATGTTATTCTGTATCATATATAATGTAGATATATGTACACTGTTATTCAAAAGAATTAAAAAGATTATCCACCTTTGAAATATGTGTGATGAATCTACACTAAAAATCAACCCCTAAATTAGGAATAAAAATATAGTTATTGTATTGCATTATCAGCAGGAGATCCAAGATGAGGTTGGTAAGGTCATTTACGACATCCACCTGGATGTCATACAGTCCCATTTGTACGTCAGTAGAGCCCAAAATCAGCCAGAGATACACTCTTAGAGATTTCATAACTCACTTGTAGGCAGCATGTTTATCATTCCAGTATATCTTATGAAGTGTTTAATTACGTCATCATTTATTGCGCAGCTCTATTACAAAGGGACAACAATTTAATAAGAATATGACACTTATGGACGTATAGAGGTGTGATGATGAAGTAAGCAAACGCTTCATAAGTTATATGTAACGGGAATAATAAACATGTTATAAATGAGTCTCTCTATTAATTCAGTTTTTCTTTAGCTTTGAAATTATGATTTGCAAATATTTTAGTTTTTAATGAGTCAATAAAAGATATACATATATAGCATATTGAAATAATAATTCAATGTCTCACAATTTTATATTTAACATTTCGCTCTTAAATTGAGGAATACAAGACTTTTATCTATTTCCCATAAAATTGACCCTTTCTCTCTCTTAAAGTCCCCGATAAATCGGGCTACGTATACCGCCGTGTTTACATTAGGGGATTAGAAGAGTTTATTTTTTATTTAGGTATGCAAGCTACGTATATCAATATTAGGCCTTCATTCATGTACTCGTGTGCATGTAATCAGCATGCCCTTCAATATTATGTAAACCAGGCTATTCAACTACTGTATAATGTACACTATTTATGTGTGTACTACATACAATACAATTCCCTGGGAAACAAAACACAAATACTTTTTATATATTCAAAATGAGCCATTTGATTGATGCAAACACTAAATAGCTTCATAAATAACATCTACAAAGTATATCTAATAGTAATTTTCAATTCCAATGGTGAAACTTCCCTGGTTACGATTATATGGGAAATCATCACGAGACGAAGATCGTTCGCCTTCCTGGCTTACCTCTGAATCGTGTACCCGGTAATCTCTTTATATAGTTTAGCGAGAGCGGTGCGCCTGCGCAGTTTTAAACTCTGGCGCACACTTTAAGTAATCTCTGATTCTGCCTTTGATTTTCTATTTAGGGGTTGGTTTGACATGTCATCTATGTATATTATGTTTGTAAAATACATTTGACTTAATGTATGTAAACTAGTAGCATTTAACTGTTGATGTGCAACAAGTGGATTGTGTATTTCAAAATTGTATATTATTAAATTAATACAAGTATATACATGTAGATGTTAATCAGTACTTTCCGTGTTTGGATATAACATGATCACATTAAAAATTAAAGTTCAAAGTAAAATCTTAAAGTCTGTAATTTTTATATAAGATTTACTTAATTTAAAATAAAGTGAACTAGTTTCAGATCACTAGATTTGTATGTTACAGCAAAATGTAACAATATGCTAAGTTAAAGCTAATAGAAAAGCGTATGTAAGGTGCTTTTATTTGGAAAATATTGGTCTGTTTCCCAGACATGTTAGCATATCCTGTAAAATGAATGCATTTCTAACTATTGAAAGAGAGTGAATGCAACTATTTCCTCGATTTGAAAAACGTATATTTTTCACCTTTTTCAAAAAATACCATGTACTTGCTTACCCCCTTTTTGTTAAATAATTTCCTTAAACATACATATGATATGCATATGCAAGATCCAATTTACACAGGGTTTTATCAACTTTTCCATCTCATAGCAGATATGTATTTTATGTGTGGAATGTGTAATAAAATACAATTCCTAAGTGAGAAATAAAAACCACTAAATATAAAACAATATTGTTCATTGCTTCTTGTGAATAGGCTTGCTTTAAAGAGCTGTGTTTGTGTGTGATGGGGTCTCACTCATTATTGAGCCCATGTGACATCACATTATAAGGTCATCTAAAAGATCAGGATCTATGATATACCTCCATCCCTTAAGTCAGTCTCTGCCATCCACTTTTGACAGTTTCTGGGCAAACCCTGACTTAATGTGAGAATGTGTACAACAGGGTACTTATCCATAGCTAACTACTGATCTATTGAAGTACTTAGCTAATCAAAAGAAATTAGTTTTACATCTAGATCTAAGTCAATTTTGATTTTTGGAAAAGATTGTAATTTCTTATTATCATGTTTTCACTGTGGCTATTAGAGGGTCTAAAACACATTTAAACGAGAAATGGATCGGACCTTCCCTTAGCTCAATTAAATAGTCTTGCCCTTATTTATCAATCAAGCGATCAGATATAAATTCTCGAAAATCTAGTGATGATTTGTTCAGTTATATGACAAATAATATCATAAAAGCTGAGAAAATCGTAGATGGCTTAAATGTGGTTCCTTTCTCACAAGATGAGTACCTTTTCCAGTAAATGATAAAAACTCACATCAATTTGAATGGCACCACTTAATTTTGGTGGCCATATTACATAGTTTTTCAAATCGATTTGCAGTTTTCTATTATACTATGTCAAAAGGATCTCTGGCACAAGCCAGAAAATTAAATAAGTTTTCATTTGGTTTTATTTCTGATAATGTTACATAAAGGATGACTGAGATATTTGAATGGAGAATTTGCGTGTCCATCTATTGAATTAAATGAGACTTGGATGATTGGATGAGACTGGGTTTCCTAGGAGAGTCCTATCTGTTTCTTCATGTCATTGTCATATTTCTGATATTATGGTTACATAAAGGATGACTGAGATATTTGAATGAAGAATTTGTGAACACTAATTGGATGAGACTGGGTTTCCTAGAAGAGTTCTTCATGTCATTGATTCCAGGTAAACGGAAGAATTCACTCAATTTATCACCAATTTGTAATGTAATGTGTCTATCCAACTTGATGTAGTGACTGCAGTTGGACTGCTAGATGTACTAATTAATGAGTAATAACCATCCCAAATTCCCAGTACTCGGAAGAAATGAAAAAATCACTGTCTTTAGCATGTATTAATTTATTTATTGTATAATAATATTTCAATAATTATATTAAACACGATTATAGAAGTCTATTTTGATAGTTCATATAAAATATATATCATATAAAAACATCTTTATCTTGCATACCATATTTTCTGCTACAATTACTCAGTACAATTAGAGATGCTGTTGTAGAATGATTTCAGTACAATAAATTAAAATGCCAACAAAATTCTGATATGAAAATAAAGAAAGTTTACCATGCAATCTAGGAACAAGAAACTTAAAATATTAATAGCTTATATTAGTAAGTATTCCAAAGTTTTTTATTTTTATTTTCTGTCTCTTGAAATAACACTTGGTAACATAAAATGTTTCAAACATTAACTGTTTGTATAATTTGTACAATTATGTAATTATAATCTCATTCCTGAGCCAATGTAATGATAGTGTTCATTTGTGTACAATGTAAAAAACCTTTGGATCATTGAATAATTAAATGCAATATATTTGATTCACCCCCATGCCTGCCATTCTTGAAGCATGGGTTCTTGAAGAGGATTTTATGATTTCTCCCCATGGGTACTAAATCGTGACAAAAGACAACTCCTTAATCCAAATTAAACTGTTAAATGAACAATGGAGGTGAAATAATAATAATTTTGTCTGCTATTCCTACATTGAGGTAAATGTTAAATTAGTTCACTTTAATGTACAGGTTTTTACTGTACATGTTATAATACAATATGCTATACATATTTGACAAGTTTACATGTATATACAATCACACAGCGTGACATGAGCACCATTACTAAACAATTCAACACCATTTTCATAAATGCCTTGGCCAATAAAGATCAGGCACTTTTCCAGTTTATGTTCTTTTTCTTTACTTTTAATATACAGTTGTCATTTCAATGAATTAATATTACTGTGCATAATTGATCCATATTTATGACTCTGTCCAATGCGCAGTATCAAGGTAACGTTACAAAAGTAGAGGTACTTGCTCCAGCTAGAATCAATGTAGGTTTAGTCTATTTGAGCCATTTCTTGTTACTGTGCACCAGAACGTAATTATATTGTTATACACTTATATATAAGGTATACAAAATCTACATGTATAATACATCAAGAAGCAATAATATGGTCCAAATCATACAATAATTAGCCCATAAAACTCAATAAAAAATATCTGATATTTAATAGACATGAAATTGATTAAACATTGTATGTTAGACTGAGATATAGTTTTTCATACTGGTAAGTAGAACAAGATACTTGGTAATAGCTGCTTTCCTGATTGAACGTAAAATCCAATATCTGTTTTCCCTCAAATGGTCAATTATCATTAATGTCACTTTATTGGCATATTAGAGGCCTGCTGATATAGAAGAATGTTCCTTACTATATCCATATCTTTTGAACATTATGAATTCTTTGAAACCTCTGATTTAAAATTCCTACATCCATTCACATGTTTTGAATGTTCACATATTATTCAACTTTGGTTGTATTCTGAGTATCCCTCTGCCCCAGTGAATATCACATCAATCCATATTCTCATTGCTTCCGGGGAGGGAGCAACTAAGAAGTAAGTCCGATCATAAGTCTTTACGCAAAATGTTAATTTCTGATTTGGACTTTTCACAGATTTCAAATGGTCCACATACACTTCCTCTATAGCTTGAAAGTATATCCCTCCTCTGGGTTTTACTTCATTTTTGTCTGAGTAATATAAAAATGATCGCTTTTTACGATCAAAGACGAACCATCGTTTATTCCATCTTTTGAATTTACTCCCCATTTTTTGTAGGAAGCCTCTACAACTGTCTTCTGTGATATGAACAAATGGACAAGCCTCAATATGATGTCCTGCCGTTTCTATGTGTTGATGTAGATCAAAGTTCTTACTCCTGATTGGAAGATAACGTGTGAGTGGACGTGCCTGAAATATAAAATATAAACCTATTATGATATATGATATAAGTCTATGTTGAATGATACATACATATGTTCATCAATCTAAACTTGATCAATTTAATAAAATCTTCACCCACTCTAAATTTATTACTTTCCACTTAATACTTGACTGAATAGCTCATTTAGATATAAATAATGCTCATTAAGAGAAGCCCTACATCTTTAATGATTTAAAGTTATCTACTTTGTTTTGACTGCTCTAATTTTGCCCTTTGTTTTTGATTACTCGGTTTGATTAACACTTTACCTGTTTTCTTTGGCCATCTCTTAATTTGATTTCCTTTTCTACAAGTTCTTCACGTAACATTGTTTCCTCCATTAATCTTTGTTCCAGCTCTTCACGTTTCTTTCTCTCCATTTGTAGTGTAGCCATTTCACCCTCACGCTGTACAATCTGAAACAACAGCATTTACTTAACTGTATTTCTTTGCTCCATTTCTACTTTGATATGGTTAATATATCCAATATTCAAACGATGTGACCCAATATCATGCGGTACAAATAAATATTGGTATTTCTTAGAATCACCAGAACATTTCCTTACCATACTCCTAGCTTTATATGCAGATTGAAGAACATGAACAGAGTCACCATGCAAAAACTTATCCATTTTGTCATACAGTAAGTAACAGTACATTTAAGTTACAATTCAATCTTAAACGTTCTACCAAGCTTTCACTTATAACTTTTCAATATTCAAGAGCAAGAAATCAAAGCTTATCCAAATAATGATATTTCCTGCCATTCACTTTTTCGTGCTTTTAAATCCTCAATCTGTTAATTGCAAGGTTGAAATCATTATTTATTTTCAGACACACTTTGGAGCATTAGAAACTCTTGAACAGTTGTTAGACACTGTGTTCAATATGCTACTTTATATTGATTGCAAAGGAAGAACATAAATCTCATTCCACAATTAATTCAATTTACTCACACAAGCAAGGGCTAAGTAAGATTTATTGACATCTTACTAATTCCAGAGGGACCCTTTCAAGAGTAGAAATGCTTGTTCATCAGGAAAACATGAAATACTTTAAAAGTAGAGTTGTTACTTGACGGAGGTAATGAATCTGAGTGGAAACTTTCCTTAGACCCATAGATATATGCCCAAATAATATGTAAATTTTATCTTCTTTGTATGTAAAGTATTTTTATTTAATTCCAGGCAATGGTGGGCATCACTTCAATTTTGAGCAGTTCCCAATATTTAATGTTGACCTCATTCTCTAAGGTTTGTGGACATAAAGGTTGTGTATTTGGTATTATATTGTTGACCATCACATTTGTGTTTGTTGACTTAATAGCGGCAAGTCTCTGAACTTCTCAGGTTAAAGTAAGAAAAATAATGAACTGTGGAAGACTAGACTCTTAATTGATAAAATATGTAAAAGTGTCAATTTGGAGAACAAAATGTAAGATTAAAACCACAAACTACAGTAATCAGAAGTCAAGCATGTTGAATCATTGAAATTCTAGAATTAACAGATTTGCATAAACTCTGAGCATTCCTACATGGTCTACATGCTTGGATCTAACAAACGTATTAAACACAATCTAATGTCTAATTTTTAGATAAGTACAGCCATATTACACCAGTGCCAACTGACAGCAAAATAATTTATTCTTGTGTCATCTCATGCAACACCCCCCCCCCCCCATCCACCCGCCCACTTCCCATGCCTCAACAACTCCCCCTACTCGCTATGCCTGAACCCCTCCCTCACCCCCCATGCCTCATACTCTATCACTCTAAAACTAGGGATATTCTTCATGCACAGCTAAGGGTCATGCACTGGGAGGTACTTTTAGATACAGGTATAAACACCCTTGGTATACGCAGCTAACGAAAATTGACCGGCACGGGTCAAAAGCTGGACCGGCACGGGTTAACGGTTTTATTTGAATTTAAAACAGCCATAACTTGCTCAATAATGACTTCCTCGTGTCTAATTTGAAATATATGATGCCTCCCGATGCTTTTAAGTACCCCAATTTTTTACAGATTTTTAAACGGACCAAAACTCTCGAAATGCGCATTTATGCTCTTTTCTCTCGAGAACGACTGTCTCATTTTCACGATAACTTTTATTTAGTACTTCTAACATATAAGATCTATTTTTCCCCATCAAGGTATGATGTAAATGACATGCTATTTACATATTGTGAGTTTCAATGACGCGCGTTTGATTTTATAAAAAATACCAAACTTTGTGACAAAGAATTTCCTCCTGCTTGCAGCGAGAAGACGGACCGGTTCGGGGCAATAGCATGAACATCATTCAGGAATCTTTATTCATGTGTGTTACATCTATTATTACAAGGATCTAAAGTTTCAAATCTTCTCTTAGAACCTCTTCGACAAACCGTTACATGTCCAACTTACCTTCGGTTGTGAATTTCAATGGTTAGAATATTGCCCAACTATGCGATCAGGTCATCGTTCCATCGCTTCTTGGGACACTTTTAATTAAAATATTTATTGTATACCAACATTTATCCCATTCTACGACGCATTTGAGGTAAAAAATAGGTTGGTAAAAGCTGATTAATATTATCCAGAGCAAGTTGGATACAGCTGGAAATATATATATATATCCCTCGGTCCCTGCGGTCCATTGGGAAATACACATATTTCCCTGAGGATAAACCCTGTATCCAAAAACCTCCAACATAATCCATATTCACATGCCGGCTGAGCAGGCGGATGTATCTTCCCGCTTCACGTTAGACTCAGTTCTCATTATCTTAAATATTTAAGTGCCAAGTGCGCTGGAAAAATCAAGCCATTGAATATAAAGGGGCATGGGATAAACAGTTTTTCCTTTAGTAGGTTCTGAATATTGGTATTATCCTAGGACCATATAATTTATCTGCCCTTGAAACCTAGAACCTCATATAGAGTAATCTCTATTTATCCTATGCCAAGTAGTTTTAGGAAGATAAGTTAGCAAGATATATTCGCATCTGTATCCCGACTCTTAAGTTTCCATATCCAGAACCTACGTATCTCCCGCCATATCTCCCGCTCCCGAGCATATACCTTTCCACTTTCTGCAATTCTAAAAATCTTCTTGGCATAGGATAAAGCAGTTATTTACGCTCGGTTTCGAAATGGGGTTTACTGCTCCGGAGATATGCATTTCCTACCCCTATATAAACTCCATATTAAAATCTCCCCAATGCATAATCCCTTTGTACCCCATAACTAGGAAGTTAAATAGTATGTATCAGAGCAGGTGAATATTATGTATCACTGAACATAGGAATTTCTGTTTTGAAAAGTACGATATGAAATATATATTTTTTAGTTCTCCTAGTAAAGCTCGATAACATCCAATCGCGTTTTTGTCTTTACAAAGTTTAATCTATCAAAGGTTAATCTATTTTCAATCGAGAGTTAGCTTGAAATATCAAAACATTATAATATTCTCATACTTGTAGAACTAAAAATGCTTTCCTATTATCATTACTACAATGACGAATATTTGTTACATGGGTCACAAAAATATATTTTCAGTTTCCCAAATAATCGGATCTGGCATGAAAAGCATCACGAGATGTGTAAATGATGATAAGATTAGTAAATAATTAGAAACGTTGTTATCTTTTTAAATCTTTGAACCTCAGTAAATTGTTCACTGCACGGGGAAATTTCATTGCAACTGCAAGAGAAGTGTCCAAGTAATATCTATGCTTCTAGCAAATATGCCTCTGAAGGTATGTGAAAATAGGTTATGTGCGATCGGTTGAAATACAAGGTTTATCTCTTGGAATTACTGACCTCCGCGAACAGACCGTAGATTGCTAGACATTGTTAGTACCTCAGTTGAAATACTCAATTTTGATTGGTCAATTAGCGGTCAACAATATGTACTGTTGACCGATACTGGGTACTGTTGACCGCTTCTGGGTACTGTTGACCGTTACTGGGTACTGTTGACCGCTACTCAGTACTGTTGACCGCTGCTAGGTACTGTTTCAAAATTATTATTTTTAAATCAGAAAAAAAATCTAAATCGTATTATATGTTTTTTTCGTGAAATATGATATCTTGATCAACTTATCAAATATTTCTTCACGTATTACTAGTATTCGATTATTCTCAGTCAACAGTACTTTCAAGGTTTACAGTATCGGTATATATATCGTATACTATATGATTTCTATTAGCAGAGAAACAATAACTCAAGACAGAAAATATTTTATTCAAAAATATTGCAAATACGATGTAACATTGAAATGTCATGAGAAAAAATGAAACAGGAACACTAAAATAAGAAACATATACAAAAACATGCCCTTTAGTGATAGTCTACATGTTGAAGTCACTTGTCGTTTTCCTGGTCTATACTGTAGGCCTACATGTACATGTATGTCCTCTTTTTTTACAATGCGCAAGATTTCTTCTTTGTTTGAATTTTGCATGGCATGTACAAATGTAATCCCTTCTTTTGCTGTGCACATCTAACTCATGTTGTTTTCTCATTCTCCTGCTCGTGCATACTTTTTTACAAATCTTGCATTTCTCAGGCATCTTTTGGATGCAGAATGTTGGATATGCAATGACTGTGTTCGCAGAAGACGTCGAGATTGAAATGCGGCGGAGGGGACATGTAAATGAAGCTAATCTATGCAAGCTTGTTAGAGAGTGGTACCAAGCAGAAGATGATCCAGGTACTAAATATTTTTTAGTTAGTTGGTTTTAGGTAGATTTTATCACTCTTCCTTATAAACGTATGTACAAGTTTTCGAAGGAAGTGTATACAATCATGGAGGTCAAAAATGGACACATATGTTGTATTGTATTGTATGGTGTGGTATGATATGGTATGGTATGGTATGGTATGGTATGGTGTGGTATGATATGGTATGGTATGGTATGGTATGGTATGGATTGGAATGGCATGGAATGATATTGTATGGTGTTGAATGTTATTGTATTGTATTGTACTGTATTGCATTGTAAAATTGCATTGTAAAATTGCATTGTAAAATTACAGTGTCCTCGGTTATAGAAATACATGTTCGGACATCAATGTGTTGAATTTATCCTAAAACCTGGAATTTTATTTGCAACCTTTGATGAGCTTGATGAGTATCGATTGTTGTTGAAATCAACTATTTTGACCATTTTTATCAAATATTTCTTGTTTAATTAACACCAACCGGCATTTGTGGGAAATGAGTTGATTTCTCTTCAATATACGTAAACGAATCCTGACGTCAGGATACATACAGGATATGCACCCCGTGTGCCAAACCTGTATGAATCCTGACGCCTGGATTCATACAGGATTGGCACCGAATGTACATATCCTGTGTCAGGATTTATACAGGATTGACGCGTGTAGGAATCCAGTATGAATCCTGCATGTGGATTCATACAGGATACGCTCGCAGTGTGCCAATCCTGTATGAATCCTGACGCCTGGATACATACAGGATTGGCACATTGTGTGCATATTCCGGATTACATATGCTGCACATAATTTACAAATTATTGATTGCTATTGTTACTAACATTTATGACAAAAAATTCTTTAAAAATCCATGTTAATTTGATAAAAAAAACAATTTTCTCAATCAAACAAATAATCTACTTTCAAAAGTACCTATCCTAGTATCCAAAAGTGAATTTCATTAAATTAAGAATGAACATTTAACCATTATTCACAATTGTTTTTTCCCTGGACTATTGTGATTTGATATTTGATGCTTAAGAAGCTATACATGTAGAAGACAAATGGTATATAAATAGCAATATATGACAAACCTTTAAAGAGCCTAATGTCTGCAACCTTTTTATAACAGACTTTCAATTAAATGCCCATTATAACATAGTCGCAATGGTGGAGGGATTTGGATATTTGGAATTCCCCCGGCGATTTATTATTACTTATCTGTTTTCAATATTGTTGGTATTTTGCAAGCCTTTAATATTCAATTTGTACTTCAAAAAAGTATTGTTATTCGAAAGGTAAGTCAAAAGGGTCAAATCGAGGTCAACATGACATTTTGTGATAAATTGTTAATGTGCGAAAGTACGAAATAGTAGTACAGGTATGTTCCAAACGTAACGAGGCTGTTTTATCAATGTTCTACGAATCTAGATTTTATATCACTCGAAACAATGTATAGCCCTTGGTGAGGGGGGGGGGGGAATTACAGACATCTAACATAGCGTTTTAGTTATGTATAATCATTAATCAAAACAAATAATACTAATAAGTCCACCTTTCTGATTACATTTTGTCCGTGTATTTCTAGACTTATTTACTAATGATACAACAACAAATTAACTTCACTTGCGTCAGCCCATCATCTCCTTGCAAATATAAGTGTATTCATGTTCGACGGGGAATAAGAATTTGTTTACCCGCACCCCTGATCATTATCAAGCCCCCTCTAGATATCAGGCCCGTCACAGGCACGTAGCCAGGGGGGTTCGATGGGTTCGATTTACCCCCCCCCCTTGCAAAAAATCTTTCGAAATCATGCGGTTTTCACCATTCTGAACACGTTTTAGGTGATTTCGGCCATTCTTGGACCAAAATTGGCACAAGTTTTTAGTCATCATGCTATTTCCATGAGTGAGTGTCAAATTTTAAGACGCATTTTCCTTCTTTTCCTTAAGTTCCCATGTGAATTTTAAATACAATTTGCAAATGCATCCTAAAATCTGATTATGTTAATGCTCATCCCCCCTCCTCCAATGTGATGCCTGTCTACTATAATTTCAAATGTGCAAGGAAAACAGTTTAAATGGGATGAAATGTATCTCAAATCAGTCTCAAATACTATGGCTGGTGGCTTCAAAATTGATAAACAACTTTCGAAACCATATTTTTAGATGTACTTTTACATGTAGATTTCAAATATGACATCGCTTTGACTGAATTTTGAATATTTAATGAGGTAAATCAAGATTATTTATACTCGTATCTAGTCTATTATTTGGTTCTACACGTTCCTTCCTCATTGACATGGTGACTCTTTGACCTAATAACGTATCCATTTCCTTAATATTGTATATTCAAACAGGGAGAGTTAGTTCAATATAGAAGGAGTTCCATAGTCAGGATCCAGGTGTAAAAGGGTAGGAGGTCCTCTCAAATTATGGTCCCACTCTCCATTGATTTATATGGTGACCTCAAAACAACTCTTTCCCTGATTATCTTATACGCAATCAGGGCCAGTAAGGGCCGTTAAGAAAGGGGACCATAATCCCTGGGGGACCATCATTTGTAAAAGGGTAGGAGGTCCTATCAAATTATGGTCCTACTTTCCATTGATTTATATGGTGACCTAAACACAACTATTTCCCTTATCATCGTATCCACAATCAGGGCCAGCAAGGACCTTTAGGAAAGGGGACCATAATCCCCAGGGGACCATAATTTCTTTTACACCGGGATTAGAAAAACTCTCCGAATCCGAATCATATATTTGAAAACGAAGAATACAATGCCCCAGGTACAATGCCCCGTGCCGTGTATTCACCATTTACTCTCAATCCTGATTATCTATCAATGTCTCCAGTGAGTTTGCTTCTGTGTGCCTCTCCAAGTAACAAATCTAAATGCATACTCTACATATATCGCCAAATGTGGGCCCGGTGTAAAAGGGTGGGAGGTCCTATCAGATTATGAAATAGTTTGTGACAAATATTAAATACGCAAATAGAGGCAGGTTTTAGAAATGAGACTAGAGGCAAAGAATAATTATAATCATAAAATCTAAAGTAATTCCTCGATGATCTCTTCTGTAATCAAGGTGGTTTTGGTACACTTCCGCAGTTATAAAAACAAAGACATAGACTAAGTAATTAATAACTAAGTAATTAATAAATCTCAAATAAGCCCCAATTCATCTGCCAGCGCCCTGCCGGTTGAGTATTTTGTTCAGAAATGAATGCAATTCTGAACAAAAATAGAGCAATGACCTGATCGCATAGATGGGCAATATTCTAACCATTGGAATTTACAACGGACATGTAACGGTCTATCGGAGACGTTCTAAGAGAAGATTTAAAACTTTAGATCCTTGTAATAATAGATGTAACACACATGTATAAAGATTCCTGAATTATGTTTTTGCTATTGCCCCGAACCGGTCCGTCTTCTCGCTGCAAGCAGGAGGAAATTCTTTGTCACAAAGTTTGGTATTTTTTATAAAATCAAACGCGCGTCATTGAAACTCACAATATGTGAATAGCATGTCATTTACATCATACCTTGATGGGGAAAAATAGATCTTATATGTTAGAAGTACTAAATAAAAGTTATCGTGAAAATGAGACAGTCGTTCTCGAGAGAAAAGAGCATAAATGCGCATTTCGAGAGTTTTGGTCCGTTTAAAAATCTGTAAAAAATTGGGGTACTTAAAAGCATCGGGAGGCATCATATATTTCAAATTAGACACGAGGAAGTCAATATTGAGCAAGTTATGGCTGTTTTAAATTCAAATAAAACCGTTAACCCGTGCCGGTCCAGCTTTTGACCCGTGCCGGTCAATTTTCGTTAGCTGCGTATACCAAGGGTGATAAATGCTGTATCCAAAACTAACCACAGATGTATCCTATACCTACTAAGGTTCTTGGTGGAAATCACACTCTGCACTACTTTAACTAGTATATATATATATTCCCAGATGTAACCTATCAAGAACCTCAATAGGTATAGGATACACTCTTGTATAATGTATATTCTACCAAATTCATCCTCAAAACAAGGCAAACAGAATCTTTTATTATTCATGATAAACCCTTTATTAATCAAATTTTTGCAAGAAATTAACTACCCCCTGAAGTGACTCCTCAACCAAAGATTTGTTTTTAGTCATTCTCATAGAAAAACAAATGTGACTGTATATTTAAGGTACTTGTGAAATAACAACGGTTGAGCACAAATCCCATGAATCGCAATAGCAATAACAGCATTTCCTGTTTGCCTCATTTTGAAATTCAATTTTGAATAAGGCAGAGGTCTTGTTTATTGTTAGTGGGGATTGTATACTACGAGGTCAATATGGGTCTATTTATGTTAGCATTTCAACTGCAAAACTTGGGCTCAGATTTACTTGTAAAGAAAAGAACATGCATTTATACCTCAGGTGAATATTCCTGGAATTAAAATCAAAATTACATAGATATAAAATCAAAGTTCCTTAATTTAATAAATCAACCTGGGTTTATAGTTAGTATTTTCCGGGGTTTTGATGTTTGGTAAAAACACACAAGATAATAGAAGTTGGAAGAAAATAAGAAATATATCTTAACTACCATCTCAGAAAAACAAAAATGTTTTGATAGAAGGACAGGAACAATAAATCACATTTGATGCGTGGGATGGCTAATAATTGATTGCTGAAGTGTAGTCATTTAACAATTTTTCATTCAGATTTGATCTCAAACAAATAACCAGGGACAACAAAAACATATCTACAAGGTAACAATACACCCTTTACAGGCCAATCAGGGAGGCACAAGATGGGTACAATTACATAAAGACATACATAGGGGGTGTGGGAGCTACTTACAGCATTCTGGAGGAGAGCCACCTTCTCATTCTGGGCTTGCTGCAGCAACTTCTCCATCTCATGAACCTTTTCTAATTGATCATCACTACTGACACTGCAATAAAATCATAACATCATCATGTTTAGCACAAAAATACATTAAGCCTATCAAAAATGTTAAAAATTCATTTGACATTCCTTTTATAGATGTGACAATTTAGTTGATTCATAAAATTATATCCTTCCAATGTTAAACCTGCACATCGCTCCAAAACGCGATATGTTGACATATATTGTTTTTACATTTTCAAACTCTAATATAAAGTTTATGTAAATAAAAATTGTTTTTTTCTGCGTAACATCAAAGAACAATCATTTAGTTAAAATAAAAAAATAAAAAGGCGAAAGCGGGATTCGAACCCGGGCCTCCCGCGTGCTCGGCGAGGATTCTACCGCTACACCACCGTATTATTATATATAGTGGAAGTAATTAAACGCTACTTATTTTGAATGCTATGATTCGGAAGTGACGTCACGTTCTTCATTTAGAAACCTTTCCAAAATCATATCGCCGGCTCCGATCGAAGCAAATTCAATGAAAAATCTTTGAAATGACACATTTATCGTAAGTATTTCTACACAAGATTTGCCCCATTTGTTCATCATTCTATAATCTTTCATTAAGCTCAAAATGATAAAGTTCACCCCCGAAACAACCCAAGATTGCGTTTCGGAGCGTAGTCCAGCTTTAAGCTCTACTTGCAATCTCTGATAATATTGGCAGTCGACCTCTAGTGAGGTCAATAATTGTACACTATTTTTTCGTCATATGAGTACTGACCTAGTTTCTCTCTCAGAGGGTGTAGTCTCAGTGCTTGCTATACTTGAATCATATAAGTACTGACCTAGTTTCTCTCTCAGTGGGTGTAGTCTCAGTGCTTGCTATACTTGAATCATATAAGTACTGACCTAGTTTCTCTCTCAGAGGGTGTAGTCTCAGTGCTTGCTATACTTGAATCATATAAGTACTGACCTGGTTTCTCTCTCAGAGGGTGTAGTCTCAGTGCTTGCTATACTTGAATCATATAAGTACTGACCTAGTTTCTCTCTCAGAGGGTGTAGTCTCAGTGCTTGCTATACTTGAGTCTTCAGAGTCCAGTGAGTGGAATCCATTCAAGTCTCGCTGTCTCTTTTCCTCCCATTGTTGTCTCACTTCATTGGCTGCTCTGTGCTTCAACTCTACGAGTCTACGTTTCTGATCCTCTATCACTTGACCACCTGCAAATATTATTACAAGTTGAAACATAAATATGTCCTGTTATGTAAAAGCTGTGTACTGTAATTGGGTTTTGTCTTCATATCTTTTATACATTTATTTCTTCAAACTTCTGTCTGCTAGCAATCATGATGATTAGCTCCAATTTACCCTCAAATCTAACTCAAACGTATATGTCAGATTACATAACAGATATGATGTATTAGCAGTTGCTTGATCGTCCTATATGCATTTATCTTGTGCAGGAAATTACTTGTATAAAACCTGTGTCTTATACCTGTTATAATAATTTGCGGGCTTAATATGACACACACTATTTAAGCAGAAACAAATAGTATGCATTATCGCACAAGCAGATCCCCCATCTGTTCATGTATTATTATAAAACACGGGAATATACACATTATGTGTCACCCGTTTATTGTAACCTATTGTAAAGATATGATTAAATAAGAATAAATAAATAAAAATAAATAAAATAATGTCAAGGTAATGTGCTTTTCTAGACCTACCTTGTTTTTCTAAATGCTGAATCCGTTGTTTCTCAATCTCCTTCAATGCTGGTGAGTCTCTCACATTCCTCTCCACACCACTTATGCCATCCTCACCAGCACGGATCTTACGAATCATCTCCTCTGTAGATGGTGCATGGATCTTCTCCAGCTAAATTAGTCAATTTAAATGCATGTTTATTCAATGCACATGTATAGCTGTTCAGTGTACATAATGCACATGTATGGAAGTACATGTTTGTGTATTCAATGCACATGGAACTTTATTATTTCTTCAACATGGGAATGTGTCAATATAAAATCATTATTTTTAAGTGGTGATTAATATTTTGTTTTTAGCACCAGATTCAACATTAATGCACATTGGAATAAAAGTTACAATAACTCTGCAGAAGCATGTACTTCAAAATATTCTACAAGCTCAATTCTTAGTTTAACTGATTCTGTATGAACTGCAAATTCTGCCTTAAGCAATTACAAAGCTAGGTAGGTGTAGGACTAGAATAAATGAATAATAATTCAAAAAGCCAATGTAATAACAATTAAGCACATCCTTTTTAGACAATTTGGGATTTTGTGATAATATCAGTGTTCCCCTTTTATAATTTTTAATTACATGTGATTTCATATTGTTTGTTTTCAGCTAAATGAAATAATGGTCTGTGAATAATAATATCATCACATAATCCCCAATGTTCACCAACTATGTCTCTACCTCAGCTTCAAAGTCAGCCATTTTAACTGGATCACTGTCAGTTGATGACGCAGGAGATAAAGTTAGTAAGCGAGAAAAATCACGAATTCGTCTTTCTGTGTTTGTTAACTTATTTTTTTCCTGTAAATGAAATTAGTTGCAAAAGGTTAGAAGGGGTGTAGTGTGTAACTATGCAATTATAGAGAAAGCCCAAATCACTTCTAAAAATGCAAGTTCTACATATAAAGAATAAAGGAAGTATTAAAAGCAATATTCCAACTCACAATTAAGTATGTATTAAATGAATTTCACTAATTAAAAGAAGAATACTTGGTCTCAAAAGGAAAGTGATCTATGATAGAAAACAGAGTGATATGTGTAAGATTCAAATCAAACTATTTATTTCAGAAAATATACAAGATATGGTGTAATAAATTTCTAAGATGGGTCACAACTAATTCTACCTTTCGGAATTCATCCAGCAAGTTTTGTCGTTCTTTCTCGAAACTTTCAATTTCTCCACGAACTTGGTTGAGCATCTCTTTCTGTTGAGAATCTATTTGGCACAATGTATCCTACAATTGATATCACACTTATGGTACCGCTCCATTTGTCATAATAAATTGTAAAGGGTGCCTAAGAAAGCTGTTCCATTGCACAGTTCTATGATTGGCCAGTTAATATTTTTAGCATATGCCTGGTCTTTTTAATAACCATTAGTTCTTTTTAGTTGGTTGGGTAGAAATTGCCAAGTCTAGTTATAATGCCCTCCCTTGCAAAATATTTAAAAGGTGTCCCGTATAGTGTAGCAGAAAAGGTCTAATGAAATGTGATTGGAAGATGTGGTGGTTAGAAGCAATATGGAGAGAATCTAATACCTGCTAAAGACAAGAATACCTGTATATGTCCATTTCTTACCTCTCTAGACTTGTATTTCTCCACAAGTTCATTCTGCTCCATGAGTAGCTGTCTCTGCATGATCTCCTTCTCCTCTTCCACCTTGCTCTCTCTCTACAAATACAGCAGTTAATGTGTCAATATAGCAGTTAATATGTCAAATATAACAGTAGCTGTCTCTGCATGATCTCCTTCTCCTCTTCCACCTTGCTCTCTCTCTACAAATACAGCAGTTAATGTGTCAACACAGCAGTTAATATGTCAAATATTGATGTGTCACATATATCAATTCATGTGTCACATTTATCAGTTGATATGTCACATTTAACAGCTGATGTGTCACATTTAGGAGTTCATGTGTCACATTTAGCAGTTTATGTGTCACATTTAGCAGTTGATATGTCACATTTAGTAGTTCATGTGTCACATTTAGCAGTTGATATGTCATATTTAGCAGCTAATGTGTCACATTTAGCAGCTGATGTGTCACCAATTGACCACTCAGAATGGAGTATTTACATTCAAGTATTAACAAATTAATATAACATTCTCTTTGAATCAATCTAGCGTGTGAGCAGAAACTTATCTATCTCAATTTTTGGGATATATCATATTTTGTCATTTATATCCATCAATCCAAATTAGATCTGTATCTGCTATGGTTTTAAATGACAAAAGTGAAATGTAAACATCTCTATATGATGTTTTACATACATATCTTGATTTGAGCGCTTGACTAAAAAAACTGAATTGTTTATACATGAATACAGTAACAGTAATGATGAAAGGCAAAGGTTTACCTGCATTGGTGACCAAACCCAATTAAACTGGTCCCTAGTGTCTTTTACAATTGACCTTGACTCAGAGCTAGATCCAATACAGCCACAATGCAGATGCATTTTACTTTTAGTTTATATCTCAAAATTCTTTGATTTAAGCATTTGATCAATTTTAATATTGTTAATAAGATATGAAAATGTCCTAGATACAATATGACAGTATGATTGAATTGTTAGTTGCTCCTAAAGTGAACTCAGTTTGATCAATTAAAATTTTTATTGGAATATGTTGTAATGAGAACATGTAATAAGGTGAAATATGGGGACAGGTTCAGAGTTGCACAAAATCCAGTTCAAAATGTTGTATTTTATTAACTTTTGATGAACTTTATTGAGCATGTGTTTGCCATGAGGGATAATAATGTTTCATAATGCAGAATATACAAAGCATGGGATAAACATTCACATGCACAGAAAACATTGACTGATTTAGAAATTGTTTGTAAAATCATTGCATAATTTAATTTTAATGATCCTAAGTTAAAACAAGTTTCTATATGAAGCGCCCCCCCCCCCCCCCTCCCTCTAGAATTATTGAAGCAGGAGTATTACCAAGACAAAAATTGACAAAAAATGTTTAAAAGCCACAATGAAACAAACTATTTTTCAACACACATCTCATGAGGCAGAGGCTGGGAGAATGGAGGGGAACTCTACTATCATTGTGTCACAATGGAAATAACTTCCACATATCTATGTTGAGCATTGAGAGAAGACCCTTAATACCTCTAATTGATGGAATTCCAGGTCCTCGTATATCTTCCTCTGTGTTTCCAAGGCCTCCTGTTCCTGCTGGTACCTCTCTAGCAGGCCATCCTCCTCCTCTTGGGAACAGGCATCTAGTAGCTGTTCTGTCTCATAGTGCTGTGCCTCTAGCTGCTGTAGCTTTGTATGCTCCCTCTCTATGTCAGCCATCTCCTAGAAACATTGAAATAGATTTAGCTTTTTGTTGCTTACATGATTGACCTTTCTCTTGTTTGTATCTGTGTATATCATCTTATTAAACTAAGCAGAAAGGTACATATTTATTCATGTATGAAAACATATATATTGGGTCTGAAAATGGTATTTGTGTGAAGTTGCTTACTGTTGTAACTGTGTTATTTTGGAGTTTTTTTTAACTTACTTTCAAGTTCTGTAAGGGAAGTTATGTTTAATGTGACATGTTTGATGGAGCTTATATGCCACATATTTGTCATTTCATTTGTAATGCACATTAATTTTATGTATACAATAGAAAGTTTGAACACATGAGAGAATGAACAATTGACAAATTTTTTTACAGTTCAACATGAAAATCAAGGCTGAAACATTCATTTCCATTTTACTGACCCTGAACTCGTTCCCATATTGAAATCTGACCAAGCAAATATTTCAACAATTTTTAAATTCAGACAAAATTCTAATTTATTTATACCTTATGGAAGAATGGAAAACTCGAAAGTACAATGTATGTAGAACATAAAATCAAAATTCTGTACTGTACCTTAAATCACATTGCTGACAAAGGAAACCCAGCGTCACCTTCAGAATTCATTATTCAAATTTTGCATATTCCAAATATGTGATCTATTGAGTCCTTCACCACAAATTCAACATCAATTTCCTCAATCTGTCCCTGTATTAACTTGTTGATATATTGAATTAGATTCAATGTGTGTTTTTTACTGTGGGGGCTTAAACGTGAAGGTGTATCACACAAATAAAGCCAAGCTCTGTACTGTTATTTAAATTGTATTTAATAGGATAATGATAGGCTACGCTTGGTACTCTTGGTGAAAATGTGTCAAAATAGGTCATGACCCTTAGATCATTGGAAACTAACATTTAAGGATGTAAAATGTCAACTCAGGTATGGGACTGGAGGGGGGGGGGCGAGGCAAGATATATTTCAAGAAAATGAATGATTACAATTATCAGAGATACATGGCCATACAGACAAGAGTAAGGTAATATCAGTGATTTTCAGAACTAAAATAAATGAACTCAGGAATACAAAAAACATGTTTTGTGAGGAAACAGGGATTTTTATAATATAAGTATAAGGGTATTCTATTCACATTAGTGTTTTACTGACAGGTTTTGTTGCTCTTTCCTAGGAAACTTGTGGCAGAAATATACAACATCTACACTTTTTGAATCATATTGGGTGCCACACCCACTTGTACCATTTAGAAACCAACTGGAACTAACCAGTATGTTAATGTTAAGTCACACCTTTATTCAAATGGAAAGTGGCATGTCTGACTGAGAATCACTTAAAAGTATATTTTGAAGATCTAACCTTTTCTTTCTGCTTGGCTGCATTCTCCAGCAGTTGCATTTGTTGGTTTTTCAGCTCTGCAATCCTCTCCCTGTCTCTCTTTAACTGTTCCATCTCATTTTGATGTTCCCCCTCCAACAAGGCACGCTCCATCTCCAGCTAGAACAGAAATCATTTCTTCAATTGTATGCTATGTAACGTAACACTAGATGAAATACCTGTGAATTGGATCGATATTTGGAAATCTCACTTAGTCACATTTGACAAATCTACATTATTACACGACCCACTATATCAACAAAAATGAAGTTTGAAGGCTCAGATACTTCTCCAGAGGGAGTGGGCAATGAGGCAAGCTAATGCCTTTATTGGGTTGATATGGTCTTACCTCTCTAATACTTCTCCAGAGGGAGTGGGCAATGAGGCAAGCTAATGCCTTGATATGGTCTTACCTCTCTAATACTTCTACAGAGGGAGTGGGCAATGAGGCCAGCTAATGCCTTGATATGGTCTTACCTCTCTAATACTTCTCCAGAGGGAGTGGGCAATGAGGCAAGCTAATGCCTTGATATGGTCTTACCTCTCTAATACTTCTCCAGAGGGAGTAGGCAATGAGGCAAGCTAAAGCCTTGATATGGTCTTACCTCTCTAATACTTCTCCAGAGGGAGTGGGCAATGAGGCCAGCTAATGCCTTGATATGGTCTTACCTCTCTAATACTTCTCCAGAGGGAGTGGGCAATGAGGCAAGCTAATGCCTTTATTGGGTTGATATGGTCTTACCTCTCTAATACTTCTCCAGAGGGAGTGGGCAATGAGGCAAGCTAATGCCTTTATTGGGTTGATATGGTCTTACCTCTCTAATACTTCTCCAGAGGGAGTGGGCAATGAGGCAAGCTAATGCCTTTATTGGGTTGATATGGTCTTACCTCTCTAATACTTCTCCAGAGGGAGTGGGCAATGAGGCAAGCTAATGCCTTTATTGGGTTGATATGGTCTTACCTCTCTAATACTTCTCCAGAGGGAGTGGGCAATGAGGCAAGCTTATGCCTTGATATGGTCTTACCTCTCTAATACTTCTCCAGAGGGAGTGGGCAATGAGGCAAGCTAATGCCTTGATATGGTCTTACCTCTCTAATACTTCTCCAGAGGGAGTGGGCAATGAGGCAAGCTAAAGCCTTGATATGGTCTTACCTCTCTAATACTTCTCCAGAGGGAGTGGGCAATGAGGCAAGCTTATGCCTTGATATGGTCTTACCTCTCTAATACTTCTCCAGAGGGAGTGGGCAATGAGGCAAGCTAATGCCTTGAGTTGATATGGTCTTACCTCTCTAATACTTCTCCAGAGGGGTGGGCAATGAGGCAAGCTAATGCCTTGATATGGTCTTACCTCTCTAATACTTCTCCATAGGGAGTGGGCAATGAGGCAAGCTAATGCCTTGATATGATCTTACCTCTCTAATACTTCTCCAGAGGGAGTGGGCAATGAGGCAAGCTAATGCCTTTATTGGGTTGATATGGTCTTACCTCTCTAATACTTCTCCAGAGGGAGTGGGCAATGAGGCAAGCTAATGCCTTGATATGATCTCACCTCTCTAATACTTCTCCAGAGGGAGTGGGCAATGAGGCAAGCTAATGCCTTGATATGATCTTACCTCTCTAATACTTCTCCAGAGGGAGTGGGCAATGAGGCAAGCTAATGCCTTGAGTTGATATGGTCTTACCTCTCTAATACTTCTCCAGAGGGGTGGGCAATGAGGCAAGCTAAAGCCTTGATATGGTCTTACCTCTCTAATACTTCTCCAGAGGGCCGGGCAATGAGGCAAGCTAAAGCCTTGATATGGTCTTACCTCTCTAATACTTCTCCAGAGGGGTGGGCAATGAGGCAAGCTAATGCCTTGGGTTGATATGGTCTTACCTCTCTAATACTTCTCCAGAGGGGTGGGCAATGAGGCAAGCTAAAGCCTTGATATGGTCTTACCTCTCTAATACTTCTCCAGAGGGAGTAGGCAATGAGGCAAGCTAATGCCTTGATATGGTCTTACCTCTCTAATACTTCTCCAGAGGGGTGGGCAATGAGGCAAGCTAATGCCTTGAGGTGATATGGTCTTACCTCTCTAATACTTCTCCAGAGGGGTGGGCAATGAGGCAAGCTAAAGCCTTGATATGGTCTTACCTCTCTAATACTTCTCCAGAGGGAGTGGGCAATGAGGCAAGCTAAAGCCTTGATATGGTCTTACCTCTCTAATACTTCTCCAGAGGGAGTGGGCAATGAGGCAAGCTAATGCCTTTATTGGGTTGATATGGTCTTACCTCTCTAATACTTCTCCAGAGGGAGTGGGCAATGAGGCAAGCTAATGCCTTTATTGGGTTGATATGGTCTTACCTCTCTAATACTTCTCCAGAGGGAGTGGGCAATGAGGCAAGCTAATGCCTTTATTGGGTTGATATGGTCTTACCTCTCTAATACTTCTCCAGAGGGGTGGGCAATGAGGCAAGCTAAAGCCTTGATATGGTCTTACCTCTCTAATACTTCTCCAGAGGGGTGGGCAATGAGGCAAGCTAAAGCCTTGATATGGTCTTACCTCTCTTATACTTCTCCAGAGGGAGTGGGCAATGAGGCAAGCTAATGCCTTGATATGGTCTTACCTCTCTAATACTTCTCCAGAGGGAGTGGGCAATGAGGCAAGCTAATGCCTTTATTGGGTTGATATGGTCTTACCTCTCTAATACTTCTCCAGAGGGAGTGGGCAATGAGGCAAGCTAATGCCTTTATTGGGTTGATATGGTCTTACCTCTCTAATACTTCTCCAGAGGGAGTGGGCAATGAGGCAAGCTAATGCCTTTATTGGGTTGATATGGTCTTACCTCTCTAATACTTCTCCAGAGGGAGTGGGCAATGAGGCAAGCTAATGCCTTTATTGGGTTGATATGGTCTTACCTCTCTAATACTTCTCCAGAGGGAGTGGGCAATGAGGCAAGCTTATGCCTTGATATGGGCTTACCTCTCTAATACTTCTCCAGAGGGAGTGGGCAATGAGGCAAGCTAATGCCTTGATATGGTCTTACCTCTCTAATACTTCTCCAGAGGGAGTGGGCAATGAGGCAAGCTAAAGCCTTGATATGGTCTTACCTCTCTAATACTTCTCCAGAGGGAGTGGGCAATGAGGCAAGCTTATGCCTTGATATGGTCTTACCTCTCTAATACTTCTCCAGAGGGAGTGGGCAATGAGGCAAGCTAATGCCTTGAGTTGATATGGTCTTACCTCTCTAATACTTCTCCAGAGGGGTGGGCAATGAGGCAAGCTAATGCCTTGATATGGTCTTACCTCTCTAATACTTCTCCATAGGGAGTGGGCAATGAGGCAAGCTAATGCCTTGATATGATCTTACCTCTCTAATACTTCTCCAGAGGGAGTGGGCAATGAGGCAAGCTAATGCCTTTATTGGGTTGATATGGTCTTACCTCTCTAATACTTCTCCAGAGGGAGTGGGCAATGAGGCAAGCTAATGCCTTGATATGATCTCACCTCTCTAATACTTCTCCAGAGGGAGTGGGCAATGAGGCAAGCTAATGCCTTGATATGATCTTACCTCTCTAATACTTCTCCAGAGGGAGTGGGCAATGAGGCAAGCTAATGCCTTGAGTTGATATGGTCTTACCTCTCTAATACTTCTCCAGAGGGGTGGGCAATGAGGCAAGCTAAAGCCTTGATATGGTCTTTCCTCTCTAATACTTCTCCAGAGGGCCGGGCAATGAGGCAAGCTAAAGCCTTGATATGGTCTTACCTCTCTAATACTTCTCCAGAGGGGTGGGCAATGAGGCAAGCTAATGCCTTGGGTTGATATGGTCTTACCTCTCTAATACTTCTCCAGAGGGGTGGGCAATGAGGCAAGCTAAAGCCTTGATATGGTCTTACCTCTCTAATACTTCTCCAGAGGGAGTAGGCAATGAGGCAAGCTAATGCCTTGATATGGTCTTACCTCTCTAATACTTCTCCAGAGGGGTGGGCAATGAGGCAAGCTAATGCCTTGAGGTGATATGGTCTTACCTCTCTAATACTTCTCCAGAGGGGTGGGCAATGAGGCAAGCTAAAGCCTTGATATGGTCTTACCTCTCTAATACTTCTCCAGAGGGAGTGGGCAATGAGGCAAGCTAAAGCCTTGATATGGTCTTACCTCTCTAATACTTCTCCAGAGGGAGTGGGCAATGAGGCAAGCTAATGCCTTTATTGGGTTGATATGGTCTTACCTCTCTAATACTTCTCCAGAGGGAGTGGGCAATGAGGCAAGCTAATGCCTTTATTGGGTTGATATGGTCTTACCTCTCTAATACTTCTCCAGAGGGAGTGGGCAATGAGGCAAGCTAATGCCTTTATTGGGTTGATATGGTCTTACCTCTCTAATACTTCTCCAGAGGGGTGGGCAATGAGGCAAGCTAAAGCCTTGATATGGTCTTACCTCTCTAAAACTTCTCCAGAGGGGTGGGCAATGAGGCAAGCTAAAGCCTTGATATGGTCTTACCTCTCTAATACTTCTCCAGAGGGGTGGGCAATGAGGCAAGCTAAAGCCTTGATATGGTCTTACCTCTCTTATACTTCTCCAGAGGGAGTGGGCAATGAGGCAAGCTAATGCCTTGATATGGTCTTACCTCTCTAATACTTCTCCAGAGGGAGTGGGCAATGAGGCAAGCTAATGCCTTGGGTTGATATGGTCTTACCTCTCTAATACTTCTCCAGAGGGAGTGGGCAATGAGGCAAGCTAATGCCTTTATTGGGTTGATATGGTCTTACCTCTCTAATACTTCTCCAGAGGGAGTGGGCAATGAGGCAAGCTAATGCCTTGATATGGTCTTACCTCTCTAATACTTCTCCAGAGGGGTGGGCAATGAGGCAAGCTAATGCCTTGGGTTGATATGGTCTTACCTCTCTAATACTTCTCCAGAGGGAGTGGGCAATGAGGCAAGCTAATGCCTTTATTGGGTTGATATGGTCTTACCTCTCTAATACTTCTCCAGAGGGAGTGGGCAATGAGGCAAGCTAATGCCTTGATATGGTCTTACCTCTCTAATACTTCTCCAGAGGGGTGGGCAATGAGGCAAGCTAAAGCCTTGATATGGTCTTACCTCTCTAATACTTCTCCAGAGGGGTGGGCAATGAGGCAAGCTAAAGCCTTGATATGGTCTTACCTCTCTAATACTTCTCCAGAGGGGTGGGCAATGAGGCAAGCTAAAGCCTTGATATGGTCTTACCTCTCTAATACTTCTCCAGAGGGAGTGGGCAATGAGGCAAGCTAATGCCTTGATATGGTCTTACCTCTCTAATACTTCTCCAGAGGGAGTGGGCAAAGAGGCAAGCTAATGCCTTGATATGGTCTTACCTCTCTAATACTTCTCCAGAGGGAGTGGGCAATGAGGCAAGCTAATGCCTTGATATGGTCTTACCTCTCTAATACTTCTCCAGAGGGAGTGGGCAATAAGGCCAGCTAATGCCTTGATATGGTCTTACCTCTCTAATACTTCTCCAGAGGGAGTGGGCAATGAGGCAAGCTAATGCCTTGATATGGTCTTACCTCTCTAATACTTCTCCAGAGGGAGTGGGCAATGAGGCAAGCTAATGCCTTGATATAGTCTTACCTCTCTAATACTTCTCCAGAGGGAGTGGGCAATGAGGCCAGCTAATGCCTTGATATGGTCTTACCTCTCTAATACTTCTCCAGAGGGAGTGGGCAATGAGGCAAGCTAATGCCTTGATATAGTCTTACCTCTCTAATACTTCTCCAGAGGGAGTGGGCAATGAGGCCAGCTAATGCCTTGATATGGTCTTACCTCTCTAATACTTCTCCAGAGGGAGTGGGCAATGAGGCAAGCTAATGCCTTGATATAGTCTTACCTCTCTAATACTTCTCCAGAGGGAGTGGGCAATGAGGCCAGCTAATGCCTTGATATGGTCTTACCTCTCTAATACTTCTCCAGAGGGAGTGGGCAATGAGGCAAGCTAATGCCTTGATATAGTCTTACCTCTCTAATACTTCTCCAGAGGGAGTGGGCAATGAGGCCAGCTAATGCCTTGATATGGTCTTACCTCTCTAATACTTCTCCAGAGGGAGTGGGCAATGAGGCAAGCTAATGCCTTGATATGGTCTTACCTCTCTAATACTTCTCCAGAGGGAGTGGGCAATGAGGCAAGCTAATGCCTTGATATGGTCTTACCTCTCTAATACTTCTCCAGAGGGAGTGGGCAATGAGGCAAGCTAATGCCTTGAGTTGATATGGTCTTACCTCTCTAATACTTCTCCAGAGGGAGTGGGCAATGAGGCAAGCTAATGCCTTGATATGGTCTTACCTCTCTAATGGCCTCATTCTGCTGGGCCTCTATCTCCATAATCTGTTGTTTCAGTGAGGCCACATTGTGTATGGACTCAGTCCAGCTAATGCCTTGATATGGTCTTACCTCTCTTATAGCCTCATTCTGCTGGGCCTCTATCTCCATAATCTGTTGTTTCAGTGAGGCCACATTGTGTATGGACTCAGTCCAGCTAATGCCTTGATATGGTCTTACCTCTCTTATAGCCTCATTCTGCTGGGCCTCTATCTCCATAATCTGCTGTTTCAGTGAGGCCACATTGTGTATGGACTCAGTCCAGCTAATGCCTTGATATGGTCTTACCTCTCTTATAGCCTCATTCTGCTGGGCCTCTATCTCCATAATCTGCTGTTTCAGTGAGGCCACATTGTGTATGGACTCAGTCCAGCTAATGCCTTGATATGGTCTTACCTCTCTTATAGCCTCATTCTGCTGGGCCTCTATCTCCATAATCTGTTGTTTCAGTGAGGCCACATTGTGTATGGACTCAGTCCAGCTAATGCCTTGATATGGTCTTACCTCTCTTATAGCCTCATTCTGCTGGGCCTCTATCTCCATAATCTGCTGTTTCAGTGAGGCCACATTGTGTATGGACTCAGTCCAGCTAATGCCTTGATATGGTCTTACCTCTCTTATAGCCTCATTCTGCTGGGCCTCTATCTCCATAATCTGTTGTTTCAGTGAGGCCACATTGTGTATGGACTCAGTCCAGCTAATGCCTTGATATGGTCTTACCTCTCTTATAGCCTCATTCTGCTGGGCCTCTATCTCCATAATCTGTTGTTTCAGTGAGGCCACATTGTGTATGGACTCAGTCCAGCTAATGCCTTGATATGGTCTTACCTCTCTAATAGCCTCATTCTGCTGGGCCTCTATCTCCATAATCTGCTGTTTCAGTGAGGCCACATTGTGTATGGACTCAGTCCGCTGTCCCTTCAACTTGTCAATCTGAACTCGGAGATCAGGCTGAAAAACATTTCAAATACAAGTGACCTATCATACCAATTGTTCTAAAATATTATATTTCCTCTCCAACTCCAGATTCAAGTTTGATGTACATGCATGTACATTGTCATGTATATAAAGTCTACCGTGACCTTATATTGTACCTTAACACTAGTTTCCTGTTAAAATGACACATAAAATGTCCAGTAATCTACATCTATCCTACATAACTTCATTCATAAGTATTAGTAACTTCTAACTACAACTTTAAGTTTCATTTTCAACTTGGTTGCTTCCTCAATCTTGCACTTTGACTGTTTACGATTAGATTGAAACATTTTAGGAATCTGATCCACCCTAACTTACCATGTTTCAAGCTGAATGTATCTTATTACAACAATATTAGACTATTCCCATGTCTTTCCTTTAATAAAGTATTCCTAAATTTCTCATTGATTCCAGTTTGCATTGTATTCAATGCAAGTGCGTAAATATTCAAAGAATTCCAATGACTCAAAGGATGGCATTGAATTGTGTTAAGCTTTATTTAAATTGTATTATAGATAAGATATCACATATGAGGACAATCATACATATGCAGTTGACAAATACTCAATATTCAATCTACAATATCAAGGGATGTGTGTAGAGTTAAGTCAATATAAAAATCCATGTTCTTAATCTCAAAGATTGACACAGGCTTTTGATACCTAGAAATGACTGTATTAGCATAGTGGATTATCCTTTTCAATGTCCCATCAATGTACACCCAGATACATAATGTATAATTATATGTGTGGTGGGAGGGGGTAAAGCTCATTTAATTTTTTCAGCCAGATATCTTATATCAAGAGACTTAATTAAATATTTTCACTTCTCTACAGAAAGCTGTGATTTCATTATATAATGGCAAAGGTTGATTTCTCTAAAATATTTAAAATGTCAAACTTGGTACTTACCTTTTTAACATTTAGATTTTATGGCAATTTAATTTGTGTGTTTGTAACTAACTACTGTACTAATATGAACATATAACATGGATTGTTTTCACAGCTTGTTTTTGTCACATAAAGTTATCCTGGCATATTGTTCAGCTACATACAATATTGTAGTTTTTTTCATTTCAACTGGCTCAATGTCAAGTCAAAACATAATGTATGAAAAGGATGAACTTTTGAAATTTACATATTTTCATGGTCTTATTTGACTTGATATACCTTTGATTCATGTATTCTGATAATGAACACTCATAAAAACATTTTACATGACCAGTAATAATTAAACTAAATAAAATGAATGCAAGAATATTGAAGACAAACTCATCTAAACTGATGATTTAAAAATTAAAAGGGTTACAAGAGATATAGGTTATTTACTAGGAGGGATTGAATATGGGTTTTATTCCGAGGGACAATATGATATTGACCGAAGGGTTATATGATATTGACCGAGGGAGCGCAGCGACCGAGTGTCAATATCATATAGCCCAAGGTCAATATCATATTTTCCGAGGTATAACACCCATATTCAATCCCGACCAGAAATAACCTATTTATTCCATAATACACCCCTCTAAAATGCTACATTTGGATAATGCAGATAACTGGGAAAAAATAACCGGGAAACCGAAAATTGGTTAATATGCTCCAATACGATTTTTTCCCGGGGACAATACGATTTTTTCATGTAATACGCTCCAATACGATTTTTTTCCCGGGGACAATACGATTATTTCATGTAATACGATTCAATACGATTTTTATTCCTTCATATTTCCCTGGGAAAACAGTAGTATTATGGAATAAAATGTAATATATGTTTGATTTGGAAGGAATTTGCCAAGAACCAGAAGTACCATTTCATATAAAATATAGAATACATCTAGTATCTGTACTAAGAGGAGACTACTAAAATATCAGGTCACTTGAACATTGTACTTTGACATTATCTTTGTGTATAAAACTTTCATCCAATTTTTAAAATACAATTTCAGCTGAAACTTTTTTTGTGTTTCTGAATCACTCAGTTTCGACTTTTTCATGGTTATATATATTGTAAGAAGTATTTTATCAAAGTATATCATAAACATTTTGAACTAAAGAATGAATTCTTAAAAAGTAAAAACTTACTTTTGTTTAATCATCAGCTATCCATGTTTTATGACCCAAACGTTTTATTAACTCAACATAAAACTCAACTTACATGTAACCTTACAATAAAATACAATCAACACAATCTTTAGAAATCCTGTCTGTCTGAGGCGATTTCATGATAAACTTTGTTAAAAGTTGCAAAGACCTTTCTCTTTTGATGGTTCAGTTTTTATCAACATTCAGTGCAGTTTATAACATGGGAATTCTCAATGGTGACTTTCATTTCATTATATTAACCACATTGTAAAAAACCAAAGTGCAAATAAATTATTTTTTGAACCATGTGTAAGCAAGCCACTAGACACTCCTCCTTTGATTAAGTGCATTTTTAGAATAGGAGAACACAGAAAGAAAACTGCACGCAATGTTGATGTTTCAGTTGTAATAGTGTATGAATATAAAGAGATGTTTTCAAGAAATTATGGCCATTTTATTTCAATTTAAGGAACTAATCATTTATAAATATGCCAGAGGCTTGGGTTGCTTCTAAAAATATTTTTAATACTTTAAAATAATGTTTAGCATATGTATAAATATATAGCACTTCAGGCTCACTTTTCTACTAAGTTTGAGCATACTGTGAAAGAAATCAAATTGTTTACCCTCAAATGATTAAAATTATCCTTTAACAATGTGAGCAGATTACAATTCTTCATATGTACCTGACCAGTAGACATCAAGACATTCTGATAGCTTACTTCATAAGATATTAGCATATTTCATTTTTATATTTCTAGAATGAGAAATTTATCTCTTAATAGTGAGGAAGAACATGGTTAGATTTTATGTCAGAATTTAAGTGAATTATCTAAGGATGAATGGAAAGTCTATAGCTCACTTAACCTCCCATCAAACCTACAGTTGTACGAGTTCTAACCTTATCAAAGCCCTTAGCTTTTATATCTTGCTCTCAATTCAGTAAGGTCACTTTAACTTACATACAAGAGGCTTTTTCATTCAGAAATTGTTAAAAAGAATCATATTATACTGTACCTATTTATACATTTTATTAAGTGAAAAATGTACAATACTTAAATAAAATTAAAAGGAGAATTTTATAAATGTGATTATTTATAGATGGGGCTATAGTAGATCCACTAAAAAATGAACGGCAACCAGTTACAATGGTCAATAGAGAAGTTGCAATGCATTACAAGGCAATGCAGATACACTGTGCGAATGCATGGCATCACAAAACACATATTTCATTAATGAACATTCAAGATACAATGCATATTTTGTAATTTGTACATACCTCATTATTTTCATTGCTCTTAGTGGTTGATTGTGTGCTTTCATGGGTGCTCATTTGTGTGTTATGTGTGCCGCTCTCTAAATGTGTGCCGCTCTGCTCTATTGCCTTACTATAACTAGATGTAGGAGATACAGGATATTTCTTCTTCCCATATGAATCTATTGCCTCACTGTAACTGCTAGTAGGGGACTTACATCCCTTATAAGGAGGGGACTTTGGTGACTGTGGACTTGGAGAACTGGTCTCCATTGACATAGGATCACTATCTGGTGAGCTTAAAGTGCCAGATGTAGTTTGTTCAAGGTCCTTAATCTTTAGGCTCAAACTGGCAATTCTATCATGTTCTTCCCTGTGAGCCATCTCCTGGAAGCTATCTACAATTAGTTTGCCTGAGTTTTCATCAATGCTGATATTGTCATATGTCCCCTTCTGAGAGGGAGAGAGCAAAGGTTTCTTACTGTCCACATTATCTTTATTCTCTTTGTCTGAAGGTACAATGATTGGGTGACCACCATCATCTGGGATGTAAACTTCGTCATACTCGTGCCTTTGTTGTGGACGTATCTTAGGATTGGTTTCATCCTCTGGGATGTAGACATCATCATAATCGTGATTAGATGTATTACGTTCTTGTTTTGTTACTTCCTGGTCACGACTTACGATATCCGAGCTCTGAGGTCCATTGTAATTGACAACAGTTGGTCCTTCTGTATTGATATAGTGAACCTCACTGACAAAGCCAACATTTCGTTTCAGGGAGCCATCATTAACCTCATCATCAGATGCACTGGATGATGTTCCCTTTTGTTTGTGGTCAAATATAAAAGCATCTCTATGTGATAAAGTAGGTGAGCATGGAGAGGTGAGCTTAGTAAAAGAGCCATTTGTTTTAATCCGTGAAGCTTTTCTTTCAAGGGAGGAAATACTCTCAGTGTAAGAGCCTGAATCAGGACTCGCAGGATCAGCACTTTTCTTTGGCCAAGTTGTTGGGCTATCTAATTGTTTGTCATATTCAGCACACATGTTCAGTATTTCTTCAAGTCTTTGTTGCTCTGCTTGAGCAGCCTCTTGTTCTTGTTTACGCTGCTCAGCAATTTCTCGATACTTTTGTTTTAGCTTTAATTGCTCCTCTGTCAAATCTTCATCTTTGATATCACTGACACTAATTATACTAAACCGATTATCTAATTCCTCAAAAGATGGCTCTGAATATGGACTCAGAGCACCATGGTGGGGAGAATTATAACTGAAATTTTCTCGAGGTGAACTTTGGGCAAACATCTCTGCCCCACTAAGAGTTGGGGACCTATCCTCAGTAGGTTTCACTCCAGGTAGATCCATGTTGTGAGAGCGTTGGCCTATAGGTGGCGCTGACTGTGGTGTAGGGGGTGCTTTCCGTGGTATAGGTGGAACCACCTCAACATCAGGGTGTGATTTGTTATCCGTAGAAGTTGCAATACTTGACCAAGATCCAGATTTCTGTCTTAAGCTGACTAGTGGCTTTGGTTCTAAAAACAAAATCAGAATAACATGAAAACTAACTCTTTCCAAGATACTCACATCACTAAAGATTCATTTACAAAGCAATAATTGGTAATTTATTGTTAAATTTCCAATAATTGATGATTTATTTTTGTGTTTTAAATGAGGCCCTGTTTGCAGCCAAGGTGACTTTGACCTAATTTCATCATCCAATTATGTCATGAATCTAGGATAAAGGTTATATACAGCTTCTTTGACAGGAAACATAATTTTTCATTACAAGTTAAAAGGATCAGTTTAAAAGATATTGTATAAGAACACAAATAAATACAACATGCAACATATAGCATGCAACAGGGTTTAATGGAAGCCTAATACACTCTGATGAAACCTATTAATTAAGAATATTCTAGGATAAATAGATAATTAATTGATTAATTAAATAATTGCAACTTTGACCTTCAAAGACCTGCACACCATCAAAGTGACCTTGAATGACTTTTAAACTTGTTTCTGAATGAAAATTCCATTTTCGTTGTTGTTAGAGAGAAGCACACTTTCTCTGACTAATATGCCCGAATGTGACATTATAGATTTGTGTTAATAATATTCATTTTGCTGTTTGCTATTTCTATTTCTTAGAACCAAGTAATATCTGCATTTGTTTTTAGACAGTGAAATAGCTGTACATATTTCTATGGCAGATAATCAATGGGATAAACAATAATTTCATATTATTGAGGTTCCTATAAATAAAATGATGCTTTTTCCAATGGCAATGCTAACTCAGAGAGAGAAAACCTGGGCTTATCTTCAAAATGCTACTCATAGATTATAGGACATAATGTTCAGGATTTCAGATTTTATTTTATGACATAATGTTCAAGATGTCAGATTAACATGATAGCATAATGTTCAGAATGTCAGATTAGACTGACATGAGAGAAATATTTGTTTTAGATAGATATTCAATTTTATAATGATGGGAATTTATTATTCATTCAATTAAATTAAAAGCCATATGTTTTTTTGTCCAATTTTCAATGTTATTGAAATGTGCCATTTAGCTAATAAATGAGGCCATTGACAGGGGATTCAATTATGGCATGGAAATGATGGCTTTTACAAGACTATCACATTAAAGCTAAAAGAAACATTTGAGATGTATTTATAGATCCTTCTTAGACGCAAGCATTTATCTAAATTGCATCTTTGCTTTTGATCCTATTGAAAGGAAAGTGATTGCCAAATGAACTGTCAGAGCTGAATACAAACACTAGAGATTCAACACTTCAATTCCAAAAGAGAAATGTCGAATCTTTGTAACAATGTTCAACTGGTCTAAAACACAAGGGACAACATAAGGTAAACAAGGCATAACCATGCAAAATGTCACCACCTGCCATTTGTTACAGATGCCAACTGCCGAACAAAATAGACCACATCACTTGTGGTGGTGACATAACAAATCCAATACAAGGCATTTGACAAAATACATTATATCATTGGAATTACAAAAGGGTACCCACTTATTAGGCACCCATGTTGAATGTCAAGGCTGATGTCAAATGAAGACAATGATTGAAAAAACTGGCTAAAACAACATGTCACATCTTTTTGGTTTGGTTATGAGATAAAAACAAGAGCATTCCATATCTATTGTAAATGAGCAATCTTAACATTCTTACCAGTTGGCTTAGGAGGTGCACCAAAACTGGCCCTTCTCTCTCCATTGACTGCAACACGAATAACGTTAGTTTCAGATGTGAATACTTTCTCTCCCAAGTGTACAGGGGGTGTAGATTGTCCTGCTTTCCCAGGTGGACCACTAAGTGGTTTCTTATCAATACTTTTTGGTGTATCTTTCCTTTCTTTTTCCAATGGTTTTTGCTTTTCTGATTTCAACGAAACATTAGATGATTTTAACACTAAGGACTCCTTAGAAGATTTAACACTCTCTGTATTGGGGTTATACTCTCTTGTAGTTGACACTAGTGTTGTGTTGGGGTCCAGGGGAAACTTTGGTGTACGCAAGGTCTCTGTCAGTTGCCTTAACTTTGGAGATTTTATACTATTTAAACTCTCATTGGATGATAGTGAGGTTGGTGAGATTACATAATTTTGGTTCGAATCAGATTTGTTTTCTGGACTCTGAGGCGAATTCTGATTTATCAGAGTGGGTCTCTCTAATCTTGATTCTGGAGATTGAAGAGCGGGTACTTCATCAAGCTGCTCATTGGTCAACTTTTCAAATCGCGTCACCTTATGGACAAAATTTGCACCTTCTAAAGCATCCCGGTGCACATTCGGCTCTCCATGTACAGGCTGATGTTCTCCTTGAGGATGTACCCCATTTATGCTGAGGGGTGCAAGGGTGGGGCGTTGGTTCCCCCGAGTATTCTCTTGGTGGTTGGGGACAGGGGGTGCTCTAGAGGTCTGGTATCTTGGGGAGGAGGGTTTTGGAAACACAGGTGGAGGAGTCTTTAGTTTTGGGCTTGTTATATTTGTTGGCACTGTCTGTGTTATAGTTTGGCTGACATTGTTCACTTTTATGTTTCGAACAGTAGGATTCACAGATTCTAGTGTCACTATGTGAGGTGCCACATTGTCGTAATTCTGTGGAGTGAACTTTAATTGTGGTGACACATTGTCGTATTGCAGACTTGTTTCTGGGAACCCATTATTGTACTTTGGTGACAATACCACTGGAGAGTTGTTATTTTGTTGTGACTCTATTTGGGACCTGCTATATTGTGTGGGTGTAGCTGGGGATCTGTTATTTTGGGTTGAGGCCAGTGACCTGTTATACTGTTGCTGACCACTTGGGATGATATTTGTTCCTGAAAATACACAAAGAAAATCATAAATATAATGGTATAAAAGTATTTTGAATGATATATGAGAATATAATAGGTTTCCCTATGGTGCACATGTAAAATATACAACAATCATATGTTGTGTTTAATCATTTTAAAAAAATATAGAAACTTGTATTAAGCAACTTTTAACTAGCAATTGCTTGATGCTGATGCTCTCTTGGTATTGTTATATCTTGGTATTGTTATATTGTGGTATTGTTATATCTTGGTATTGTAATATCTTGGTATTATACTCCTTTATACAGCTATCTCTTGGTACAAAAACTATACTATACTCCTTTGGTACTATACTCCTAAGTATTGTGATCTCTTTGGACTATACTCCTTTGTATTACAACCTATCATAACTACACTGTTCATCACAAATAGCATCTTGTGTTTTATGTCATGGCATAACATAATGTTGGCTATAGCTAGAAACTAATTGGAGATTATGAGTTTAATCACAAGGATCCTTTCCTGTTCTGTATATTGCCAAATAATGGAGTACAAAGTACTGTACATTCAATTGAAATGCAGCTTAGTGCATGGACACAAAATTGCATGGCAAAATGAAAGATATATAGTATGAATCTAATTGAGCAGCTTACTACAAATCTCAAATGTCGAAAAACTTGATCAGTAGTTAGTTAGTAATGACTTAATGCTATAGAATCATTGATAGTCCAGTTCAGTTCTTTGAACAGTACAGTTCAGTACTTTGAACAGTTCAGTTCAGTATCATAAACTACATGATTGTATACCTAATTTAGGTTGAGCCTGTAGCTGTGCTTAAGACTGAAGATATTTCAAATTGGGGCACACTTAGGGAGAGTCATACGGGCCAATTACCAATGTGAAATCTGAAATATCTTACATCATGCAACCCCAGGCATTACCAGTACAAACATCAGTTAACTTTACATCATTCAAATAATTAACAATGTGTGGGAAACATCTGATTATAAAGTCAACTTACATAAATGAAAGTTTGTGATAAAATGTCAATGACATCTGATACATAATACATGTAAATGGTAAAAGGTTTGTGGTTTAAGCATGGAAAAAACATTATTTGCAATGAAATGCTATCTGCTGTGATAAATAATGTCACACTGTCACCCTCTGAGTTAAACATCTTGCTTCACATAATGTTGTCTCAAAAGGTTAACTTCCCACCAGGATAAGTTATTAATACCTCTCATTTGAAGTACAGAAAAAACAAAAAATATCTACATATAGACAAAAACAAACTATTGATCATCTCAGCAAAAAATGTCAACCCGGTGATAACAACATTGTTCTTCCTTTCAGCAAGCCACAATATTTCCTCTCCAAAAGCAAAAATCCTCTCAAGGAACTAGCAGAGAATGAATACTAATACAGTAAAACCTATCTAAATGGAACACTTTTGGTATATCTAAAAAGTGTTCCACTTGGGAGGTGTTCCACTTACAGATGTTCATTTTACATTAAGTTAGTTTGTCTTTAGAGTCTGAAAAGGTTCCACTTCTAGGTGTTCCACTTTACAAGTTTCTCTACTCCATATTTGTATTTGATATATAAGTAGCCTCGTACAAGTGATGACTAACCTCTCAGGAGCCAACTGTTGCTTAAAATGTTGCTATGATTTATAACTGGATAAGATAAGGTCAATGTTACTTATCAGGTCGAACTAATTCACTTAACTAATGAAAGATAAGTCATAAACTACAGCTAAAGCAAAAATATTCCACTTGTCATGTGAATATCCCTTTCCTGCTAATATTTATCTAAGAGATTCTATTAATACTCCAGATTGCCATGATGCAATATTGCCTTTAACATGATGACCACCCACATATAAATTTAGGTTCAATAATTTAATGTTTTTATTCAAATCAGTTTCTCTAAATATCAAGATATTATAAGTGTTACCTGATTCAATCTTATATTCTGAATGTGCCAATGTACTTCCTGTCCTCAAGATGCCAAGGAAAATAAGCAATTTGTCACCAAACAGAAAATAAAATTGTGAGGTTACCATGGTAACATGGCACTAAAACTCTGAATTATATAAGATAATAAATATCACAGACTCATTAATTAAATTCTAGGAGAAAGTCTTGAAATCAATCTGACAAATGAGAAAATGTTTGTGGGGGTATTCCTGAATGTCAGAGCTCAAACTTCAAAGTTCACATTCTTGGAGATAACATAAGAGATTTCTACACCATCATATACCATGGTACACCTAGGGCTCAGCTCAATTTCACCCCCACCTTCAATATTCCCTATATCAGAGATTGCAGACAACAAAACATTTGGGAAATCAAATGAAAAACGTATATATGTTTCATTGGCTGTCATATCTGTTCTTAAATTATTATATGTAAATAAAGTGTACTTTCAACAAGATGTAATGACACCCCCCCCCCTCTTATATAAGACATGCCCCCTCTTATATGATAAGACATGCCCCCTCTTATATGATCTAACTGAAGCTGGTTCTGCCCAGGTATATAATGTGGATAGATCACATGCAGAAGATCCTACTAGAATTACTGTTCATCTGGATAGAAAACACTAAAAGTCATCATGACCAGTGATGAAACTTAACAGTATCCCCAGACATAACATGCTATATCAATGTAATTTTCTCCAATTTTCAACTGTATCTTATTGAATTAGAACTAGTTGGCAAAATATGAAACCTAAATGAAAGTGTATCTTTTAATCTAAGTAGTTTTGCAGAATATTAATTTAATCACTTTAATATAGATTATTTTATAAAGACCATCTAACCTTGACATATTAATGTACAACCTTTATACATGAACCAACATTGCCCTTGCTATTTTAATATACATGTAGATAAATACTTTAATTTACAGTATTTGACACAGACCCTTAAAAAAGATCAACCTTTAAAATAATCTTTTCATCAAGAGTCTTTCATTAATCCTGACTCTTCAATAAGTTAACATGATGATGAAGTAACATAAAACAAAGGATACTTCGATAAATCAAGAGCCTTTAACATAATATACTCCCTTTACTGACAAGCAATTTTAGGTGCTTTCAAGAAATAGACCTGAAGCAGAAAAAGCTGAAATAAATTCTGATACTGTACAGCTAATCAGCAATGAAATAACTAATGTAAACATATTGCCTCATTCTATTAATTAATTAGGTCACATGCAGTGTTCCTTTATGTAACTGGCCCCTGGAGAAACTTACTCAGATGGCCATTCCTGTTTCAGACTTTCTATTAAAAAAGGAAATCAGAAATATGACAGGATGTTATTTTTCAATTCTATATTCTTAATATGCAATCTTAATCGACATGTCCTACCTTAATATGTAATTCCTAATCAGCACTTGTCCTACCTTAATATGCAATTTCTAATCAGCACTTGTCCTACCTTAATATGCAATTTCTAATCAGCACTTGTCCTACCTTAATATGCAATTCCTAATCAGCACTTGTCCTACCTTAATATGCAATTTCTAATCAGCACTTGTCCTACCTTAATATGCAATTCCTAATCAGCACTTGTCCTACCTTAATATACAATTCCTAATCAGCACTTGTCCTACCTTAATATACAATTCCTAATCAGCACTTGTCCTACCTTAATATGCAATTCCTAATCAAGTCCTACCTTAATATAAAATCTTAATCATCACTTGTCCATACTCCACTATTAATCATTTGTTTGCATGAGTGGTCAATATTTCCTTATTATTCCTTGTGATATCAGTTGAATATACTAATGCTAATCAAACAGTCATGAATGGTCAATACCTCCTCATTCACTTCATTTCCTCCATGCTTTCATCTAATAACTTAAGGACACTAACCATCACAGGAATATGAATTTTTTATATGACTATGATCATGCTATATGTTAGCCTCTGTCTTATCAGCTGCATGCTTGATCAGTTACTTGCATGTGCTACAGCAGAGCTGTAAATAGCAAGGGCAACATCTTATACCCTCGCTTGATTGAGTATTGATCACTCAACTAGTCTATGAATCAACATCTATGCACCTTGTTCATATTATCACATACTTTGTTCATATCACACACTTTGTTCATATCACACACTTTGTTCATATCACACACTTTGTTCATATCACACCTTGTTCATATCAGACCTTGTTCACATCACAAACTTTGTTTATATCACACCTTGTTCATATCAGACCTTGCTCACATCACACACTTTGTTCATATCACACACTTTGTTCATATCACACCTTGTTCATATCAGACCTTGTTCACATCACACACTTTGTTCATATCACACACTTTGTTCATATCACACCTTGTTCATATCAGACCTTGCTCACATCACACACTTTGTTCATATCACACACTTTGTTCATATCATACCTTGTTCATATCAGACCTTGTTCATATCACACACTTTGTTCATATCACATTTTGTTCATATCACACACTTTGTTTATATCACACCTTGTTCATATCAGACCTTGTTCACATCAAACACTTTGTTCATATCAAACACTCTGTTCATATCACACACTTTGTTCATTTGACACACCTTACTCATATCATACAACATACCAATTACTGATCTTTAGTCCTATTGCAGACTTAGATTTTCAAGATATGAGGCTCAAACCAAAAAATGAATATGTTCTATGATGCTATATACCTAATATCTCCTAGCTAGCGTGCTATCCTAACATAGAAAAGATTGATTGAGTATTGTGTAAGCAGCCTCCAATTTCCAACCAATTTATCAAAAATGTTAATTGTTGATCAGTCAGTAGACATTCAATATTGTAGAAAAGAAATATATGGTACTCTCCATTTCCATATCTCATAAGGGATACATTGCATATAGCTGTTAGAAATCTGGTGCAGCCTTTGGGATTTAAATACTTGATATGCTTTATGTTGTACTACTCAAATAAATGCAATTAGCACTGTTAACACTTCCCCCTCCTCAAAAATTGTTTGTTCCCAATGAACAATTAACTCATTCTTCTTTCAAATAAGATTCTAGCATTGAGCAAAAATAGAAATCAATAACAAATCTCAAGCTCGTAATGTAAAAGATTCAATTAAATGAGTGGGAACAAATAATATAAAACACAGCAAAACAAGTGAAAAAATATACTCATAATTTGATATTCATCATTCTGCAAAAATATTTATTCCATCAAACTGCACATGAAAGTCACGATTAAAATCAAAATTATTTCAATCCTTCAATCAATCAAATGTTATTATCTAGTAGAGATACAGTTCAATGCGATTATAAATCATTTGAAGTTTAGAATTACCAGTCCAAAAGATCATACTTTAATTAACCTTATTGAACATAATAATGCACCAGCATTTCATTTTTTTGTCTTGATGATTTGGAGATGTCTTCCATCAAGCTATTTCTTGCTAATTCATGGCTAATCTTAAACCCAAAACACATCAATATTGCAATGTCCCATGTTATAAAGTCCCATTGGTCTATTGAGATCCCATGGAACCCAATGAGAAATAGCTGTCCTCCATGGGACCTTGTCCTACCAGTCTTACTAAGTTCCAGCAAAGCAAAATATGTGATTCCGTGCTTATTCTTAACTTGACCATCTCATATGCAGGAATATAATGTTCTCCATATAACAAAGGCAACATAACTCAATGATGTTCACAACTAGTGATCAGGGAGAACAGAACATTGAACAAGAGAGCGGTGCTGACAAAGAAAATTGGAAGACGCCATGTTATAATACAATGCAAGAAAATGCTAAAAATCAATTACTTTGCAAATATAACTTTCTGAAATAATATAAGATGGGAAGAGTGACACTTTAAATGATAGAAACAACATTAATATGCTACTCCAACAGTTTGACTAAAACAACATTACAATTAATCATAATTGAATTACTTTTCCAATAGCTGACATTTGTTCACTTTCTTCTAAGACATCTGTCATCATTGTCAATGCTTAATTGGATGTATTTGTTTGCACCAACGAGTCGTGCTTCAAGTCATGTTTTATGAATTACACTGTATAATGAAAGGAACAGAGAGGAATCAACATGAAATAAAGTGGATTTGAAAGCAGTTTATGTTCTAAACAAAATAATGACCCATTTCATTGATTGAAATATTGTACCATTTATTTGAATCTATTGTATCCACCTTCACTCTGCATCCATCTCCCTTACACATATTCCTTATGTGCCCCCCCCCCCATTTCTACCCCCCCCCCCTTCTGCATTCATAAACACCTACACTTTAAATCAAACATTTTCTAATCTCATTTTTCTCTGCCATATACAGTATACATACATATAGCCAAGAGCCACAAAAACTATTTCCAAACAATTTATAAGGACAGTAATAGACCCTTTTAAATACAGAATCTGCAATGAATATGACACATACTCAAGTTTATTAATGAAATAAAATAAAAAAACATGTGTAAAATATTTCTATATGGATACACAAATCATTTTTTATTTGAAACTGTTGACACAAGAGGCATGCAAGGTTAGTAGATAAATAATGCTACTGCCATAAACACAACTTCAGTAATAGAAACTATTTTGAACTCCTCATTTCTTATCATTTTTCATTTGCTTGTGCCTATTTTGGGATAGTGAAAAATTGTTAAACTGTACTTCATTGCCTGTTCTAATAGTATTTATTCTCTAACTTGACTTTTACACGGTTTTCAGTTGAAACTTTGAACATTATTATAACAATACCATGCTTATGTTATATCCCATTTTCTATTACTTGTACAAGTTATTACTCTTGACTCCAAAATATCAAAAATAATTTTTACATTTTCTTGATTTTTCACCAAACACATTTTGTTTATAAACACATTTTGTATACTACAGTTTCATATATTTACTTCACTTACCCTTAGAACGTTCCATAATATGAGGTAAAAAAATCACAATCCTATAGGATCAAGTGAAAACTCCAAAATGTCTAATTTCTTAGTTATCTCTCTGCTCATTAGTTAGTCTAGGTCCAAATCTCAATAGGTCAAGTCTAAATCATCATAAAACCAGGTCATGTTTGTTGTTCTTAGCACAGCAGTAATATATTACAAACTACCTAATTCTGAAGCAATATAACAGGCCAATCCTTGATTTCCTTTAAGCTTCATTAAACGTCTGGTCCAATAATGAACAAGTCTCAATAAAGGAAAGCTTTAAATTCAATAACTTCATACTTGCTAAGATTAACACTATTATGGATTTAGTAGATTTCTAGTTCTCAATAGTAGCTGCTAGTTCATTCAGTGAAATATTCCATGCATTGATCATGTTTTGGTTTCCTGTACTGTATTACAATTGTAAATTATCCAGCAAATGTATATATTTTCTACCTTAGTTCAGTCTCCTCTATATATATGAGTGTTCTCTATTTTGATGCCTTTCAAGTGATATAACAAAGAAGTAAAATTCCATTTATATGTTTTGTCTCAAGTACATGCCATGAACTAACCCTTTAAACATTCCTTAATTAATCAATAATCAATACCACGGTGTTATAGCATGACAGATACGCCACCTCTGAAAACGAGGTTAGTCGTATACGATCACTGATTTATCCAATAAAATGGCCACGATAAAACAGAAAGCTAAGGTAGGTGCATTATTTTCTACTACTGCGTATCAATAAAAGCATGAAAGATTTATGTAAGCGTCGCATTCGGTGATGCATTCAGTAATGTTTATTTTGAACGTAGTCTTTGCAAATCGACGCCCATGGATAACATGAAATAAGCGAAAAACTGTCGAGTTTGAAATTCAAAACTTCATAAAATTTAGTAATTTGTTTCTTTTCCTCGTTAGGGCATGCTCTACATTGCGCAACAACCTCGGTGTATATAAATGTAACCTACCTACGATCATACAAAGCCAATTAAGCATTGTAAACCACTTAATATGTTCTACTCAAGCCATAATAATGTATTTTGAATTTGCGGATACGCCAAAAATTGATAGACAGTTACGCGAACCTCGTTCATATATGTAACACCGAATCATTTCATATCGCTTGTGATCCAAAATTGAAATGTTTTTCAACCGGATTTGAGTTTTGTAAGCTATAATAGATGAAATCGTATTATTACCACCTTGCAGGGCCTGTTCTAGGGGTTTTAGTACTCCATTGAATAGGTATTAATTTCACATGTTCTACATTAAAAAAACATTTCACATGCTAGTTTTGAAAACAATAAATGTTTACATTGACATACATTATTCATGTTTTGATTGTAATTATGATTTGCAATTATAACACAAGGGTTCCAAAACATTTAATGCATACTGAATCCCCATAAACTACTAATAGTATAGGTTAAATCAGTTATTAAATGCTCAATTTTTTATACAGGATATATCCCTCGGTAAGTACTATATATCAACCCTCGGTCCCTACGGTCCCTCGGTTACATATATTGCATTTTCCTCAGATATACCCTGTATCAAAAACCTCCATTAAATAACCTCTATATATCTGCCCGCAATTTCATAATGCGCAATTATTGTGAATTTCTCTTTTTTGCGAAATATATCTAGGGATATGGGATAAACAGATCATACAATAGTCGGTTCAATATATTGGGATTATCCCTAGGCCAATATAATATATGTGATGTATCCCCTGGGATAATCCTAATATCCTGAACCTCATATAGGATAATCTTTATGTATCTTAAATCACCGCAAAAAATAATGAAGGATAAGGAAATAATATGAGAAACGTAAGTTTTAACTTTGATTTGTCCTAGATTTTAACCTTGACCTTGATATGAACTGATTTCCCAGCAAGTCCACCTCAAATCTCATATAGATTGATATATACTATATAACCTGAACCTAGCTTGAAGAATAAAAGCTGCTAGAAATAATGCATAAATAGATAACATCTGTGAAATTTAAAAAAAGAGATTTGACTGTAAGTCAGTTTTAACAACGATATAAATAATTCTCAATTTTAACACCAATATATAGAATTCTGATTTGTCACTATATTTCAGCTATAGTACTAAGGCATGTTGGGTACTCAATTATATTCATACATGTGTACACGTTCCCTAATAAAAAGGAAATTTTGTAAATAGGTGTGTAGTTCGTTCTGTAGCAACACATCAAGCGATAATGCTCTCTCTAAAGCAACACTCTACTATACCTTGCATTTTTAACTAATACGACTTTTTCGAAGGGTAATGTAATTTTGATTTACCAACACAACATAGCCTCTGGTAATATATGTCTAATGTCACTCATGACATCATCAATTAATTTGGAGTTGTTTTCTTCCGTCGCCTGTTCGTTGGTACTAATTTCTTCCTTTGCCTCTTCATTACAATCATTTTCACTTTCATTGGCTTTCGCTATTTTTTCCTTGCCCTATAGAGGCTCAAGCAAGAGCGTCTCTTGCGAGTCCTGAAAACAAATATAGGCAGTTCACACATAGAGAGCTATCCATCTAGCGACCTTGACTTGACAGGAACTTGCTTGTAACCGTCCGCTAACATTTAATGTAAAACTAATACAAAGCGTTGCTGTCCATAAAAAATCATGCAATACATACGTATCTGTCTAACGACATTGCGATTGAAACCTTATTATCTACAATATTCACCACATTTCTGTTCTGCATTTGTCCTTTTATGGCTTGTTTATACACAGTTTACGTACAGTTAGTATTTTGAGTGGCTCTGAGGCACATATACTGAGAAAACACGAAAAAGGACTAAAAATTATGAACTTCGAAATCTCAGCCGGTTAGGTTTACAGCTTATATTCTGCTTCTTGTAGACCACACGACAGATTTAACGCAATCTTTATAACCATTCACATATGCATCACCGAATGGAACTAGTTGAAAAGGAAAGCTTACCTGTGAATCTTGCCTACAGGCGAAAAAGAGGACATGCTGTCTTTCCCGTCCGCCATGTTTTGTTATCGTTACCGCAAAATTTGGCCAATTGCCTTGTCGTATCTGTCATGCTATAACACCGTGAATACAGCCTGCTCAAAGAATGTACATGTACTTATAAACAACACAAACCCCATTCATTAAGCAAAACTCCAAAATAATCACTTTTTAATAGTTTTATTTACACATGTTCTCATTAAATGTACTGAAATGTACAAGGGTGTCATTGCACATATTTTCCATAATCAATGTAAAAATGTTGTTAAAGTTGTGAGCCACAGGGGGCAATTTATGTTACAAGGAGATCAAACATAATTTTGCCAATAATGTTTTATGAAAGTTATGAATTCCTTCAAATAATATAAACGTTTTTTTACTTTTATAAAAATTATCTCATAAAAATTAAACAACATGCGGCATATTGTTTCAAGCATTTACTTGGCGAGATTTTCTCAGTTATAAAACACACCTCTGCTAAAAAGACGTCAAGAGCCATAATACATCATTCTGGTATGCCAGAGCCCCTCTTATCTGCCGTTTGCGAGAACTTTGGAAGGAAAAAGACAAAGGGGGCGCGGCTATCGCGATGATAATACATCATTCTTACAGAACATTGCAACAACAGTGAAATGTTAAAGATCCGGGATTCAAGGGCTCTCAGGTCAATAATCAATGATGCAGCAAAAAGGTGAATTATTGAGGAATTGCTTACGGGTAAATGCATTAAGCAATGACACAGATTTGATTGTATATACAATAGATCACAAATATAGTAGTTCAATAGCCTTTATAATAGTACAAGATGTCATCACGTTCAAATTAATTGATGAAAATCAAGAAAGATTGAGATATAAATATACTTAGTATAGCCTCAAAATATTTGGTTTAAGATGCCTAAGCTATAATGAATATATTGTGGTGAAAGGTGCATTTTTCATATATAATCTTTTAACTATTTATTTCACTTTTAAATGCTAAATTTGGCTACTGCTTCATAAATCTTGATTTTACGCCAGTTAATAAACTTTCATTGAGTTTTCAATCAATATAATGGCACTCCTTTAGAGGTGAACTGTATAGTTTGAATAAATCCAAAGATATAATTCTTTCTGAAAAACACATCTATAATCTTCTATAGAGAAAAAAATGAAAAAATATTCAAACATAGTAATTATTAAAAATGCATAGAAATCTATAATGGTAAACGATGTGAAAACATGTAGTGGGACTGATGTAAGAATGAAGTTAGTAAAATATTTTGAAGGGACACATCCTTTAGCTAAACCTCAAACATAAACATTGATAATGTTAAGATTACTTCAGTTTTCACCCTCCATTTTATATCAATATTAAATTTAGATACACTCAAACTCTAAACATAAAATGGATGCTAGTTCTTAAACCAGTAAAGGTTTAAATAATAAGCCAAAAATATCAATACCCAGCTGTCAATACCTTTTTATAGAAACATATAAACTATTATGTTGAGATAACAACTATTGACATTGAACTTAGGATTTCTCTTCTTTATTTTGAAGTATATATTCATTAATAAGAAGAAGCTAATTGAATTGCACCTTGGCTGTTATCAAGGGTCAATGACATGGTTAAGTAGCCATTCCATTAGATACAGTAAAACATATTGGTAAGAGAATACATTGAGAATGCAGGCCCGTAGCCAGGGGGTGTTCGAAGGGTGAACCCCCCCTGGCCAAAAATTCTTTCAAAATCATGCAGTTTTTCACCATTTTTGGGCCAAAATTGTCAAATGTAAACCCCCCTGGACATTTTTGAAAACTGAACCCCTCCTTGGCAAATCCTGGCTACGGGCCTGGAATGCACTACTGCAATGAAGACATGAGCCTCACAAGGTGGCCATTTCATCTTTAATTGAATATCGGGTAACATGGTTTTCTTTATTCAGTATCTTTAGATTAAACCTTTCCCTCACTGGTTAGAATGGTAAAATTCAATCAGGACAATTTAAGTAAGTACCCTTCAGTTCACACTTCAACAATATTCCTTCCTTCACTTATCCAGAATTTGAAGTGATACGTGAATGGACTGTAACAAGACTTGTACAGCAACATGGAGATTTATTCAATTATCTCCCAGACTCAAGTTCTGTACCAACCCATTCCCCAAAATGGTCAAACAGTGACCATTTTGAATGTGGGGAATTAAGCAAGAAACCAAAACAACAGTTATGCAGTTAATTCTCTGTTTGTGTAAAATTTGAGAATATTTGGACTTTTATTATGTTTT